TCATAAGCATTGTCATGAGTCCACAATGATCAAGTAGAATTACTTAATGGGTAAGTAGAATTATAGTACTTAATGGGTATATTATACATCTGAATCTCAGTTGTATGGGTGTATGGAGTGAACAAGTGTATGAAGGTCGCCAATTTACTTCTTGGCAAATGTACCTTTTACTTTACTTTTATCCTCTTCACCACTGATCGACTCGATAGCCACTTGGGTGATCGGTCACGTTTCTGTTACGCACTGTTGACAAATACTGGGCATGCACCGGCTCCTGAATGTATCTGAACTGTTGCCGGCACTCTCAGGGACCCTCCCAGGTGTGGTGGCGCCTGCAGTGGCCCTGCCAGGGGCGCTAACGCCCTGAGGGGTTCTCCCATTGACAGTCGCACTCCCAGGGGCCCTTCCAGGGATGTTTGTGCCCCCAGGGACGACGGCGCACCCAGGGGCCCTGCCAGGAGCGCTGGACCCTTCAGGGGCTTACCCTGGGACAGTGGCGCTCACGGTGTTCCTCGCAGGGGCGGTGGCGCCCGGAGGGGCACTGTTAGGGGCGCTGACGTCCTGAGGGGCTCTCCCAGGGAGCCTTACAGGGATGTCTGCACCCTCAGGGGCCTTCCCAGGGACGGCGACGCCCATGGCAGGGCCCTTGGGGCCGTCGCCGTTCCTGTGAGGGCCCGTGGGAGCGCCTCTGTCCCTGGGAGAGCCCCTGGGGGCGCAAACGCCCCTGGGGGCACCAACGCCACTGGTAGGTTCCCAGGGAGAAACTCTGGGGTGGCTACTGTCCCAGGTTGAGCCCCCTGATGGTCCCAGCGCCCCTGGCAGGGCCCCTGGGAGCGCCACCATACCTGTCAGAGCCCCTGGGGGCGCATACATCCAAGGGATGGCCCCTGGGAGTGCGTCTGTCTCAATGAGAGCCCCTAGGGCGCCAGCGCCTCTGGTGAGGCCCTTGCAGGCGCCATGGCTCGTGGGAAGGTCTTTGAGAGCGCCGCCGCCCTAGGAAGGGTCTCTGGGGGCACTGCTGCCCCTAGGCGGGTCCCTGGGAACACTGCCACTCTCATAAGGGTCTCGGTGTACCGCCGTCCCTGGGAGGGCCTCTGGGAGCGCCAGACCTGTAGGGCCCCTGGCTGCAGTAATTTTTGCGTTTTTTAGAACTGGGCGATGAAACGTTAAACAAATAAATACACTGCCCATCACATTTCCAGTATTATTACATCCTGAATAATGTGACGGGAAATAATATTCAACAGGAAAACATAATTTGTGGTGGTGTGCTGACTGATTGATCTCCTATTGGCTGTAATTTGGTGGATTAAAACAATTGTCCACCAATCACAGTTAAGTAAGGGACTGCTGGAAATATGTAATATATATATGACACAAAGATCAGGTTTGCCATGCAGCCACTAGGGGCCTTTGGTAGGGACCCTGGGAGGGTCCCTGTAGGTGCTCTCGCACCTAGGAGGGTCTCTTGGGGCGCCGATGACCCTGGGTGGGTACTGTGGGCGCTGCCGCCCTTGAGAGGGTCCTTGAGAGGAACACTGGGAGCGCCACTGTCCCAGGGTGAGCCCTTGAAGGCCCCACCGCCTCTGGCAGGTCCCCTGGGGGCGCCACCGTCCCTGGGGGTGTAGAAATCCCTGGGAGCGCGTCTGTCAATGGAAGAGCCCTTCGAGGGGTCAGCGCCCCTGGCAGGGCCCCTGCGAGCGCCACCACCCCTGAGAGCGCCGCCGCCGTAACAGGGTACCTGGGGGCGTCGTCGCCCATGGGAGGGTCTCAAGAGGCACTGCAGTCTCTGAGCGGGATCCTGGGGGCGCCACCGCCTCTGGGAGGGCCCCTAGGGGTGCTGCTGTTCCTGGGAGGGATCCCTGTGGCTCAACCATACCTGAAAAGGCCCCTGGGAGAGCATGGGGCTGCCGCCGTTCCTGTGAGGGCCCCTGGGAATGCCGCTGTCATTGGAGAGCTCCTGAGGGCGCCAGCTTTCCTGGCAGGCCCTCTAAAGGCCCCGCCGTCCCTGGGAGGTCCCCTGGTGGCGCAATTATCAGGGGTTAAGAAGGTACCTAGGTGAGGTCACCTGGGAACAGTCACGTCAGTCCCCAGTAGGAAGGGGTGAGGTCATAGATGACACAACAATTGATCATACTATAATATTTTCACTAGTACAGTATACTACATAAAGCACAAGAACAAAATATACCATACAGAAAAATTAGGTCAAATAAGAATGAGCCAAGGTGGATGACCAGAAAACTTAAACATGACATAGGAATAAAGAAAGGAATATATAAGAAATTAAAGGGAGGGGAGGAGCAGCTCAGAAATAGGTATAATGAACTATCTAGGAATGTTAAGAAAAATGTAAGGAAAGCAAAGAGAGACTATGAAATCAAAATAGCAAGAGAATCCAAGGCGAATCCCAAGGGATTTTTCCAGGTATATAGAACAAAGGTCAAGGACAAAGTTGGGCCTTTAAAGTCAGGAAGGGGAGAAGTGATAAATGGCAGTGAAGAAATAAGCAAAGCATTGAACAGCTACTTCTTAACAGTTTTCACAGAAGAAATTTGCTAGGAAATTCCAGAGGTGGAACTGATATTTTGGGGAAAGGAAGAAAAGAAATTAAAGAATATCACAATCAGAAAAGAGGATGTTTTTAAGAGGACAAATAAACTAAAAAAGACAAAATCCCCAGGGCCGGATGAAATTTTCCCTCGAGTCTTGAAAGAGTGTAGGGAACAAATTAGCTGACCCCTCATAAATTTATTTACAAAATCATTAGACACGGGAGTTGTGCCAGACTTGTGGAAACAGGCAAATGTACTACCCATATTCAAAAAGGGAGACAGAACATCAACGTCAAATTACCGGCCGATCAGTTTGACGTCAGTAGTGGGAAATTTCTTGAATCAATTATAGCAGATAGCATCCGATCGCATCTAGGGAAAAGCAAATTTATCTTCAACTCTCAACATGGGTTTACAAAGAGAAAATCTTGTCTAACAAATCTGCTAACGTTTTTTAGGAAAGTCTTCGAGGTAGTAGATAATGACGAAAATTACTATGTTATTTACTTAGACTTTAGCAAAGCATTTGACAGAGTACCGCATCAGAGGCTTCTGAGAAAAATTAAGGCTCATGGTATCGAGGGGAAAGTCTTAAATTGGATAAAATCATGGCTCACCGATAGAACGCAGAGGGTCAGCGTAGATGGTGTTAAATCTGAGTGGGGCCGTGTAACCAGTGGGGTTCCCCAGGGGCCAGTACTAGGCCCACTCTTGTTCATAATCTACATAAACGATCTAGATACTGGGATCAGCAGTGACATAAGCAAGTTTGCGGATGACACCAAAATAGGGCAGCAGATTAATTCAGGGCAGAATGCAAATGCATTACAGGAGGATCTAAATAAACTGCAGGGGTGGTCTGAAAAATGGAATATGAAATTCAACACCAGCAAGTGCAGCGTACTTAATATTGGAAGAACAAATACTGTCAATGTATACAGCCTTAACAACATCAGCCTAGAGAAGTCGACTTGTGAAAGAGACCTAGGGGTACTTGTAAGCCCAGACCTACGGCCTAGAAAACAATGCGTTAATGTTCGAAATAAGGCAAATAGAGTATTGGGTTTTATATCTAGAAGTGTAAGTAATAAGAGTGCAGAGGTCTTATTGCAACTATATCTTGCGCTAGTCAGGCCGCACCTCGATAATGCGGTTCAGTTCCGGTGCCCTTATTATACAATGGATATCAATTCACTAGAGTCGGTGCAGCGAAGAATGACGAAAATGATTCCGGGACTTAGAAACCTTCCATATCAGGATAGGTTAAAGAAAGTAAACTTGCATTCCCTAGAAAGACGAAGAGTGCGGGGAGATATGATAGAAGTATTTAAGTGGGTGAAAGGAATCAATAAAGGGGATATAGATAAAGTTCTCATAATATCCAAGCAGGATAGGACTCGAAGCAACGGATTTTAGTTGGATAAGTTTAGGTTTAGGAGGGAGATAGGAAGGAACTGGTTCACAAATAGGGTGGTGGACAAGTGGTACAAGCTTAGGAACTTTGTAGAAAGTGTTGGAACGCTGGAAAGTTTTAAAAGGAGGCTGGATAGATTTATGGACGATAGAGAGTGGTAGTAACTCTCGACAGGAGCTGCCATGCAGAGGCCAACCGGCCCATTGCAGACTCCTTATTTTCTTATGTTCTTATTATGCTGGTGCCACCAGCCCTGGGAGGGATCTCTGAGAGTGCTTCTGCACCAGCAAGGGTGCTTGGGGGCACCATCGCTTCTGGGAGGGTCCCAGAGAGGAACCCAGTGGGCGTCAGCATTCCTGGGAGGGTCCGTGTTGATGTCGCCTTCTCCTGGAGGGTCCCTGGGGGCACCGCCGCTCTTGGGGGCGCCACCACTACTGGGAAGGCCTCTGGTGGCGCCGTCTACTTTGAAAGGGCCCCTGGGGGCGCCACCGCCGACCACTAGGAGAGCCCCTAGGTGCGTCGTCGCTCCTGGGGCCCTGCTGTCGCTGGAAGGGTCGCTGTAGCCGCGGCCAACCTTGGAAGGGTCCCTCGGGCGCTATCGCCTCTGGGAGGGTCCCTGACGGCGCCACCACCCCTCGGAGGGTCTCTGGGTGTACCGCTGCCCCTGGGAGGGCCTCTGGGAGAGCCAGACCTGTAGGGTCCCTGGCTGCAGTAGTTTTTGCGCTATTTAGAACTCTGGGCGATGAAACGTTAAATAAATACACCGCCCATCACATTTCCAGTATTATTACATCCTGAACAATGTACCGAAGAATAATATTCAACAGGAAAACATAAGTTGTGGTGTTGTGCTGACTGACTGATCTCTTCTCCTATTGGCTGTAATTTGGTGGATTAAAATAATAATCCACCAATCACAGTTAAGTAAGGGATTGCTAGAAATATGTAATAAATATGACACAATGAGCAAGTATGCCATAGGGCACCTGGGGGACCCTTTGTTGGGTCTGTGGGAGGGTCCCTGGAGGCTCTCACGCCCGCAGGAGGGTTACTTGTGGCGCTGACGTCCCTGGGAGGCCTGTGGGGGACCCATTTCCCCTGGTAGGGTCCTTGTGGGTGCCAGCATCTCTGGGTGCACCGCCTCCCTGGGAGGGCAAATGGTGGGCGCCAACACTTCTGGGAAAACCAGTGGTGGCGCCGCCGCCTTTGAGAGGAACGTTGGGCCACCGCTGCCGCTGGGAGGGCCCCAGGGGCCTCACCGCCCTTGGGAGGGTCCCTGTGGGCGCTGCAGCTCCTCGTATAGTCACTGGGGAGACCAACGTCCCTGGGATGGTCCCTCGGGACGCCGCTGCCACTGGAAGGGTTCCTGGAGGCACAGACGCACCTGGGAGGGTCCCTTGGAGGGCTGCTATCCGTGGCATTTCCCCTGAGAGCGCCAACGCACCTGAGAGGTCCCCTGGGAGCGCCACTGTCCCTGGGAGAGTCCTTGAGGACGCTGCTGTCCCTGGGAAAGCTTCTGGTAGCGCCACTCTGTGGGAGAGCCGCTGGAGTCGCCAGTGCCCATTGCAGTGCCCTTGAGGGCGTTGCCGTCCCTGGGAGGGTCTCTGTGGGTGTCGGAGTCCCTGGGAAGTCCCCTGGGAGCACGTCTGTACCTGGGAGAGCCCCTTGGGCTCCAGGGCCACTGGTAGGGCTCCTGCTGGCACCACTGCACCTGGGAGGGTCCCTGAAATCGCCGTAGCCCTAAGAAGGGTCCCTGGGGACTCCGCCACCCCTAGGCGGGTCCCTGGGAGCGCCCCCGCCCTTGTTATGGTCTCTGGGTGTACCGCCGCCCCTGGGAGGGTCTCCGGGAGAGCCAGACCTGTAGGGTCCCTGGCTGCAGTAGTTTTTGCGCAATTTAGAACTCTGGGCGATGAAACGTTAAATAAATACACCGCCCATCACATTTCCAGTATTATTACATCCTGAACAATGTACCGGAGAATAATATTCAACAGGAAAACATAAGTTGTGGTGTTGTGCTGACTGACTGATCTCTTCTCCTATTGGCTGTAATTTGGTGGATTAAAATAATAATCCACCAATCACAGTTAAGTAAGGGATTGCTAGAAATATGTAATAAATATGACACAATGAGCAAGTATGCCATAGGGCACCTGGGGGACCCTTTGTTGGGTCTGTGGGAGGGTCCCTGGAGGCGCTCCCGCCCGCAGGAGGGTTACTTGTGGCGCTGACGTCCCTGGGAGGCCTGTGGGGGACCCATTTCCCCTGGTAGGGTCCTTGTGGGTGCCAGCATCTCTGGGTGCACCGCCTCCCTGGGAGGGCAAATGGTGGGCGCCAACACTTCTGGGAAAACCAGTGGTGGCGCCGCCGCCTTTGAGAGGAACGTTGGGCCACCGCTGCCGCTGGGAGGGCCCCAGGGGCCTCACCGCCCTTGGGAGGGTCCCTGTGGGCGCTGCAGCTCCTCGTATAGTCACTGGGGAGACCAACGTCCCTGGGATGGTCCCTGGGGACGCCGCTGCCACTGGAAGGGTTCCTGGAGGCACAGACGCACCTGGGAGGGTCCCTTGGAGGGCTGCTATCCGTGGCATTTCCCCTGAGAACGCCAACGCACCTGAGAGGTCCCCTGGGAGCGTCACTGTCCCTGGGAGAGTCCTTGAGGACGCTGCTGTCCCTGGGAAGGCTTCTGGTAGCGCCACTCTATGGGAGAGCCGCTGGAGTCGCCAGTGCCCATTGCAGTGCCCTTGAGGGCGTTGCCGTCCCTGGGAGGGCCTCTGTGGGTGTCGGAGTCCCTGGGAAGTCCCCTGGGAGCACTTCTGTACCTGAGAGAGCCCCTTGGGCTCCAGGGCCACTGGTAGGGCTCCTGCTGGCACCACTGCACCTGGGAGGGTCCCTGAAATCGCCGTAGCCCTAAAAAGGGTCCCTGGGGATTCCGCCACCCCTAGGCGGGTCCCTGGGAGCGCCCCCGCCCTTGTTATGGTCTCTGGGTGTACCGCCGCCCCTGGGAGGGTCTCCGGGAGAGCCAGACCTGTAGGGTCCCTGGCTGCAGTAGTTTTTGCGCAATTTAGAACTCTGGGCGATGAAACGTTAAATAAATACACCGCCCATCACATTTCCAGTATTATTACATCCTGAACAATGTACCGGAGAATAATATTCAACAGGAAAACATAAGTTGTGGTGTTGTGCTGACTGACTGATCTCTTCTCCTATTGGCTGTAATTTGGTGGATTAAAATAATAATCCACCAATCACAGTTAAGTAAGGGATTGCTAGAAATATGTAATAAATATGACACAATGAGCAGTATGCCATAGGGCACCTGGGGGACCCTTTGTTGGGTCTGTGGGAGGGTCCCTGGAGGCTCTCCCGCCCGCAGGAGGGTTACTTGTGGCGCTGACGTCCCTGGGAGGCCTGTGGGGGACCCATTTCCCCTGGTAGGGTCCTTGTGGGTGCCAGCATCTCTGGGTGCACCGCCTCCCTGGGAGGGCAAATGGTGGGCGCCAACACTTCTGGGAAAACCAGTGGTGGCGCCGCCGCCTTTGAGAGGAACGTTGGGCCACCGCTGCCGCTGGGAGGGCCCCAGGGGCCTCACCGTCCTTGGGAGGGTCCCTGTGGGCGCTGCAGCTCCTCGTATAGTCACTGGGGAGACCAACGTCCCTGGGATGGTCCCTCGGGACGCCGCTGCCACTGGAAGGGTTCCTGGAGGCACAGACGCACCTGGGAGGGTCCCTTGGAGGGCTGCTATCCGTGGCATTTCCCCTGAGAGCGCCAACGCACCTGAGAGGTCCCCTGGGAGCGTCACTGTCCCTGGGAGAGTCCTTGAGGACGCTGCTGTCCCTGGGAAGGCTTCTGGTAGCGCCACTCTATGGGAGAGCCGCTGGAGTCGACAGTGCCCATTGCAGTGCCCTTGAGGGCGTTGCCGTCCCTGGGAGGGCCTCTGTGGGTGTCGGAGTCCCTGGGAAGTCCCCTGGGAGCACGTCTGTACCTGGGAGAGTCCCTTGTGCTCCAGGGCCACTGGTAGGGCTCCTGCTGGCACCACTGCACCTGGGAGGGTCCCTGAAATCGCCGTAGCCCTAAGAATGGTCCCTAGGGACTCCGCCACCCCTAGGCGGGTTCCTGGGATCGCCCCCGCTCTTGTTATGGTCTCTGGGTGTACCGCCGCCCCTGGGAGGGTCTCCGGGAGAGCCAGACCTGTAGGGTCCCTGGCTGCAGTAGTTTTTGCGCAATTTAGAACTCTGGGCGATGAAACGTTAAATAAATACACCGCCCATCACATTTCCAGTATTATTACATCCTGAACAATGTACCGGAGAATAATATTCAACAGGAAAACATAAGTTGTGGTGTTGTGCTGACTGACTGATCTCTTCTCCTATTGGCTGTAATTTGGTGGATTAAAATAATAATCCACCAATCACAGTTAAGTAAGGGATTGCTAGAAATATGTAATAAATATGACACAATGAGCAAGTATGCCATAGGGCACCTGGGGGACCCTTTGTTGCGTCTGTGGGAGGGTCCCTGGAGGCTCTCCCGCCCGCAGGAGGGTTACTTGTGGCGCTGACGTCCCTGGGAGGCCTGTGGGGGACCCATTTCCCCTGGTAGGGTCCTTGTGGGTGCCAGCATCTCTGGGTGCACCGCCTCCCTGGGAGGGCAAATGGTGGGCGCCAACACTTCTGGGAAAACCAGTGGTGGCGCCGCCGCCTTTGAGAGGAACGTTGGGCCACCGCTGCCGCTGGGAGGGCCCCAGGGGCCTCACCGCCCTTGGGAGGGTCCCTGTGGGCGCTGCAGCTCCTCGTATAGTCACTGGGGAGACCAACGTCCCTGGGATGGTCCCTGGGGACGCCGCTGCCACTGGAAGGGTTCCTGGAGGCACAGACGCACCTGGGAGGGTCCCTTGGAGGGCTGCTATCCGTGGCATTTCCCCTGAGAACGCCAACGCACCTGAGAGGTCCCCTGGGAGCGTCACTGTCCCTGGGAGAGTCCTTGAGGACGCTGCTGTCCCTGGGAAGGCTTCTGGTAGCGCCACTCTATGGGAGAGCCGCTGGAGTCGCCAGTGCCCATTGCAGTGCCCTTGAGGGCGTTGCCGTCCCTGGGAGGGCCTCTGTGGGTGTCGGAGTCCCTGGGAAGTCCCCTGGGAGCACGTCTGCAGCCACCTGGGAGGGCACTTGGGCTCCAGGGCCACTAGTGCAGGGCTCCTGCTGCTCCCTGCACCTGGGGTCCTGAAATCGCCGCCGCCCTAGGAAGGGTCTCTGGGGGCACTGCTGCCCCTAGGCGGGTCCCTGGGAACACTGCCACTCTCATAAGGGTCTCGGTGTACCGCCGTCCCTGGGAGGGCCTCTGGGAGCGCCAGACCTGTAGGGCCCCTGGCTGCAGTAATTTTTGCGTTTTTTAGAACTGGGCGATGAAACGTTAAACAAATAAATACACTGCCCATCACATTTCCAGTATTATTACATCCTGAATAATGTGACGGGAAATAATATTCAACAGGAAAACATAATTTGTGGTGGTGTGCTGACTGATTGATCTCCTATTGGCTGTAATTTGGTGGATTAAAACAATTGTCCACCAATCTCTACCAGTTAAATGAGGATTAGAATATGTAATAAATATGACACAATGAGAGCAAGTATGCCATAAGAGGGCACCTGGGGACCCTTTGTTGGGTCTGTGGGAGGGTCCCTGGAGGCGCTCCCGCCACAGGAGGGTTACTTGTGGCGCTGACGTCCCTGGGAGGCCTGTGGGGGACCCATTTCCCCTGGTAGGGTCCTTGTGGGTGCCAGCATCTCTGGGTGCACCGCCTCCCTGGGAGGGCAAATGGTGGGCGCCAACACTTCTGGGAAAACCAGTGGTGGCGCCGCCGCCTTTGAGAGGAACGTTGGGCCACCGCTGCCGCTGGGAGGGCCCCAGGGGCCTCACCGTCCTTGGGAGGGTCCCTGTGGGCGCTGCAGCTCCTCGTATAGTCACTGGGGAGACCAACGTCCCTGGGATGGTCCCTCGGGACGCCGCTGCCACTGGAAGGGTTCCTGGAGGCACAGACGCACCTGGGAGGGTCCCTTGGAGGGCTGCTATCCGTGGCATTTCCCCTGAGAGCGCCAACGCACCTGAGAGGTCCCCTGGGAGCGTCACTGTCCCTGGGAGAGTCCTTGAGGACGCTGCTGTCCCTGGGAAGGCTTCTGGTAGCGCCACTCTATGGGAGAGCCGCTGGAGTCGCCAGTGCCCATTGCAGTGCCCTTGAGGGCGTTGCCGTCCCTGGGAGGGCCTCTGTGGGTGTCGGAGTCCCTGGGAAGTCCCCTGGGAGCACTTCTGTACCTGAGAGAGCCCCTTGGGCTCCAGGGCCACTGGTAGGGCTCCTGCTGGCACCACTGCACCTGGGAGGGTCCCTGAAATCGCCGTAGCCCTAAGAAGGGTCCCTGGGGATTCCGCCACCCCTAGGCGGGTCCCTGGGAGCGCCCCCGCCCTTGTTATGGTCTCTGGGTGTACCGCCGCCCCTGGGAGGGTCTCCGGGAGAGCCAGACCTGTAGGGTCCCTGGCTGCAGTAGTTTTTGCGCAATTTAGAACTCTGGGCGATGAAACGTTAAATAAATACACCGCCCATCACATTTCCAGTATTATTACATCCTGAACAATGTACCGGAGAATAATATTCAACAGGAAAACATAAGTTGTGGTGTTGTGCTGAGTGACTGATCTCTTCTCCTATTGGCTGTAATTTGGTGGATTAAAATAATAATCCACCAATCACAGTTAAGTAAGGGATTGCTAGAAATATGTAATAAATATGACACAATGAGCAAGTATGCCATAGGGCACCTGGGGGACCCTTTGTTGGGTCTGTGGGAGGTTCCCTGGAGGCTCTCCCGCCCGCAGGAGGGTTACTTGTGGCGCTGACGTCCCTGGGAGGCCTGTGGGGGACCCATTTCCCCTGGTAGGGTCCTTGTGGGTGCCAGCATCTCTGGGTGCACCGCCTCCCTGGGAGGGCAAATGGTGGGCGCCAACACTTCTGGGAAAACCAGTGGTGGCGCCGCCGCCTTTGAGAGGAACGTTGGGCCACCGCTGCCGCTGGGAGGGCCCCAGGGGCCTCACCGCCCTTGGGAGGGTCCCTGTGGGCGCTGCAGCTCCTCGTATAGTCACTGGGGAGACCAACGTCCCTGGGATGGTCCCTCGGGACGCCGCTGCCACTGGAAGGGTTCCTGGAGGCACAGACGCACCTGGGAGGGTCCCTTGGAGGGCTGCTATCCGTGGCATTTCCCCTGAGAGCGCCAACGCACCTGAGAGGTCCCCTGGGAGCGTTACTGTCCCTGGGATGAGTCCTGAGGACGCTGCTGTCCCTGGAAGGCTTCAGAAGCGTCACCAATGGGAGAGCTGTTGAGTCGCCAGTGCCCATTGCAGTGCTCCTTGAGGGTGTTGCTGTCCTGAGGGCCTCTCTGCAAGCCGGAGTCCTGGAAGTCCCCTGGGAGCATTGCCCACTTGGGAGAGGCCTCTGGCCCAGGGCCACTGGCAGGGCCCCTGCTGGCACCCACTGCACCTGGGAGGGTCCCTAAATCGCCGAGGCCCCAATAAGGGTCCCTGGGGACCTGGCCACCCCTAGGTGGGTCCCTGGGAGCGCCCCTGCCCTGTTATGGTCTCTTGGTACTGCCGCCCCTGAGGGAACCGGGGAGGTTGCACCCAGTAGGGTCCCTGGCTGCAGTAGTTTTTGCGCTATTTAGAACTCTGGGCGATGAAACGTTAAATAAATACACCGCCCATCACATTTCCAGTATTATTACATCCTGAACAATGTACCGAAGAATAATATTCAACAGGAAAACATAAGTTGTGGTGTTGTGCTGACTGACTGATCTCTTCTCCTATTGGCTGTAATTTGGTGGATTAAAATAATAATCCACCAATCACAGTTAAGTAAGGGATTGCTAGAAATATGTAATAAATATGACACAATGAGCAAGTATGCCATAGGGCACCTGGGGGACCCTTTGTTGGGTCTGTGGGAGGGTCCCTGGAGGCTCTCACGCCCGCAGGAGGGTTACTTGTGGCGCTGACGTCCCTGGGAGGCCTGTGGGGGACCCATTTCCCCTGGTAGGGTCCTTGTGGGTGCCAGCATCTCTGGGTGCACCGCCTCCCTGGGAGGGCAAATGGTGGGCGCCAACACTTCTGGGAAAACCAGTGGTGGCGCCGCCGCCTTTGAGAGGAACGTTGGGCCACCGCTGCCGCTGGGAGGGCCCCAGGGGCCTCACCGCCCTTGGGAGGGTCCCTGTGGGCGCTGCAGCTCCTCGTATAGTCACTGGGGAGACCAACGTCCCTGGGATGGTCCCTCGGGACGCCGCTGCCACTGGAAGGGTTCCTGGAGGCACAGACGCACCTGGGAGGGTCCCTTGGAGGGCTGCTATCCGTGGCATTTCCCCTGAGAGCGCCAACGCACCTGAGAGGTCCCCTGGGAGCGCCACTGTCCCTGGGAGAGTCCTTGAGGACGCTGCTGTCCCTGGGAAAGCTTCTGGTAGCGCCACTCTGTGGGAGAGCCGCTGGAGTCGCCAGTGCCCATTGCAGTGCCCTTGAGGGCGTTGCCGTCCCTGGGAGGGTCTCTGTGGGTGGGTGTCGGAGTCCCTGGGAAGTCCCCTGGGAGCACGTCTGTACCTGGGAGAGCCCCTTGGGCTCCAGGGCCACTGGTAGGGCTCCTGCTGGCACCACTGCACCTGGGAGGGTCCCTGAAATCGCCGTAGCCCTAAGAAGGGTCCCTGGGGACTCCGCCACCCCTAGGCGGGTCCCTGGGAGCGCCCCCGCCCTTGTTATGGTCTCTGGGTGTACCGCCGCCCCTGGGAGGGTCTCCGGGAGAGCCAGACCTGTAGGGTCCCTGGCTGCAGTAGTTTTTGCGCAATTTAGAACTCTGGGCGATGAAACGTTAAATAAATACACCGCCCATCACATTTCCAGTATTATTACATCCTGAACAATGTACCGGAGAATAATATTCAACAGGAAAACATAAGTTGTGGTGTTGTGCTGACTGACTGATCTCTTCTCCTATTGGCTGTAATTTGGTGGATTAAAATAATAATCCACCAATCACAGTTAAGTAAGGGATTGCTAGAAATATGTAATAAATATGACACAATGAGCAAGTATGCCATAGGGCACCTGGGGGACCCTTTGTTGGGTCTGTGGGAGGGTCCCTGGAGGCGCTCCCGCCCGCAGGAGGGTTACTTGTGGCGCTGACGTCCCTGGGAGGCCTGTGGGGGACCCATTTCCCCTGGTAGGGTCCTTGTGGGTGCCAGCATCTCTGGGTGCACCGCCTCCCTGGGAGGGCAAATGGTGGGCATAACACTAGGAGAGAAAACCAGTGGTGGCACCGCCGCCTGCTGAGAGGAACGTTGGGCCTGCTTTGCCGCTGGGAGGGCCCCCAGGGCCTCCTGCCGTCCTTGGGAGGAGGGTCCCTGTGACGCTGCAGCTCCTCATTACTAGTCACTGGGGAGACCAGCATCCCTGGGATGGTCCCTCCAGGACGCCGCTGCCACTGGAAGGAAGGGGTTCCTGGAGGCACAGACGCACCTGGGAGGGTCCTTGGAGGGGGCTACTATCCGTGGCATTTCAGGCACCATTACACCTAGAGGTCCCCTGGGAGCGTCACTGTCCCTAGGAGAGTCCTTGGGGCGCTGTCCCTGGGAGAGCTTCTGGTACTGGCGCCACTCTATGGGAGAGCCGCTGGGAGTCGCCAGTACTTGTTGCAGATGCCCTTGAGGGCGTTACCGTCCCTGAGGCCTCCTAGCCCAGGGTGTCGGAGTCCCTGGGAAGTCCCCTGGGAGCACGTCTGTACCTGGGAGAGCCCCTTGGGCTCCAGGGCCACTGGTAGGGCTCCTGCTGGCACCACTGCACCTGGGAGGGTCCCTGAAATCGCCGTAGCCCTAAGAAGGGTCTCTGGGGACTCCGCCACCCCTAGGCGGGTCCCTGGGAGCGCCCCCGCCCTTGTTATGGTCTCTGGGTGTACCGCCGCCCCTGGGAGGGTCTCCGGGAGAGCCAGACCTGTAGGGTCCCTGGCTGCAGTAGTTTTTGCGCAATTTAGAACTCTGGGCGATGAAACGTTAAATAAATACACCGCCCATCACATTTCCAGTATTATTACATCCTGAACAATGTACCGGAGAATAATATTCAACAGGAAAACATAAGTTGTGGTGTTGTGGTGACTGACTGATCTCTTCTCCTATTGGCTGTAATTTGGTGGATTAAAATAATAATCCACCAATCACAGTTAAGTAAGGGATTGCTAGAAATATGTAATAAATATGACACAATGAGCAAGTATGCCATAGGGCACCTGGGGGACCCTTTGTTGGGTCTGTGGGAGGGTCCCTGGAGGCGCTCCCGCCCGCAGGAGGGTTACTTGTGGCGCTGACGTCCCTGGGAGGCCTGTGGGGGACCCATTTCCCCTGGTAGGGTCCTTGTGGGTGCCAGCATCTCTGGGTGCACCGCCTCCCTGGGAGGGCAAATGGTGGGCGCCAACACTTCTGGGAAAACCAGTGGTGGCGCCGCCGCCTTTGAGAGGAACGTTGGGCCACCGCTGCCGCTGGGAGGGCCCCAGGGGCCTCACCGCCCTTGGGAGGGTCCCTGTGGGCGCTGCAGCTCCTGGTATAGTCACTGGGGAGACCAACGTCCCTGGGATGGTCCCTGGGGACGCCGCTGCCACTGGAAGGGTTCCTGGAGGCACAGACGCACCTGGGAGGGTCCCTTGGAGGGCTGCTATCCGTGGCATTTCCCCTGAGAGCCAACGCACCTGAGAGGTCCCCTGGGAGCGTGTCCCTGGGAGAGTCCTTGAGGACGCTGCTGTCCCTGGGAAGGCTTCTGGTAGCGCCACTCTATGGGAGAGCCGCTGGAGTCGCCAGTGCCCATTGCAGTGCCCTTGAGGGCGTTGCCGTCCCTGGGAGGGCCTCTGTGGGTGTCGGAGTCCCTGGGAAGTCCCCTGGGAGCACTTCTGTACCTGAGAGAGCCCCTTGGGCTCCAGGGCCACTGGTAGGGCTCCTGCCCCTGGCACCACTGCAGGGCCACTGGTAGGGCTCCTGCTGGCACCACTGCACCTGGGAGGGTCCCTGAAATCGCCGTAGCCCTAAGAAGGGTCCCTGGGGATTCCGCCACCCCTAGGCGGGTCCCTGGGAGCGCCCCCGCCCTTGTTATGGTCTCTGGGTGTACCGCCGCCCCTGGGAGGGTCTCCGGGAGAGCCAGACCTGTAGGGTCCCTGGCTGCAGTAGTTTTTGCGCAATTTAGAACTCTGGGCGATGAAACGTTAAATAAATACACCGCCCATCACATTTCCAGTATTATTACATCCTGAACAATGTACCGGAGAATAATATTCAACAGGAAAACATAAGTTGTGGTGTTGTGCTGACTGACTGATCTCTTCTCCTATTGGCTGTAATTTGGTGGATTAAAATAATAATCCACCAATCACAGTTAAGTAAGGGATTGCTAGAAATATGTAATAAATATGACACAATGAGCAAGTATGCCATAGGGCACCTGGGGGACCCTTTGTTGGGTCTGTGGGAGGGTCCCTGGAGGCTCTCCCGCCCGCAGGAGGGTTACTTGTGGCGCTGACGTCCCTGGGAGGCCTGTGGGGGACCCATTTCCCCTGGTAGGGTCCTTGTGGGTGCCAGCATCTCTGGGTGCACCGCCTCCCTGGGAGGGCAAATGGTGGGCGCCAACACTTCTGGGAAAACCAGTGGTGGCGCCGCCGCCTTTGAGAGGAACGATGGGCCACCGCTGCCGCTGGGAGGGCCCCAGGGGCCTCACCGCCCTTGGGAGGGTCCCTGTGGGCGCTGCAGCTCCTCGTATAGTCACTGGGGAGACCAACGTCCCTGGGATGGTCCCTCGGGACGCCGCTGCCACTGGAAGGGTTCCTGGAGGCACAGACGCACCTGGGAGGGTCCCTTGGAGGGCTGCTATCCGTGGCATTTCCCCTGAGAGCGCCAACGCACCTGAGAGGTCCCCTGGGAGCGTCACTGTCCCTGGGAGAGTCCTTGAGGACGCTGCTGTCCCTGGGAAGGCTTCTGGTAGCGCCACTCTATGGGAGAGCCGCTGGAGTCGCCAGTGCCCATTGCAGTGCCCTTGAGGGCGTTGCCGTCCCTGGGAGGGCCTCTGTGGGTGTCGGAGTCCCTGGGAAGTCCCCTGGGAGCACGTCTGTACCTGGGAGAGCCCCTTGGGCTCCAGGGCCACTGGTAGGGCTCCTGCTGGCACCACTGCACCTGGGAGGGTCCCTGAAATCGCCGTAGCCCTAAGAAGGGTCCCTGGGGACTCCGCCACCCCTAGGCGGGTCCCTGGGAGCGCCCCCGCCCTTGTTATGGTCTCTGGGTGTACCGCCGCCCCTGGGAGGGTCTCCGGGAGAGCCAGACCTGTAGGGTCCCTGGCTGCAGTAGTTTTTGCGCAATTTAGAACTCTGGGCGATGAAACGTTAAATAAATACACCGCCCATCACATTTCCAGTATTATTACATCCTGAACAATGTACCGGAGAATAATATTCAACAGGAAAACATAAGTTGTGGTGTTGTGCTGACTGACTGATCTCTTCTCCTATTGGCTGTAATTTGGTGGATTAAAATAATAATCCACCAATCACAGTTAAGTAAGGGATTGCTAGAAATATGTAATAAATATGACACAATGAGCAAGTATGCCATAGGGCACCTGGGGGACCCTTTGTTGGGTCTGTGGGAGGGTCCCTGGAGGCTCTCCCGCCCGCAGGAGGGTTACTTGTGGCGCTGACGTCCCTGGGAGGCCTGTGGGGGACCCATTTCCCCTGGTAGGGTCCTTGTGGGTGCCAGCATCTCTGGGTGCACCGCCTCCCTGGGAGGGCAAATGGTGGGCGCCAACACTTCAGGGAAAACCAGTGGGTTTTTTTAGGGGGTTGGGGGGGGGGTGTGGTACAGGGGGACGAGCGGCCATGTGAGAAACATATATTTATTTTTTATTAGGAAATTTTCACTAAAAATGTGTATAATATATATATATATATATATATATATATATATCACAAACCTAGACTTGCGAAAATCCTAGTGGCGCCGTGAACCTCTAAGTGATCACCTAAGTGATACGGGTAGTCCCCTTTAGAGGTTCACGGCGCCATAAGCTCGTTGAACAGGCTTTGTGTGAAATATAACAGAGTCTAGGACAGCTTTTATTATCCTGGTGGTCCAGAGGTAGCGTTCCCGGACACTGTCATGGGCTCGTGGGGCCGGGTGCTTCGGTATATTAATAGTTAATTTATATTATATATATATATATATATATATATATATATATATATATATATATATATATATATATATATGTGTGTGTGTGTGTGTGTGTGTGTGTGTGTGTCAAACACTTGTCAACTTGTATGATGATTGAGGTGTATAAACATCTCAAAGGGCACAAATCAGTTGAGCGCCCTCACCTGGAACTGGCGGACGCTCGCCCCACAAGGGGTCACAGGCTCACAGCTCAAGGTTAAAGAAGCCGCAAGCCCAGAAAACTGTGACGGGTAACTTTTTGGGAGTGAGAGTTGTGAACTCTTGGAACAATCAGCCAAAGAGTGTTGTGACGGCACCAAGTGTAAGCTGTTTCAAGACCAGATTTGACCAACACTGGAGCAGGTTCAGGTACATGCAGGAGCCGGTGCATGCCCAGTACTTGCCAACAGTGCGGAACAGAGACGTCACCGATCGCCCAAGCGGCTAACGAGCCGATCAGTGGTGATAAGGATAAAAGTAAAAAGTAAAGTAAAGGACTTTATTTAAGACGTGAACAGTACAGTACCTCAGCAACTACAATAAAATATGGATTCATAAATGATCCTAACTTTGTACAACTTACCTGAAATATTACAAACAGTAATAATTCGGCCATTTAATTTAGATGCAAATCATTTACCTAACTGCCCCAGTGAAAATACAACTCTTGGTTAATATTTATATTTGTACTGTAATAAGTTCTTAAGTGTTTGGCACTTCTCTGATAATGAAATGACCATTAAATATATGAAGAAATTCAATAAAAGTGGGTATTTGCCAAACTTTTTGATAAAACAAACGAAAGATGTATTGTAAAAAGCCATTTTGAAAAACTTGTGAATGTTGCATTGAGATCCTCACTACTACCATACTGCGGCAGACATACTCAGGTGGGAAATAAATCTAGATATAAGAACGATAAGATAGATAGAAAATGACACGAATAACTATTACATTATTAGTAAAGAGAAAACAATGGTTATGCAGAGAACCATGACAGTAGGAAGGTAAGATATAACTCCTCATCTCCTCGCCCCGGTGTTTGTGTTTAAGCTGCGACAAAGCTTGATGCTCAGCTGTGTCTGTTCCCAAAAAGAGGTTGGTATTCGATAAGATTTATTTTCATTACTTCTCCTTACTTCTGTTACAGTTTTATACATCGATATATCTCTGTATCTCCTTATTGACACAAGACACATTACTTTTATCCATTTTTATCTATTAAATACTGAATAACTAACTTCTCTGTAATGCGTACGGAGCCTAACCAGCATTCGAGTTTTTACGTAGATGTCTTAAAGGATTTGGACACGTATGGTTAGGAGGGGCATATAAGATGTGTTTGTGTGTAATTCTATCAGTGGACGACACACACACACACACACACAGTCTGTAAAAAAGAGCAGATATAAAGACAAATATTTCGTTGTCCTGTTGTCTTGTTATTTTAAGCGAGGGGTATTTTTTCTTCTGTGTTGACGTGTAAGGGTGATGACGAGGCATTTCTGTGGATGAAGGAAATATATATGAAGTTTATTTTATATTCAAGAGGAAAGTTTAGACACACACACACAGAGGATCATTCATGTACAGAAGTTGACCTGTAGGATCAAGTAACAAAACTCTATGGACGATGGAGGTGTTATGGAGTGATAAGAGTATAAGATATGATGACAAAGATATTTATTTATGATGATGATGACACACAGCTGTACAATACGTATACCTCTTGCGGGAAAGTGAAGACGTCTCCTCAAGTGCAACGACGGTGTCAAGTAGTGCCGTGTTCTTCGTTTCTGGCAGCATCAAGGTAACCCCAGCAGCTAACAGCCCCGTCACTCCACACACCACCGATGGCGCTGACACCCATACAGTACGCTGGCCATCCACCCCATCATAATAAATAACTATATTAATACACTGACAGGATAGTACTACGTAATAGAAGTACATGATATTGATACCAAGACTTGAATTAGACTGAAATAAGGGATCAAGAATGTATACAGTGGGGGTGAAAGGGTGGTGGATTTAATGGTGTTTTGAAGTCACTACGAATACTTGGATCATTTAGAAGTAATATTGACAATTAATAGACAAAAGACAGTAGCCGAACTTAAGAAGCATTTTATGATTTTAGGTCCAAGTCGATATCCTGTTAAACCTTGTAGAAAAACACATCTACGACTAGAAATATTAACCAAATATAGTGATAGAATGAGTGTTTATAGATGTGCTTTAAAGTTTAATTCATAATTTAACATCTAGGAGAATGACTTAATGATAGAACCCGTATCTAGTCATTTAACTTAACCCATACCAATTTAACCTAATCTAACGCAACTCAATCTAGTCCGACCCAGTTTAAACCCAACCCAACCCAACCCAACCCGACCCCACCGAACCCAACCCAACCCCACCGAACCCAACCCGACCCCACCGAACCCAACCTCTCTACTCAGGTCACAGACTCACCAAAGTGTCCATCAAATAAGGAGCAAGAGTTGAGCCCAATTTAGCCACCATTGCGGAGGTTCCTAAGCCTCTGTCGCGAACTTCAGTAGGGAAGAGTTCAGAACTATGTAAATAGATGATCTGATAGGCAGCACTGATGGCCATCTTGCCTATCATGGCCAGAGTCATCACTAGCCAGCCTATATCTGAAATGATGATAGTCTATTTGATATTTTTATAGGTAAATATATATTTTTTTGAGCATCTGAATTGAAAAGTTGTTTTAAGTATAATATTGTCGATAGGTTTTGATAAATGTTTCCTCACTATACTGGATGTAGTGTAGATAATGCAGTGGATGTAGTGTGGATAGTGTAGCGGATGTAGTGTGGATAGTGTAGCGGATGTAGTGTGGATAGTGTAGCGGATGTAGTGTGGATAGTGTAGCGGATGTAGTGTGGATAGTGTAGCGGATGTAGTGTGGATAGTTTAGAGGATGTAGTGTGGATAGTTTAGAGGATGTAGTGTGGATAGTTTAGAGGATGTAGTGTGGATGTTCCTCAAAAAACAAAACCTAGGCAATTCAAGAACGCCCAATTAGTACCCACCACAATCACCTCACCTCAGTCTGGGAAATATTCACTAATAAATAAAACTGTCGCTATGATATGCACAAATAACTCACTTAATGGGACGATGGCAAGAGCGAGAAGAGAGATGCCAGTCATGAGAAGACAGATGATGTTGGATAACCTTCGTCCTAGGTACTGAATCATAGGGACGGTGACAGTGGCTCCGGGTATCTCAACTAAGCCACTCAGAGCCATGTAAATAAACGGGTTAGAGCCGAAACCTTCACCTCCCAAAGACAGGCCCAGGAAAACCAGTCCAGAGGTTAAGTAAATGAAGTATATAGCCAGTGTTCTAGCTCGCATCTTTCTCGTTCTGTTGAGGGAAGTAGAAATTTGTGGTTAAAAGTTTTTGTGAAAGATAAAACCAAAATATTATATTCACTCATTGACTTTATTTTTATTAAGGTAAATGTTCTTCAGTTACTGCACTACGTTACTGTTAATAATTTAATTTTTTTAGGTCTTTAAAATATATTATTTCTTTAACTGACGAAGAAAACATTGGTTCAGTTTTGATAAGTTTCCATATGAATGTCAACTTCCAGTATATAGTAAAGATGAGTTGCTGATGAGGACGACAATGCTCAATGATAAATGATTTAACTTTCGGTGTTACTGCTGCCTTAAACTAAGCAGGTCAATAAGAACAGCTTCAACATCTGTAACACTTTCTCCAAAATTAATAAAAGTATTAAACACTTATATGGTCAGTTGAGTGATAAGACGTTAAAAAAACTACCTTGAAGTTCTTGGGCTCCAAACTCCTTGAAATAATTAGTAAACAAAGAGAAACAGATTACCAGTTCCTGTATTATCGTCTAAGATGTCTGGATACTAAGGTCCAACTCACCTGAGCAGTACCGTAAACTCCCCGACAAAGGTACGCAGAAAGGAGACGAAACCTTCACTCTTCATGCCGGTGGAGGCCTTCGAGTTCTGCACGTGAGGAAATTAAATAGATTTATCAGATATTTTTATATTCAGTAGTTTACGTCATGATTCAGTATTTTTGACTTATAATGTTTGGGGAGACAGACCGCATTACCTCACTGGCAATGTTTTTCATCATGGTAAGCAGTTGGTCCCGGGGAGGTAATGTGGCCTTGTTCCAGCGGGCGGCCTTCTCCAGCACCTTCATGGCCCGGTCATGTTGCCCCTGGACGATAAGCCACCGCGGCGACTCGTCCAAAAACCTGAAATTGTAGTTGTCATCAGAATTAAATCCCTTAATAAGAATATGTTAGGGCGATTGATTTTAAGCTGAGGTGGAGATTCTTCTTATTGACAATAGTTAAAATAAACCCTTACCACAGAGTAGGGAGGAAGAGGAGTGAAGGGACTGTGGAAACAATCATGAGCCATCGCCAGTCTCTGAAGAGGTAACCCATAGCACCCCAGGTCATCACAGAGATGGTCCACGGCAGGAATATCATAATGCCCATGACTGACCTAAGGCGTGGCTCAGTCGTCTCTATAACTGTTGGATCCAAAGTGATTATCATGATTAGACAAGGTTGTATAATCTTCTATGGGGTAATTGTTATCATTAGCCAATATTCTATAATCTTCTATGGGAGTAATATATAGTACAGTTGCGGACAGAATTCCCTGGATACTTGGTAGTATCAGGTATGTTACAGTAATTACTTGAGGATCATTAAGTGAGAGGATTGGAATTTTAACATATTTTCTCAGATTTTAACACATTTTCTCAGATTTTAACACATAATTTCCAGATTTTATCAAATTTTCTCAGATTTTAACACATTTTCTCAGATTTCAGCACATTTTTCTCAGATTTTAACACATTTTCTCAGATTTCAACACATTTTCTCAGATTTTAACACATAATTTCCAGATTTTATCAAATTTTCTCAGATTTTAACAAAATTTCTCAGTTTAAATATTTTTTTCTCAGATTTTACTTTGTATTAAGGAGTGTTTTTTGTTTTAATTATGTTGGTTCCGACATAAGAGTCACCCCTAGAATTAGATGCCATTTATTACCAAGTTAAGTTAGGTTAGGTTAAGTTAGGTTAGGTTAGATTAGGTTAGGTTAGGTTTACAATAGGACAAAAAAAAAGATGTATATCAAACAATATTTACCGATGGTGTAAGCTGTCTGCAGGGACGTTGGGTGCATGAGACCTACGATGAAACGAAACACCAATATAGCTGACATGTTAGGTAACCAGCTTAAACAGTTACCCACAACAGCGTAGGTAATAGTGCCAATTGCCATTATCCTCTTGCGTCCATACCTGTAAGTTGACACATGAGTCTGAGTAAATTAACAGCTCATAAGGTATTAATCAAGCTTCACAAGGTACTACTTAAGCTTCACAAGGTACCACTTAAGCTTCACAAGGTATTACTCCTTAAGCTTCACAAGATACTCCCTAAGCTTCACAAGGTATTGCTACTTATGCTTCACAAGGTACCACTTAAGCTTCATAAGATACTCCTTAAGCTTCACAAGATACTCCTTAAGCTTCACAAGGTATTGCTACTTATGCTTCACAAGGTACCACTTAAGCTTCACAAGGTACAAAAAACAGCATCGAGAGAAGATAGTTACTTGTCAGAGAGCCAGCCACTGATAGAGGAGGAGAGACAAGCACCTATAAAATATATGCTGGTGTAGGTTGGCCTCAGGGACTTATAATCACATACCAACTCGAACTGCAATGAATAAAAACACAGACTTATAACAAAGAAGAAAAATATCATATTATTATTCTACGATTCTACGATACTGAAGTTTGTATTAGTTAACAACATGATATTGTTTGAAGTTTGTATTAGTTAACAGTATGATATTGTATTTAGTGAGGGTTTGGGGGGTGGGGGGTTATTCATGAGTAAAATACGTTTTGTTGATAATTATATTTGTTCTAATGATGAGGTCTTTAATACAGTCGTTTTTGAGGCATAGATGAGGTGGTTATAACATAGATGAAATACATACAGTAATTTTTTTATTGTAACTGTGTATTGGTGACTGGGATAAATACATCCCTGTTACTGTGTTAAAAACTATCAAGAAGACATTTATTAGATATGAAGACTCGATACATTAGTAGGGGTAATTATAACCTCTGATGTAAGGGTGCTGTAGAAGGTGGAGTTATCGAAGATCCAACGAGTACAAGGTCGTATCTCCTCACTACCGTCTTCACCCATCATCAGGTATTCACACGGCGAGCTGATAAAGACGAAATATATAGTAGCAATGGTCAAAACTTATGCCTGTGGTGAATTAGCGTAAGACTACATGCCTAATTGTTTTTCTCAGGTATTAAGAATTCTTATGTTTATTTTCCAGTTGGCAGGGTGGCATGGGGGCAATATGAAGCATTAAACTGAGAGATATAAAAAGTTGTAGTGGGTGAATGGATAAATTACTCATATCCTGTTTAAAAGTCTGCCCACCCTCCCGCTGGTTGTCCCCAGGGCACTCCCAGTCAGCTATAGAATTAGGGAGTGAAGGCAGGCGAGTGTACTGCCTGGCCATATTACCTTATACTGTACTGTACCTTGGTTATGGGTCAATCAACTGGTGAGGAGGTTATTTTAGTGAAATCATGGTTAAACACACACACACACACAGAAGAGGTGATGACTTACACTTGAGTGGTGTTGGAGTGATTGGTGAGGAGTGGGATGGCACCCTCAGGGAGGAGACAGGAGTGGTCCACTTGTGGTGCGAGGAAGGAGCCACCCAGGGATATACAAGGTATCTGGAGCGTCCCTGTCATGATCACAAAAATATGGTGAATAGACCAGCACCCAACAGAAAGTCGCAGTTTCAGTTTGGAGGGAAAATTACTCAAGAACCATTGAGAATTAGTTCCAATGATAATGTATAAAGATTAAAATTTGTCACTGAATGTTTCTAAGCCAATCAGGACTTTATTATTTCTTATACTATTTATTTATTTAATATAAAATGAAGACAGAAACCCCCATTACAATGCCTTTAGTTAGGGAGGCTGATGTCAGGCAGCTTTATTATAAATTCTCGTCTAAAGTAAATAAGAATAAAAGAAACAGTCTTAACCTCCCGACAGAGCGATATGGAATCACTCTTTATTCTACAGGTTCCTTCATCTTGAGAATGAATTGGAACAAAGCACTAAGGAACTGGTATCTGGCAAAAGTGAACTTGATATTATGATTGAGTCCGTGAGTTCGTAATAATTCATGACTAAAAAGAGAGGGGGATAAAATAGAACACTGAGATGCGACCTTACAATACATGATGCTAGCGATCAACAGCAGGTTCCACTTGCCGGTGCCCAGCTGCGTGAGGGTGTCGTCAAACTGGTTACTGGCTCCCATCTTCACACGATCTGATCAGAAAATTTAATGCTTTTATTATGAATTTTTTATTGTTATATTAGTCTGCTTAGTTAATTAAGAATCCTCATTTAATATCTTTGTGGAGTCGTGTAAGAATTGTCTGTATATAATTCCATACAATTTTAGAAATTTTTAGATATTTGCCATCCACAGATAACATAAGATAACCACAGATAAATGCCTGTTTCTTTAGTCATATATAAATTTTGTCTGAAATAAAGTTATCTAGTATTGTAAGGGGGTCACCTGTATGGCCAAGGAAGAAAGTGACTCGTAAGCCTCTCGAAACCTCCCTGTATCTCGTGAACCTCCAAGCTATGGTAAAAGATACCAGGTTCAACCTTATGTCTGACTTTCTGCTTGTAAATGACTGAGGATTTATTGTTCTCATGCTACGAGCCATACACTGTGCTTTACCGGTTCTTGATGTCTACTCTCAATGGGGTCGAGTTTTCTACTTAGGAATATCAATTATACAAAATGACGGATTTCCTCAACCTGGTTTCGTAATTACGTCACTTGTAGAATGTCTATGGGGTTTTGTTATCGTGAGGTGTTGACTTAAATAGAGAGAACAACGAACAGGAAGTGGCGACACCCAAGACTAAAAATTGTTTTGACTGCCTCAAGGAACTGATTTGCGAGACTGAACTGAGGGAGTTGTCTCAGTATTGGACAATGTATCATTTCATTCATGATTATATTCATCTGAGTGTTTCGTCTCTTCCATTTCTTCATTGTTGTTGTTTGCTTCCAGGCTGTAGTAGTGGAAATAGTTGTGGGTTGGGTCTAGTGAGTGGTTCTGGCAGCTCCCTGAACAACAACTTTTATCCACCATGGTTGAGTGTGATTGAGAGATCATGTTCATCCCTAAGAGTGTCCGTGAATTGCCATTATCAAAGACAGTAAACAAGTATATGTGTCTCTCGCTGTCATGGCTTACCACAGACCGCTCACATTCATGATTCATCAAAGACCAAGGCTCAAGGTCTCCTGACGAAGGTTACCAGCCTTTAGCAACGCCCTGATTCGTGTGGTTGTATGAAAACCTGAGGACCATCCAAATACTGTTGACGAATCTCTTAATAATTTCCCTGCAGCAGACGTTAATGCTCGTGGGGGATAAGTGATCATATTACCTTCAGGTAGGTGGTGGTCGGCAGCTGTCAAACGGGGAGGTACTACCGCCTGGGATGATATTGGACACATAATGTGTTGTCTAATGGTAGACCCTGCTGCTATATGTGACCAAGTACCAGGTTGTTGATCTGACTTTCTGCCTCATTTACACACAATTGCAGGGTCTCCATTTGTTACCGCCACAGTAAGATAAGCTAGAAGAGAGAGAAAGAGAGGGATAACCATAATAAGATAAACTAGGCGAGAGAGAGAGAGAGAGAGGGTATGAGATAAGAGATATAGTGTTGACAACGAATTTGCTGACCAATCTGCTGAGGTGTTTCAATACGAAAACATATGGCCCTCGCCTCCGGGCTGAGATTGCCCTCGAGGGTAGTCTACTGATTTCTACAGGACAACACGTTGGTTCAGACCACTAGACCCTAAAACGTGAGTGATCGTGAAGTATTAGAATCTGCTAAGAAACTCTAAATAACTTTTATAAGTATATTTGTGTACTGCAATTTGATCATATTATACCAATTGTCTCCTGTATCAATAGTTATAACATGCGAGTTATATTTAAGATGTTAACAGGCTATGTACTGTATATTGATTGTATTTCATAATATGTGTCCTGAGATAACAGCATTTGTTATATGAGAAATGTTCTTTAACAGGTTTTGACCGAATTATATGGTACGCGTCAACGTTGAGGGTTTATTTCTCCAGCAACAAACCAATAACGCTCCTATGAGCGTTAACACCATTGTTTCTCTTACTTTGTCAACACAGCATACACACAGTATATCGTTTCTCACTATTGAATTTTTTTTTAATTTGTATTTATTTATCATCATCATCATCATCATTATTATTATTATTATTATTATTATTATTATTATTATTATTATTATTATTATTATTATTATTATTATTATTATTATTATTATTATTATTATTATTATTATTATTATTATTATTATTATTATTATTATTATTATTATTATTTTTATTATTATTATGATTACATTTTCGCCCCCCAGGCCCTGATGTGGGTCATTGGCCAGTACCCGGGTGGACTAATACCATTAAAAAAAAAAGGTCTGTTATGATGCTACACAATGGAGGGCCCCGGATGTAATATACAGGAAATTTGTGAACCAATAAGACATTAGTTTCCCTCAAGTACCTCCTCAATCCTCAACGGTTTATTCGCTCTAATCTTGTATTCGTGGTCGTGATTGTCAGCTTTATGACGATATTATGATAAGTCAGAAAATTTAAGTTGATATCAGTTGTCGCCATTTTTATTCACACAGTAATTTAAATACTTCAAATTCTCCCTGTGAAGAAATTTAGAGAGAAAACACCACCCCTATTGACCATTGAGGTGTGTGTGTGTGTGTGTGTGTGTGTGTGCGTGTGCGTGTGTGTGTGTGTGTGTGTGTGTGTGTGTGTGTGTGTGTGTGTGTGTGTGTGTGTGTGTCCTTAAAACTATTTAGATTTTCAATTCCCTGGTTCCCCAAATTGACGAATCATAAATAACTATAAAATCAAATTCACTACGATCATATCAATAGCAGAGCATTTTTATGAGGGAGAGGCGATCAACTTGTAAGATATTGTGAGATACGAGCATGATGGAGGAGCTGGTAGGTAGGGAGGCAAGAGTCCACCTCGGTAATGGGGGAGGATTATGCGTACTGACGGGGCTCACAATTGTTTTTCAGCTATGGGGGAGAGGGAGAGGAGAGGAGGGGAGGGGAGGGGAGGGAAGGGGAAGGGGAGGGAAGGGGAAGGGAGAGGAGAGGAGGGGAAGAAAGTGGAAAGGGGAGGGGAGAAAATAATTAAGCACATGGATACTTTTTAATTATGGCTACTGGACGTTATGTGTTGTTCTCTTCCTCATGACACCTCATACACCTCTGGTCGCATTCATCCCCTCACACCCACCCACACACACACATCCTGGACTGAAGTGATCACGTTAGACGATGTGCAGAACAAGTGGGATAACTACCTGGACACTATCACCAAAGCCTACCACCACTTCTTTCCAGCCAAGACACTGAGGATCCACCCCGATGATGTCCCGTGGATTACACCCTGTATCAAAAGACTAATTGAGCAGCACAACAAGGCATACTACACCAACAACTGCCTGTACAAAAGTCTACGTAACCAGGTCATCAGGGAAATCAAGTCAGCCAAGAAGTCTTATTATCCCAGGAAAGTGCACGGCCTCAAGGAGGTCGGCATCGGTCAGTGGTACTCCAAGGTTAAAGATCTCTGTGGTCTTAACCGTCAGTCTCCCACACTTCCTTTCATCTCACATTTACCTAGAGAGGAGGCAGCTGAGATAATTAATAACCATTTTGCTACCATATGTATACCTTACCTAGTCTTGACCTCACTCTCCTCCCAGCTTACTTACCTTCCCCCTTCCCCCCTCCCAGTGTTCAACCATTTGAAATCGCCAACAAACTCCTGAAATTTAAATCCAAACGCTCCACAGCCCCAATCGACCTCCCAATCAAAATATACAAGGGGTTTGCAGTCGAACTTGCCACCCCCCTCTGTTCTATTTAATGCATCCGTCAGACAAAGCAAATGCCTTAATGATTGGAAAACCGCATTTGTCACCCCCTATCCCCAAGTTCCCCCACCCCACAGTCCCCTAACGACCTCAGGCCAGTTGCCATTACCCCCATACCCAGTCTACTCTGTGAAGACTTTGTTTTTGAGTGGGCATATGCTAGAATTTATCAGTCAATTGATCCACAGCAATTTGGCAATATGAGGACCTCCTCTACATCACACTGCTTAGTTAGTTTCCTGGATTTCCTGCACAAAAACCTGCAGAAACGTAAAACATCATTGGCCGTTGCCCTTGTTGACTTCAGGAAGGCTTTTGACCTTGTTGATCACTGCACTGTTATCAACAAGGAGATTGCACTAGGGCTGCCCACCAACCTGGTCTCATGGCTCACTGATTTTTTTGAGTGAACGTCGTCAGGCAGTCAGGTACCAGGGTTCTGTCTCCACATTCCAACACCTCACCTACGGTGTTCCCCAGGGGACCAAGATGGGACCACTGTGCTTCCTGATCAACGACGCTCTATCGGACACTCCTCACAGGTGGAAGTACGTGGATGACTGCAATGTGGGGGTTATAGTGGACAACACCTCACCGGACTACTCATCATTACAAGGCACCCTGGACAGGCTACAGGCATGGACTACGGAGAACAAGGTCACCATCAACCACACCAAAACCGTAGTCATGCACACCAATGCTGCCACCACTCCAATGCAAGCTCCAGCAGTCACAGTGGGTGCCCATTAGGGGGCAGTGAAATTTTGCTCAAAGCTGCACTCTTCAGGCATTGTTCCTTATACATATCTAAGACTCCATGCCAAATTTGAAGCTGATATGTCGAGGTTTAGTCTGCCGCATTTTCTACTGAAATTTTTAAATTTACCTACAGTACTAGCCAAACAGCCGCTGTGGCGGTGCAATGTTCTGTTCAGTGTTTATCAACTTTTTTTTCATATCTCTTATTTCATTTAAGTTGTCTTGTTGCAGATGAGTATGGTGCTATGTCTATATTGATTATCAGCCTTTTCTCATTTCATTTCTCAATGTTGTGTTACTGTACTGTAATGTAGGGGAGACCTGGGTAAGTTGGCGCACTTGAAATTATTCAAATAGTTACCGTTAAGCAGTTCACACCGATTTAAGAGGCAAGAAATTGAGATGGCTAGCTTAGATAATTTGACGTCACTCTATTTTGATGGTAAGAAGACCGCCACTCGTGTGATGATAAAGAATGAGAAGACCGAGAAATGGAGTTCGAGGATGATGGTGAAAGATCATTATGTCACCATGGTTGAGCCTGGCAATGAATATCTCACACATGTGACTCCCAAGACTGGACACGGAAAGCAGATTGCCAAAACTATTCACGAGTTTCTGGTGGAGAAAAATCTAACCCAGCAGCCCATTGTGTGTGTTGGTTGTGATGGAACCAATGTAAATGTAGGATCAGAAAATGGAGTCATTCATCATCTTGAAATGTTACTTGGTCACCCGCTCCATTATTTCATATGTCAGCTTCACGGAAATGAGCTGCCTTTCCGCGCAGTTTTTTATCACTATGATGGTAAACCAAGTGGTCCTGAGCATTGGCGTGGTCCCATTGGAAAGCAGATCAAGGAGTCTTTGTCTGAGCTTCCAGTTGTCGCCTTCCAGCCAGTCAGTTTCCCTGATTTCCCTGTGTTTAATGATGAAGTGGAGAAAGATCTGTCCTGGGATCAGAAATACCTGTATAGGATTTGTAAAGGAGTTATCACAGGTGTTGTTGAAGATGACTTGGCTGCTATTGAGCCAGGTCCTCCCTGTGTGTCAAGGTGGAACACCTTATGGAGTAGAATCCTCAGGCTGTATGTAGCAACATCAAGACCCAGCCATGAGTTGAAAAGAATTGTCATTACAATAATAAAGTTCAGTGCTCCAATGTGGTTTTACATCAAGATACACCCTTACGTAACACACGGCTCAAGGAACGTATTCCAGTCCCTGCTATATATGAAACACCTGAATAGTGAGGAGGAGACGATAGTGAAGAAGGCTGTCCAGAGATGCCGACTACTCCGGCTACACCAACGCTCTCTCCACCCTGGAAATGCCATCCCTCAGTGACCTCCACCACCAAGCACTAGCAAGGTTTGGCAGTGGACTACTGCACCATCCTCGTCATTGCCACCTCCTGCCACCGGCAGTCCCCCGCCCACCTCACGCAGTCCGCCACTACAACAAAATTCAGCCCACAAGAGCCTGCACTGATAGATATAAGAATAGCACCATCTCATCTATTGTTAAAATAATAAACAATTCTTTATTTATGTACTGTACAGCCCTGTAAATGTATTCAACGCATATCATTATGTCTAAATCAAATGTAAGTTTGTATATTTTCAGCCACCGGCTGCACCTCTATTAATAAACCGTTTATTATTATTATCATTATTATTATTATTATTAAACACACACACACACACACACACACACACACACACACACACACACAAGACGTCAGAAATATTCACAAGATAATAATAGATGTATACTTTGGTTTACAGAGTCGTACAGTTAATTATTTGTAGATGTTTTTGATTTATTTTTGTTAGTTTAGCTGTACTGTTACTGTAATCGGCTGTAGTCTCCTGTAGCCTTCTCAAAACCAACTACGAAATACAGATAGACAGGTGAATGATAATACCTGAATTAAAACGATAAAATAAGAAAATTTAGTTGTCAAAATAGCGTCACTTCTCTTACTTTTAGTCAGGGGGGGGGGGGCAATTCAAGTCACCTGTGTTTGAGATAAATGACCTCTGTCTCACCTTGATGAGTCTCTTGTTAGTTCTGATTGACGCAGAAAGGTCACACGTCCTTCCTCCCTTCAAGAACTTATGGTTACACTTTTGAGGATGTTAGCTGAATTCATCATCCTCAGGGACTTAAACCAAGATTCACATAGGGTTAAACGATCGTTCTGCAGTAATTAGAAGACGACAAAGCGTTTAAATTGTGAAGGAACACCTATCACGTCTTAAAGTGTTCCCGACTGCCACAACACAAGGGAGATACTACAACACTACACACTCCCACTACACTAAACTGTGCCAGAATCTACCTAAGCTACACCCTGGCCAGTAATGCTTCCCAATAGAAGCATCCTGTTTCAGACTAACTCCTACCTTGGGGTTGGTGATGATATTACTAGAGGGACCTTAAGGCTCGCCTCTGTCCTGGTAGCACCGCCACTTATACACTGACGACACACAGTTGCATACTACCTACCTCCCTCACACACAGCTGCCTCCCATCCCCCCATTGCTACGTTGTTTTCATCCCTCAGAGAACCAACAGTATCCTCAGCTTTCACTTTACTCCTAACACACATATTAAAGGACTTGGGACCTTAATAAATTTGGGGTAATTTTATCTCGATATGGCGTTTGGATAATCTGATTTTCCTGATTGACCACATTTAGGTTAGGTTAGGTTAGGTTAGGTTAGGCAGCACAGGATTAGTTTGTTCTACCAATTTCAGAAGAGATAAATAAATTCCCTCGGTTATGACACAGTATTTCTAAGTTACTGAATGACTCCCCCCCCCCCCGGGTGACAGGTAACGCGAGGGCAGAGTAAAACGAAGTCCCAGTTTAGGCAGTGGACGACGGAGGAAGGTGCACGGGGATGGGTAAGGAAAGAAGATGGTATTAATATCGGAAAGTATTCACGTTTGTACACCAGAGAAAAGTATAGCTTTAGTGTATTTAACTCGCCTATTAAACACGCAATTACTCATAAACATGCACTTTATAACGCACGGATTTTGATTACCTAATATCAGATTTTGACTCATCCTTGCGTCCTTACTCTCCTTATTTTTGTTTCTTTTTATACCTTCCTTCCTTCCTTACAGTCGTATATCATGCATCTGGTGAAATGTTGACAGTACAGGTTGAAAATGATAGCTGTCATATACTGTGTATTCTCCCAGGATGTTTGACTATAACCTTATTTTTAACTCTTTCCACGTGTGTGTGTGTGTGTGTGTGTGTGTGTGTGTGTGTGTGTGTGTGTGTGTGTATTTTATCTCCTATATATTCTCCACCAACAGTCATCAATTCTGGTGTAACTATCGTATGAGTGTTCTTACCTAACAGCACACATCCCCCCTTCCCCTCACACACTCATTAACTTCACCAAAGCATTTGACCTAATTCGACTACAGTTAATCATCAACAAAGCTATCGACCTCGGGTTTCGGAGAAGTCTTATGTCATGGCTTACAGACTTCCCTAGTGACCGACGCAAAGCCGTACGCTTCCGAGGTGGCTGTCTCCACTTTTCAGTCACTCACCTGTTGCGTCCCCCAAGGCACCAAGATGGAACCGTTCTAATTCCTTATGCTTATCAATGATGCCCTAAGAGAAACCTCTGCTCGCTGGAAATATGTCGACGACTCCACCATTGGGATCAGTGTCAACAACTCGGCTTCCGACTACACCACCCTCCAGGATTTATGGGACAGTCTCCAAAATTGGGCCACCAAGAACCATGTCACCATCAACCATGCCAAGACAAACTTCTCCGACCTTGTCCCATCTCCCTCCATTACTTTAGGTCCCAACACACTCCACATTGTAGACTCCACTAAGCTCCTCGGCGTCACTATAGATAACAAACTAAATTGGAAACCACACGTCAGTGAAGTTGTCAAATCCTCCAGTTTCCGTTTCCACCTCCTCTGCCGACTCAAGTCCCTCGGAGTTCCTGCCCCCGAGCTCCTCAGTGTTTAGTTAGCATTCATACTTCCCAAGCTCACCTATGCCTCCCCTACCTGGTCTTCCTTCCTAAATGCCACACAATGTAAACACCTAGAAGTGCAAAAGAGGGCGCTTCAACACATTGACCCTCTCGGCTCTCACTGACCATCACCACGACCTCATGTAACTGTATATTTTCAAACCTTCCGTCTTCCACACACACACACACGGACGGACACACACACACACGGGCGGACACACACACACATACACACACACACACACACACACACACACACACACACACACACACACACACACACACACACTACATCCTTGACCACCGAAGGGTCAAGACGTACCTGGCGCTCCTCTCGGAGCAGCCAGGTCAACTGTTATGTTGGCCCATACCAACCCCCTCCCCTGAACCCTCCTCCCCACCGGAATATCAACATGTTCTCGCCAGAAGTTACTATTTCATTTAGGAAAGGAATGGAACCAGTGTTAAACAGAGGTGAACAGTGGTGAACAGTGCTTAAGTCAGTGAGAACAACTCAACAGTAACAGTGGTACCCAAGTTGACCTTCACACAGTGAGGTCCCAGGTACCCAGTGATAACGGCCCGTGAGACCCAACAACCAGCGATGTGTTAATCCGTCTACGATAGGAAGGCCTGGAACCACACCTCACTCATATAACACCATCTGTGAGGGAATTACTACACCACGTGAGGCCCCTCATAACACCATATGTGAAGGAGTTACTACACCACGTGAGGCCCCTCATAACACCATCTGTGAGGGAATTACTACACCACGTGAGGCCCCTCATAACACCATCTGTGAGGGAATTACTACACCACGTGAGGCCCCTCATAACACCATCTGTGAGGGAATTACTACACCACGTGAGGCCCCTCATAACACCATCTGTGAGGGAATTACTACACCACGTGAGGCCCCTCATAACACCATCTGTGAGGGAATTACTACACCACGTGAGGCCCATCCTAACACCATCTGGGAGAGAGTCACTACTCTACGTGTTTGCTGTTCAACACCTAATTAATCTGTATGTTCACTGTATGTTCCTTTACCTTTCTCTAATGAAGGCTTTTGTTAAACCACCAATGTATGTAATAAGTCATTTATGTCCAATGTATATTTTCAGCCTTCGGACTGCAGAACTTTTTCAATAAACCGTTAATTATTATTATTATTATTATTATTATTACACACACACACACACACACACACACGGACGGACACACACACACACACACACACGCACACACACAACAAAAAACAAAAACAAAGTCACGTACAGGGCATGTCTGGAATCTATTTGCCTCGTGGTGCTCCCTGGACATCCAACTTAGCCTAACCTAACTTGCACAGTAACACACCGTTATATCCTGCAGGCGTCCATACCACTCACCTCTCCACACCACTCACCTCTCCACACCACTCACCTCTTCACGCCACTATTCTCTCCATACCACTCACCTCTCCACACCACTCACTTGTTCACACCACTCACCTCTACACACCACTCACCTGTCCACGCCACTCACCTGTCCACACCACTCACCTGTCCACACCACTCACTCTCCACACCACTCACCTCTCCACGCCACTCACTCACACCACTCACCTCCCCACGCCACTCACCTCTACACACCACTCACCTGTCCACGCCACTCACCTGTCCACACCCACTCACCCTCCACACCACTCACCCTCTCCACACAACCAACCTCTCCACACCACTCACCTCCACGCCACTCACACACCACTCACCTGTCCACGCCACTCACTTGTCCACATCACTCACCTCCACACAACTAACCTCTCCCACACCACTCACCCTCTCCACACCACTCACCTCCAATACACCACTCACCTGTCCACACCACCTCACCTCAATACACCACTCACCTTCTCCACACCACTCACCTGTCCACAACTCACCTCCACACCACTCACCTGTCCACGCCACTCACCTGTCCACATCACTCACCTCCACACAACCCCAACTCTCCACACCACTCACCTCAACACACCAATCACCTGTCCACACCACTCACCTGTCCACACCACTCACCTCAACACACCACTCACCTGTCCACACCACTCACCTCTCCACGCCACTCACCTCTCCACACAGCTAACCTCTCCACACCACTCACCTCTCCACACCACTCACCTCTCCACACCACTCACCTGTCTACAACCAGATATTAAGAGTATATATAGAACGAGAAAATGAGTTCAAAAAGAATTTGCACGTGGAAAGAGAAATGACGCAATGAAATCTTACTCACAGGATTTATTTATTTTAATGATCGTGAGGGCACCATGGGCTCACCCAAAGGTCTTCAAATACTATTGAAGTTGAGAGAAGGAATAGAGATAACAACGTGGACCTGTGTTTGAATTTAATGTAGTAGAATTCAAGGAGGAGGAGATCTTTCTAGGATTAAGATCTAGCTTGGGTACAATAACCTACGCTATTCCTCCCTCTGCTTCCCTTTTCTCCCGTTGCAATATCTCAGTTATACGTAAGACAGAAGAGGAGTCAGAAGAAGGAGAAAAATAATATATTGAAGGTAGTTGAGGTGGAAGGTGGTGTGTGGAGCCTATAGTAGTTGGTGAGAGCAGGAGATAGTGAGTGTGTGTACGGCAGTAAGGCAGGACAGTTGGACACTATTTTGGAGCACTTAGCCCAGAGGAGGACGGTAACTGGACCAATCCATTTTTGCTTTCAGGATCTTAAGTGAGATTTTAGCGTGATGATTTGCTTTCAGAATGAAATATCTTATTTTTAACGCTGATTAGCAAAAGAAAACAAACAAATTGCACCATAAATAAAGAAATGGAAAATATAAAACAGATCAATAGTGAGAAACGATATATATATATATGTTGTATTGTCAAAGTAAGAGAAACAATTGAGACCCTAATATTATGTGTAAATGAGGCAGAAAGTCGGTGAGATCAGCAACATGGTACTTGGTCATAATTTTTTTGATGCTAACACTGGATATTGGAGGTCATACTATGATAACAGACCAACCAGCTGATAAGGGGTGGAAATGATAAAACGAACATTTGGTTACGAAATTTTGTGTATATCGCAGTGACTAAAAAATCACGTATTGCTGTACCAGAAACTCGATATTTTGAAGTAACATAAGCAAATTAGGTTAGATGAATGTTAGGGTTGGGTTAGGTTAGGTTAGGATGAATAAGATTAGGTTGGGTTAGATTAGGTTGGGTTGTAACGGGCCGAGTTTTCTCTTTTCAATAATTTACCATCCAGTTATTCTTTTCAATGAGTATCCGGGTTTATATACTTAACCTTCTTCAGTTCCTAACACACATACTTACTTTATATATTCTTGCTTATATTCTTATATGTTCTTTATCTCTATATACCTTATATTCTTATATATTCTTATATAAGTAACTCTTATGCTTCTCTGCTTATATTTTCCAAGTCAATGTTCTTTCCTTTCATTTCCTGTCATATATTATGATCTCATCCATATATTTTGTTCTAGTTATATTCTAAACCATGGATTAACCTGGGAAACCATGTCTTTGTTATTACCACACTTATTATACTTACAACGGTAGCCTGCCACCACCCAGGATTTTCTAGAATATAACATCTCTTAGTTAACTGTTAGGTAGCGAGCTTCTAGGCACGTGAGTTAGTTATTTTCTGAGAACCAATGTGGGAAAGGATAGAGTGGTGATACTCGTAGACGTAGATTACTAATTCAATATTTATTAACACAGTGATTGGATAAGATGCATCTTAGATTCACTCAGACAAAACAGAACTGCAATTTGTTTCTTAAGTCATCAAACACTTCAAGAACTTATTACCTCATTAAATACCTCCAAATTCTTATTACTTCAATCGACAATTGTGGTCTTGTCACTCTGCCACATGATAGTCAGTACTGGGTATACACCAGATATCACTGGACCCACAGGTCTTACCTTACCAAGTAGCAAATTAACTCTTCACTTCTTGGTTATATCATTATACTCTCAGATTATCATTTCATGGTCACTACCAATGAATACATAGCACACTGGACAACTCCACAATTATCTCAACATACAATACCTCCTGTCAATTCACAAGGAACAACATGGCACTTTTAACTCTCATTCAGTGGTTCAATACTTAACCTGGGATACTATATTTCTGCTAGTTATTCCCCAAACAAGGTACTATAATACTTAGGCCTATGTAACTGTGAGGAGTGCCCCAGGGTAACGCTGGTCTCTACAACAAATGAAGGTCGCTGTTAGGGGTCGGTTGTAGACCGACACACGCTCAGGGAGTGGGCGTCTGATTTGCAGGAAACGGACTTCCCAGTTCAGTCCTGTCGAATTAACGGCATCGTCCAACCCGGTTACCGACCCACGTAGCCGATGAGTATTCAGCTCAACACACTGGAGAGACGTTGAGGAAGTCACGAATGCGTAAAGGTCTAACTTCAACTATACAAAACATACGCCTGGCAACGGTTCAGACAATATCTAAATCTCTACGTTACTCGACTTAATTGGCACAGAATTCACTATGTTAACACATGAGCACTGATATTCACCAAAATTGACTAAGTTAAACTGAATTAATAGGCGGCGGGAACACACGTTAACATACCTGGAGAGACGTTGAGGAAGTCACGAATGCGTGATTCTCCCTCGTGTCGAGGTACAGTGAGTTCTGCTATAACGCGTGTTTTGATAACGCGAATTTGCTCTAACGCGATTTATGAATTCGGAACAATATTTGTATAACGCGATCGCTTGTTTGCTATAACGCGATTTTTGCTTACTATTTCTCCAATTTTGTGGTATTAACTGTGAATATGGTAAAGAAGAATATCTCCAAAAAGCATTCTGATGATAGAATTCCCGGTGATTATCGTAAAAGAAAGGATATAACACTTGAAGAGAAGCTTGATGTTATCAACCTCAAAATCACCCTTCTCCCCATCAAGTTACATTCATATTTTTTCAAGGTAAAGTGTTAAATTTACTATATGATTTCATTATTAGATATGAATGTAACATTTATTTAGACTGTGCTATCCTTTGTGTTAGGCTAACTACTAAATTTTTTCGATTTCGAGTAATCTGCACCTAACCCTATTTTCTCCATAAGCCCTGTTATTTCTATTACGCGATTTTCTATAACACGATATTTTACAAGAACACAATTATCGCGTTATAGCAGAACTACCTGTATATACGTGCACTCGCGAGCAGCTTGGGCCTCCATATTCATACCAGAAGGGTCGATCTTACCAACAACATAACTTCTCTATCATTTTGGATCACTGTATACTTAGTTATGAACTCCGGTGTTCTTGATCAGGGTAATTTCCTATGTCTATTCATATAATCTAATCAGAGGTTGAGCTTGCCAGGAAAAGATGGAATATACACGTCGATAACATTAATTCTGCAAGCTTAGGTCTGAGGCGAACAAGGGGCTATTCACGGGGAGGCGCTAGATCTTGGAGATTATACCAGTTGACAGAATAGTTCAGGAGATTAATGACTTTCTCAAATAGACACCTGACACTAATTAAACTATAAACATCAGATTCTCTGATGTCGGGGCGACAAAATGATATAACTTCAGGCGCGATCAGAAACTCATGGATACCCCCACGGACGACATAAAATACGCCACTCTAGCTGGCAAACTCGACACTCACTTACTTGACACGTTCTACTAACGATAAGGACAGTTGAAGCATTCTACCCCACTCACAATGGATCTTGAATGTTCCAACTGTAAACAGACATATCTAAGTTGACTCAAAACAAGGGTGTTCTCTCTCACACTCAAATCCATTTTATAGAGAGGTTGGTTTCAGTAAGTCAGAGAAAATGGGATAACGGAGGACTGAGGTGTCTTGAAGTGATGAGAAACGGACTCCTCAGATGGAGGACTCAAACGAAAGCCGAGGTACATGTTTGGTGGGCTATTGAGCGTAATATGAATCATTTGATTTTTGGCGCTAACTGACGTGTAAGACCGTGGTCATTACAGGGTTAGATTAGGTTGGGTTAGATTAGGTTGGGTTAGATTAGGTTGGGTTAGATTAGGTTGGGTTAGATTAGGTTAAGTTTGCTTATGTTAGCTTAAATACGATTAAAGCAGTTTAAGTAGGGTTATATTTGCTTAAATTAACATTAGCCAGAAGAATAGACAGAAAATATTATACGGAAATACTTTATCCAGATTTAGAATTACCCAATGTACTGTACAGTCCCCTTCACTAGTGCGTTTACAGGGGCTCGTCATATAAACATTCCACAAATCATTACCATTGAGACATTTGTTTTAATATTATTTTACATAGTGTGTTTACTACTGAGAGTTTCCTTCTGTCGAATGTAAACAAACACAGAGCTGCCACACTGCACATAACCTGACGAGTCCCTGTAAACGCACTAGTGAGGGAGACTGTACTCTTACGCCAAGTGTGTCTCCTCAGGTACAGGCGGCGGGAAGATGGCTATTAAATTCGACGATGTTCTACTTCGGCTAGGGATGGGACGCTGGAACCTACCTGTCATCCTTATCATCTCCTATTGTGAGTTTGAGTGTATGTATGTATGTATGTATGTATGTATGTATGTGTGTATGTGTGTTTGCGTGTGTGTGTGTGTGTGTGTGTGTGTGTGTGTGTGTGTGTGTGTGTGTGTGTGTGTGTGTTAATATCGGATCAGATGTGCATCTCAAGCCTTTGGCAGACTCCGTACCCGTGTCTTCAGCTGTAGGGAGCAGAAATTACCTACAAAGTTGCACGTATATTGAGTAGTGGTCCTCCACTCCCTGCTATATGGCAGCGAGACATGGGAAGACAAGAGAACACAATGCCAGCATTCTCACTGACACCAACTGTAGGAGCATCAAGGCTACCATTATCCATAAATAACTACGCTGGACTGGCCAGTGGCCATGTTACCAGCATGGGCGACAGTAGACTGCCAAAGCAGCTACTTTACAGTCACCTAACGAATAGTAAACGTAACGCTCGTGGACAACTGAAAAGGCTTAAGAATAGTCTTAAGAAAAACCTGAAAAAGTGCCAAATCGACCCCCTCACCTGGGAGACGATTACTCCACACCGTAACGCTTGGAGGATCACCACACGAGAAGGTGTCAATACTTTCGAGTTAGCCCGACTACATACCGAGGCAGACAAGCGCCAACACCGGAAAGACGTTGCCGCTGTTCCCTCCCGCACTAGATGTTGCCCTGCACATGTGCAACATCTGTGAACGACCCTGCCGGTCTAGTATCGGCCTCTCTAGTCACTTCAGAACTCACCAATGAAAGTGACATCCTAAATAACTCACATTGTATCATAGGTGGATGATCGTCATACTTGATTCCGAGTGACAGCTAAGTAGTAGTAGTAGTAGTAGGTTTACTAAAATCCAAATATCATACTTTTTTTTTCCAGTGTGACGAAAATTTTTCAGTGTTCTTTCAGTACACAAATATATGTTTTTCAGTGTACCCTGTGAAAGTCTGCATATTTGTTAAGTAAACACTAAAACGAGTAGGTAAAGTGCTTATTTAAATATTTAATCGCTACATTTCTCATAATAAATGTGGATGTATGCAAAAGAACTTATTATTTTTTTTAAACTCAAACTTTCCGACATAATTACCTAAAATGACAAAATTAAAGTTTACTGCAAAAAAACACCCAACAGATTATTATATATCCTTAAAAAAAATTATTTAATACTTTTAATATTACATAGGTGTTCTATACCTTCACACATTACAATAATAAGGGCAGATGACCATTGGCTTCTGTTCTGGTTCATCGATGAGGGATAAATTCCAACACTTCATTTTCTTCAGCCATATAATCACTTTATATATTGAGAAATTTAAATGTATAGAATTACTCATTTCAGTAAAGGAATTATTTTCATGGTCAATATTAACTTCTATTCACTGTACATTTATTTTCATATAGGAATTTTATTACCACAATGGACAATATATGAGAGTTAGTGTCATATACACACCTACCTATACCATAATAAAGGAGCTCACCAATATACCCATTATCTTACTGGTTTCAATAAATTTTTGTCTCGGGGGAATAATGTGTTTTTAGGCACAACAGAAGAAGTGAACCAATTCCTCATGATGGAACAGTCTCCCCAAAACCAGACATTATGCGTTGATATTATATATATATAATCACTAAGGTGGTGCCTAACAGTGGAAATTATCAAGTATTTATCAAGCATAATACTTAGCGATTAAGAAAAAATATGAGACATTATATAAAAAACAAAAAAACAAAACACGTTTTCACCGTGGACCACCTAGCAGGAACTCTTACATGGGGCTGGAAAAAGTATCAAATCCAACAGGACGATCGACTCAAAACATGGCCAAGTTCAGATATGCTTGAACACGGATGCTTGGATGTGGGTGGGTGTGGATGTGTTCGTATGTTGACTTGTGGCTTGTGTGTATGTGAATATATCCAAGTGGGTATGTATGGATGTGGGCGTATGAGATGTGAATATATGTATGTTGATGTTATTGTATGTTGATGGGTGTGTGTGTTTGTGTATGTATGTGTGTGTGTGTGTCTGTGTGTATGTGTGTGTGTGTATGCTACAAGGTCACAACCAGTAATTTTATCCTATGCTGCCCAATTAGATTACCTATTAACCTCTTGTTTAAACTACAGCAAACACACTCGATGTATCACTAGAAACGACACATGGAAATTTTCGTCTCTCACACCAGTTCCATGAAGACAAATTATCACCCACAGTCACATGATAATAGGGAACGAATTACCGATTATTATTTACACTTTGTATATTTCCCCGTAGCGTTGGATAAGATAGTAAAAAGTTATTTATTATCAATGGTGATATATTAAACTTTCGCTGATGCTGTGAGTGAGCTATATAGATGTACGTTTTTCTGTCTCTTCTTCAGTTAGAGGAAAACATTTTAACTCATCAAGGTTTCTTATTCTCTCTCTCCTGTTTCTCTAAACTTACTTTGAAATGATATGACGAATTTCTGAGCATTTCCCCACGTGATTAATTACTTGTGTGTGTGCGTGTGTGTGTGTGTGTGTGTGTGTGTGTGATTGGCAGGGACAATGAATGTGCCGAGTCATACGCTAGGAGGGGCTTTCTTGGCGCCTGCTATCGACGTCACCTGTATCCTACCTGACCATGGGCTTCCTAAGATCACCTCCCTTGACGGCTCCAACCAGACCACAGTGTAAGTAACTCGTACACAATGGCTAATTATCTTATACCTACGATTAATAAACTTGTGATATTATTTTCCAATTATTAATCTACGACTGTGTGACGTTTCTGTATAACTTAGTATCTATTACTATTAATGAATTAATTCAAATTACAGATTTCACGAGTTAGTTTATCTGTTACACAGCATTAGTTACTTGTATTATTGTCCAAGTGTGGATTAATCTTGTCTTAGCTGTATTCATAAACACATACACACTGAAGGAGTAAATCATGCAGGGATCAGTGTGTGTACCTGGAGGAGACGAAGGAAGGGGCGCTGAAGGAGAGACCGTGTACTCAATGGTATTATGACAACTCCACCTTCATCACTACCATCACCTCAGAGGTAAGTTAAGCTCCAGCTCATACTAGTCATTTAAAGCTCATTGTATTGAGTAAGAAATTATTTGCATGCATGCATGTATGGACACTTTCAGTAGACACCAGAAGGAGGTTGGATGCCATTGAAATGTGGATGTTTGAGGCGAATGCAAAGAAAAAGATCCAAATGAGAAGAAATACTTGAAATGTACAGAAAAAAGAAAATGAGATATTTTGGTCATATAATAAGGGATGAGGGAATAATAACATAAAATATTAATGGCAAAGATGAGGGTAGGAGGGCCATATAGGAAACAATTTCACTGGAATATCTAAACTTTTTATACACATTTCTGTCACATAAAAACGTACACTTACAGATACCAACAATATTCAGCTTTGGTATTACATCAATATTTTAACCCCTGTGGTGCGTTGATACAATATACTGTACCGACCTATAATAATGGCAATAGTTTGGTCTGGATGGCACATATAAAGTAAACGTGAATGTTAAGTAATGAAGATCTCATTTGATATTAGAGTCATTAAATCAAGCCAGAGGTTAAGTTTAGGATTGCAAGCATGGTAGGATATGTAGTGATTTAAATGAGAGCTTTTGCTTTTAATGATTCCTGCTTTTGTTTAGAGTATCAACCAAAGGAAATAACAACTCACGGTTATTATTTTGGCTTTTGTGAACTTGTTTATCGTTATTGTTATTGTCGTAAGAGTAAATGAAATAAAACCCCGATTTCTTCATTTCAGTTCAACCTGGTATGTGAGCACAAAGTATGGAGAGCGACTTTCCAGAGTATCTATTTGTTTGGCCTCCTTGTCGGCTCCTCCATCAATGGATTCTTCTCAGACACGTAAGCCCCATACAGCCGACCCATAGTCCTGTTTTAACCCCTTCACCTGTAGTAGATATTGACTTAATAATTGCATACTATAATAAGAAGTTATTTTTTATCTGAATTATAAAGTTTTTTCCTAAATCAAAGTAAAATATAAAGGACAAAATTAGTGGTTCATTTACGGTGATAGAATTATAGTGTTGCATGATAGGATTGTAGAGAGGTGATACATTAACTCCAAAATTATAGAACATTCGTTTATGGTGATGGATGTCCATGCTTATCTGATGTGATGAATAAAAAGTCGAAAATCATACACTACACTACATTACACTACACTACACTACAGTTAGGTTTAGAGATTTCATATGGTTCTTAAATACAGTTTATGGAATAGTTACTTCATTATATCATACAGTTTATGTTAAGTGGAACCTACCATGACTTATGTATATATTTGTGTGCATGTGTGTGTGTGTGTGTGCGTGTGTGTGTGTGTGTGTGTGTGTGTGTGTGTGTGTGTGTGTGTGTGTGTGTGTGTGTGTGTGTCTTTCAGGTACGGGCGTAAGAGGATGCTGGCAGTGGCGACTGTGGTCTATTGCACGTTAGCTATCTGCATTAGTTGGATTCCCGACTTGTCTGCTATACTGGTGGCTCGATTTATTATGGGCGTCATGCACCCAACCTCCAATCACTCAGGATACACTCTAGGTAAACAGCAACTACACCCTAAGTTAACCTTTTACATCTCGAGTACATGTTGACATCTAGAGTACAAATTAACATCTCGATTACATATTAAAATCTTGAGTACAACATCTCGACTACATGTTGACATCTAGAGTACAAATTAACATCTCGATTACATATTAACATCTTGAGTACAACCCCCACACTATTTAAGATAATTTTAACCCACTAATTAGAGTTTTTTATAACAAGGTATTTCTGAAAATATTTAAGAAAAGTTATATGACAATTTCTTTAAATTATCCAACCAGTGTAACGTTACTACACTTAAATAAATAATGAATGGATTATATCATATTAAATGCTTCCCCCATTTCATGTTTGTCTGTCTGTCTGTCTGTCTGTCTGTCTGAATTTCTCTCTTTTTTGCTTCCTCTTTCTTTCTCCTCATCTGCCTCTCTGTCTTCCTGTCTGTCTATCTGTATATCTCTCTCGTTCTCCCTCTCCTTCTCTATCTACCTGTCTGTCTTCCTCTCTGTCTGTCTGTCTGTCTGTCGATAGCCATGGAGATGACCAAGAGGAAGTACCGGGCGCTGGTAGGGACGCTGATCTTCTTCCCCTGGGGGCTAGGCACCATCTTGTGGGGAGGTAACGCTTATCTCATCCGTGAGTGGCGATGGCTCCAACTGGCCGTATCTCTACCTGCTCTCCTCTTCCTCCCCTCACTCTGGTTAGTGGCTTTTTCTTCTGGCTAAACTAATATCTCAAGGACGATGGTGTAACACCTTGAGGACGAGAACTTAAAACAGTGTCTTCAAAAGGCTAATAAAGACTGCAGGTAGCCAATCAGGTGTTATTATTGTCCTCAAAGGGTTAATGAAGATTGCAGTTAGCCAATCAGGTGTTGTGATTGTTCTCGAAGGGTTAACGCAGACTCTAGTTAGCGAATCAAGTGCTGTGAAGTACACCTTGAATTGTAACTACTAAATATAGCAGTTAACTTTACCTGTCCAATGTTTCTGAGAACTGACGAAGGATATACTCTTACATTGGGGTCTCTTCAGGTTTATGGACGAGTCGCCGCGGTGGCTTATCGTCCAGGGGCAACATGACCGGGCCTTGAAGGTGCTGGAGAAGGCCGCCCGCTTGAACAAGGCCACATTACCTCCCCGGGACCAACTGCTTACCATGATGCAAAACATTGCCAGTGAGGTAATGTTGTTTTCCTTCCTTTCCTCACTTACTCCCTCCCTCCACACACTCTCCCTCCCTCCTCTCTCTCTCTCTCCATCCCTCCCTACTTCAAATTCCCTCCCTTTCTCCCTCCACTCTCCTTCCATCCTTCCCTTTACACTCTCTCCCTCTATACTTCCGCCCTCCTTCCACATTCCTTCTCTCCCTCTAATTAGTATGTCACAATGAAAGGATTATTTCTGCGTTTCCTCCCCTATCTACCTGCACAGACCCTTGAGTCACCGCTCCAGGACTCACTTAGTAAATGTAAACATATGAGAGACCATTTATGTAAAGAACAAAATTTTCATTTATTTGAGAACGCTAACAAATCATTCACCTAAGTAATGTATTATCACAAAAACACACACAAAATTTTAGTTCCTTTACAACTATATTTTTTTTCTTTATTTGGCTAGTAGACAATTCAGTATAAGTAAATTTTAGTCTAAGAAATCACTAATATTACTTGACTTTTTTATTTAGATTTGGTGTTTCTTTACATCTCGTTCACCACCAGGCGGAGAGTGTGCCTGAGAAGCGACGTCACCAGAGGGGACTAACCAAAGTAATGGGTAAATTCTTGGACTTCGCCAGATCGTACATGATACTCGTCAGGTGGGCCAACTAGTGGAGAAGTTCAGCTCTCCTTCTCTACGTTTTCTTTTAATCTCAATATTTTTTCGTTCCTTCTCTCTCCTTCTCCAGTTCTCTCTCTCTCTCTCTCTCTCTTTTCAGTCTTTGGTGTTTCATCTGATCTCTCGAAGGTAGAGGGACTTAAAATGACAATACACGTAAAATAAGATAGCTCGCTTTGTATCGCATTTAGAATTAAGATTTGAATTACATAGGAAAAATAGATGATCCCTGACAGTTATGTAGAGTTACGAAGACCTTCCTTGAATCCAATTGTCTCTCTGTTTATCCCAGGACGAGGAGGATGAGGCGCTACACTCTGGCAATGTATGTGTGTTTCACGGTCACTGGTCTAGGGTTTTACGGCCTGTCTCTCAGCGGCAGCACACTTGGCATCAACCTCTTCGTCTTTATGGCGTTATCTGGGACCGCTGAGCTACCCGGTAAAGGTTTGAGTGGAGTTATCGTCGAACGCTTCGGCAGGAGGAATGTAAACATCATTTGCTACGCCTTGACGGCGCTCTCACTACTAGCAGTTCCATTCGTACCAACAGGTTAGGTGGCGTTGTGTTTGGTTCATATTTCCTACACATTCACGGGAATTTTACCTTATAAACCAAGAAATAAACCAAGAACATGGGAGATTAAGTTGTAAATCACAGACCTCTTTTTACAGGGTCGACCTGGTTGATCGCCGTTTTGTCGCTATTAGGGAAAATCACCATCAGCTTCAGTTACACCATCATCTTCCTTCACTGTGCTGAATGCTTCCCTACCGAGGCTCGAACCCGTGGTCTCGGCACCTCCACCATTATGGCTCAAGTTGGATCCGTGTGTGCTGCTTTTGTGGTAGAATACCTGGTAAGTTTTTTTATGGGGCTTTTCCACACACACACACACACACACACATACACACACACACACACACACACACACACACACACACACACACACGTCATAGCTTCACTTCATCTCGAATATTTGTATACCACGAAGACTTTGCAATAACTTGGAGGACATAGTTACTCTGGTATGGTATATTTCAGGGGTCGGTGGCTATCTGGGCCCCGTCTGTGCTCTTCGGTATGTCGTCATTAGTGGCCTCCGCCGTGATGCTGACGCTACCCGAGACCCGAGGTGCTGCTCTCCATGATACCGTGGTGACCCTGGAGGCTCGACCATCTAATAGCAGGTAGGTCACAGGTAGTAACGGGTATATAGACAGTGCAGGTATATACTGTATACAATGTAGATAGATAGTGCAAGCATGTAAACAATGTATATAGATGGTGCAGGTATATAAACAATGGCAAACAGGACGTCTGTACGATTAAGGATAGTCTATAAACCCACCATATACTTCATTCCAATAAGATCCTTCACTTAAACAACAACAGATGTATAAATATGTAAACAGACGTAAATATGTAAACAGACGTGTAAAATGTAAACAGACGTAAATATGTAAACAGACGTGTAAATGTAAAGTGTAACATTATATCCTCGATTCCAGGTCCGTACGGAAGAAAAACCAGATGAGGAAGACAGCTGAGACAACTTTAAGAACATAAGAAAAAAAGGAGTGTGCAATAGGGCGGTTGGCCTGTGCATGGCAGCTCCTGTCGAGAGTTACTACCACTCTCTATCGTCCATGAATCTATCCAGCCTCCCTTTAAAACTCTCCAGCGTTCCAGCACTTACTACAAAGTTGCTAAGCTTGTTCCACTCGTCCACCACCCTATTTGTGAACCAGTTCCTTCCTATCTCCCTCCTAAACCTAAACTTATCCAACTTAAATCCGTTGCTTCGAGTCCTATCCTGCTCGGATATTATAAGAACTTTATCTATATCCCCTTTATTGATTCCTTTCACCCACTTAAATACGTCTATCATATCTCCCCGCACTCTTCGTATTTCTAGGGAATGCAAGTTTACTTTCTTTAACCTATCTTGATATGGAAGGTTTCTTAGTCCCGGAATCATTTTTGTCATTCTCCCCTGCACCGACTCCAGTGAATTGATATTCATTCTGTAATAAGGGCACCAGAACTGAACCGCATAATCGAGATGCGGCCTGACTAGCGCAAGATGTAGTTGCAATAAGACCTCTGCACTCTTATTACTTACACTTCTAGATATTAAACCTAATACTCTGTTTGCCTTATTTCGAACATTAACGCACTGTTTTCTAGGCCGTAGGTCCGGGCTTACAAGTACCCCTAAGTTTCTTTCACAAGTCGACTTCTCTAGGTTGATGTTGTTAAGGCTGTGTACATTGACAGCATTTGTTCTGCCAATATTAAGTACCAGCGTACTTACCTTGCTGGTGTTGAATTTCATTTGCCATTTTTCTGAGCACTCCTGCAGTTTATTTAAATCTTCTTGTAGTGCATTTGCATCCTACCCTGAATTAATCTGCCGCCCTATTTAGGTGTCATCCGCAAACTTGCTTATGTCACTGCTGATCCCAGTATCTAGATCGTTTATGTAGATTATGAACAAGAGTGGGCCTAGTACTGACCCCTGGGAAACCCCACTGGTTACACAGCCCCACTCAGATTTAACACCATCTACGCTGACCCTCTGCGTTCTATCGGTGAGCCATGATTTTATCCAATTTAAAACTTTCCCCTAGATACCATGAGCCTTAACCTTTCTCAGAAGCCTTTGATGCGGTACTCTGTCAGATGTGTCTGATGATCAAGTGAAAGCAAAAGCTTAAATGTGGTCACGTTCCAAGATACAGAGTGAGACACATTCAAAATTCCCCGCAGAATGGTTAATAATCCTGATCTTGGCTGGAATGACGCACTAGGCAAGATCTGTTGTGGAAATGTGGGGAGAATTACGTGCTGAACCTTGAATCAAAGAGAATCTGTTTGTTTTCTTTGACAAATCACATATTTCCTTCATTCTATGGGTACTGGTAGTGATGCTTCAGTCTAGTACTTTTAACCAACAAGTTTTTATCTATTTTCTTGCGCATTGTTACATAGAATCACATCCCGAGAGACAGAAAATGAACCCGAGTCGACGCAGAGGAATATGGGAGGCACAGTCAGTCAGCCAACCAGAACGTAGCGTAACCCAAAACTTTCCCTCCCCATTTCGACATAGAGGAAACGTGTCTAATTATGGTGAATTTCATATTAATGAATACTGATATAGGGGATTTATCGTACAATTTAATATTCCAGCATCTGAACTGATTCTGTATCGGCTAAGCTGTACCCGATACTTATTATGTACAGAATTCATTGTACATTATAACCAATGGACTGCATTATAATAAAAACAACCCTTGATAACTTGTCTTAAAAAATTCTAATGTTTCAGCTGATCTTTGTTTTTTACTGCATTTGGTAAATCATTTAATTTATGTTTTACTAAGAGATGTACTGAAGTGATTAAGACATGTAATTGAAATAAACGAGTTTTACCTCTTATTATTTTTCATTATTCTTCCTCGGTATAATAGTTGAGGTTGTTTTATGGTTTAAATTCTTTATCTATTAACTCACTAGTCAGAACAGAATGATTTTCCAGGATTGAAGTTCCATTTTTTTCTTCACATATAATAAATAAATCACCTGAAATAATCTCTACTCCAGCTTATTTCACCAAAAGATTAACCACCCTATCACTATTTGATGGGGGGACGAGGATAGGTTAGGTCTGGTTAAGTTAGCTTAGATCAGTTTAGATTCGGTAGGTTAGACTAGGTTAGGTTAGGTTAGGTTAGGTTAGGTTAGACTAGGTCAGGTTAGGTTAGCGTTAAGGTAAGTTAGTATTCAGGTGAAATTAACTGATGTGGGAATTCTTCGGGTGATCTATTTTATCCAACAGTACAGTCTTAGAATTGTCTAAACTATTTACTGCAACCATAAAATTCTCCAAATTCAATGAGTGGCAAGAGTAAAATAATGCCAAAATAACTCAAGGTACTGGTTTGTTTCATGCCCAAGAAGAAAGTTTTTGATTTAGATAAGTTTTCTATCAAATACATCTTGGTTCATAGAAAACGGAGTAGATTAAAGGGAAAACAAGACGATTTATGTTATCGCCGTAGACTTTCCTACACTTTCGTCAGGCTAGCACAGATACTAATGGTTTTCTGGTTACTGTGTCTTAATTCAAACTTCGTAACTCATAAAATGGTTGAGATATGCGAGTTAAGAAGGGAAAGAATCCACCAGTAGAAAACAAACTCAGTTACTATACAAATGAACCAGTGCCGGATTTAGACCTGTGGAGGCCCATGGGCAGCCTCTTTGTGGAGGCCCCCCTCATTATAAATACCCAAGAGGGTGGAGTGGCGAGTGAAGCGAGCCTAAACATCTGGGAGTTCCGGGGGGCGCTGTAAGCCCCCCGGAAAAATTTTGAAATTTGAACACTTCCTTGGAGAATTTTGAAGCCATGATGGAATAGATAAACATGAATTTTACAGAATGAAAATACAAATAATCCAAATGAATAAACAAATAAATAAAATATTGTAATATGTGGAGGCCCCCAGATCGTGGAGGCCCCTTGGCAGCTGCCCACTTTGCCCACTCCTGAATCCGGCCCTGAAATGAACAGAAAACGATATAAAATGTGACCAGAACATGCCCAGTTGCCCATCACTAGCGTAGCTAGGGGGGGGCGGGGGGGCGGTCCGCCCCGGGCGGCACTTTTGGGGGGGCGGCACTTTTGGGTCTGCTCATCACCCATATCTGCAGCTACTGGAGACGTTAATCCATCCCTTTGTATCGGCGGCAAGTTAATCCTTGTCGTGTCTGACCTAACACCTGACCCACATCATCACGGCCACGTCATGAGCTACACCCTTGCTATGAGGCCCCCCGCCACACACACAACCTGTAACCTGTTGAGGATTAAGGAAACAACTTCAAACAAGTACGCCAGTGAGCTCATGTGGTGTGGGTCAGGTGTTAGGTCAGACACGACGAGGATTAACTTGCCGCCGATACAAAGGGAAGGATTAACGTCTCCAGTAGCTGCAGATATGGGTGATGAGCAGACCCAAAAGTGCCGCCCCCCAAAAGTGAAGGATCACGAGATGCTGAAATGCCATACGACATTGAATTGAGGAGAGAAATGTTTTCTTCGCTGGACAGAGTGATCCAAGAAATAACTTTGAGATTTCAATAGCTTCATGAACTTGCTGAGAAATATGCCTTCCTTACCCCATTGAATCTTTTGGATGATAAATATGAGTGTCAAATAGATCACGATCACGACGACATTGATAAAGAGGAGTTCCTCGTTGAGAGAAAAAGACTTCAGCATTTTGTTGCTGTTGCTGCTATAACTATTAAAGACAGAATACAGACGTGGAAAGAAGGCCCCCTTGAACTTTTGCAGTTTATTCAAAAGTATAACCTTGGGAACTCGGTTCCAAATATAGTAATAATGCTGAGGATTTTCCTCACAATTGCTGTTAGTGTTGCTACCTGTGAGAGGAGTTTTTCGAGACTAAAACTGATCAAGAATTACTTAAGATCTACTATGAGCACCTTGCGGTTGAGAAATCTTGCCAGACTGTCTATAGAGCGACAATTGACAGATGAAATAGTTTTTGACAATGTCATTGAAGAATTTGCCAACAAAAAAACAAGAAAAGTTACTTTGTAGAAAGTTGTAGTTTTCATTTCAGAAATAAAGATGGTCCTAATCTTTTACACTTTTTTACTTTTTTCCCTATCTTATATGTCGGTTTTGCTTTTTGTTTAACTGTTACTTATAAAGTTTAAGTATGTTTGGTGTGTATTTAAAGCATACTATATTTGAGTATGTGAAAGTACAGCAATATTATAATGGTACACAAACTATTTAATATATATATATATATATATATATATATATATATATATATATATATATATATATATATATATATATATATATATATATATATATATATATATATAGTGAGTCACTGTGCAATATGCTCACGCTACGCTACTGTTGCCCATGTAGTACAGTTCTTGGCATCAGAGCGTAAACAGAGACGCGCCTGACCGCCCAAGCAGCAAACAAGATTTGCTGACGGGAACTAGGGAGGAGAAGAGGTATGTAGAAGCTAAAACACCTCTCATCTTCTTCACTTAATATGATTTTTGATTGCTAATTCTAACGGCTAACCAGAGAGTTGAGGGGTTTATCTGCTTCATGAAGTTTGATGGTAATGTATGTTCATTGGAGGGAAAACACCGACTTTCAGAAATAAGATGATAGGTGACAGTGATAAGATAAATGTTTTTACCTCGTGCATACCTAGAGAGAGAGAGAGAGAGAGAGAGAGACTCCTAAAATAAACATATAAACATCACATCATTCGTAACCAATAACACATCATTTACAATACATCAATCACGAATTACAAGGCAAGACACGAATACCTCTGTAACCTCCCCTCCCCTGGCAACAAAATGTGGTTCCATAACACCTGGATCGTCTTACCTGTCCAGTCACTTTTCCTCCCTCACAGGATGTTTATTTCTTTAAAGGTTCAGGATGTCGATATGTAATAGTGATCGGTGAATGTCTGGAAAAAAAATGTGAAATGTGTTTATTGTCTCCTGCCGTTATAAAGGTTTTGTGGATGAACTTAACCTAACCTACCAGCCCCCCCACCACACCATCTCCCTACCAGCTCCACCGTCGTGCCCACCTCCTCTCATCATAGCGGGTGAGTCAGAACACCCTCGGGTTGACTGGTGAGAAGAGACAAGGTTCCCGCACTCCACCTTGCGAGAGACCGAGAGATGTAGGGGTGAAGAAACAGTGTGCCTCTCGTCTGTGACATTGTGTTTCATGATACGGTAACAGTGTGTTCCTCCGCGTCACGACGGTGGTGGCATCGCGGCGTTGTCTGTGTGTACGTTGTGTTAGCTAGAGTTTTGTGCAGTGTGGTGTCATCTGCGGTTGAGAGTGCCCGAGACCCCAGACAAGCTATGGCTGCCAGTGAGTAGACAGCGCGGGTTATTTGGTTGTTGTGAGGTCCCGCCAAGCCGCCACACACTCTATTATTCCCACATTTACTCCCTGGCTGTACCCCCCCTGTACCAGATGTATCTAGAGATATATATATATATACATCTGACTTGGCCTTTATAATAACGTGTCAATGTGACGTAAAGGATATGGTAGCTGGGTAATTGCGAGTGTGAATGAGTGGGAGAGTTCTCAGTGGTGCAGGAAATACTTGTGTTCATTAAGGCTCCCTTGTTTAGCGTGATGCCGCGATGTATCTTTACAAGATAATAGTAACTTAGATAAAAGACGGTGGGATGATCTGTCAGTCTGTGTGGCACATCACTTCTTCATGTTTTGTCCTACAATATAATTCGATTTACGATTTAATAATTCTTTTTATCTTGTCTGTATAAACGTTCCTGCGTATTATGAGTGTATCTAATCTTCATTTGATTTATGATACAGATTCCTCCGTGGAAACTGAATGTGTAACAAGTGTAGTGAGGAAAGAAAGTGAGGGAGGGAGGGGTGAGAGAGGAGGGAGGACACACTCAGCTGGCCATCACGGCTCAGGGATACAACACCCGTATGGTCGACCACCAGCTGTTTTATGTGGATAAAACGACCCGCACCGCTCTCCCAGATCCACTTCTTTCCGCGGAGAACAGCAACATTTAACTAGACTCTTTAGCGGGTGAGCAAGAAGTTAATATGAGTTCCCTGACCTTATGTTATTATGAGTTACTCTCTACCAACTAGTGATTCATAAAGTTATTCAGGTAAGATTATCAACTGGGCTCTGACAGGTGTTTCCCGGTAAGAAATATTTTTGTTTTTTTAACCTTCATGGCAACCAACCCGTTAGTGAGACCAGTCAGAGATGGCCGAGAATGTCTTTGTCTGGGCGTAGTGGCCGGGTCCTGACATGTTTTTGGCGCTGGTGGCCCACTGATCATTGTTCCTAACCTAACCTAACCTAACCTAACCTAACCTAACCTAACCTAACCTGACCTGACCTAACCTAATCTAATCTAATCTAATCTAATCGTCAGGAAAGCCTCATTATATCTTTACAATTTCTTTGATTTTATGTAATGTGAGATGTACTGTGTGTGGGGGGGGAGGGAGGGTGGGGGGAATGTATAAATGAGACTAGAGAAACATCTTTTCCATTGCCTCTTTATCTTCTTTCCCACATCTTCTCCACGCCTCCCCTCCCTCCCAACTCCACCCAGTTGTTATACACCTTTTCCTCCTCTTCCTTCTCCTATTCCACCTCATCTTGCTCCTCCTCTTCCTTTTCCTCTTCTTCCTCCTTATTCAATATCCCACATTCTTCTTAACTCCTTCAGTACGATGACATTGTAGACAGGGTGTTAGGTCATCGTACTCAAGAGGCTAGGTCATCGTACTCAAGAGGCTAGGTCATCGTACTCAAGGGGAATATTTAGTATATGTTAGTGTAAACTATCATAATAACAAAGAGAGTTTTTGTCATTAAATAAAAACATCATGACTAAAATAGTTTAATTTATACGACCAAAACAATAGACGCTCATAAGACTCAAGACAATGTTTATTTACTCACCATAAAAACAAAAAACAAAAGCAATCCTAAACCCTTCTTAGTTAGTCCTTGTGTTATCCTTATGTCCCTCTTCCTCTCTTCTTTCACCACCCCCCCCCTACAGTACACACACACACACACACACACACACACACACTTCACTTCTCCTATTAGCCAACACAAGACATTGGTTAACCTTGGGGGATGTATTCACCCCCCCCCCTCCTCAGTAGTCAGGATGTTCGCCATTCATACCCTTACCCTTCCCTTGAACATCTGTCGTGCCCCTTAACTTCGCCCCCTTTAAAGCCATTAAAATAATCCTAAGGTGGCTGCTGATTCTGGCGACACTGTTTCCTTTTTTTTGTTTCTTTTCTCTGAATCATCATCACATATTATGCTTTGTATACATTCTGCTCTCCTTTGTTTTTTTCTTGTTTATTGTTTACTTGAGGTGAATGTTTACTGTTTGGGTTATTTTACGAGTTTCTTAGAGGATGATCTACATTATGTGTCCACCCTCACCCCAGCTGCATCACACATTCTCCCCCACCTTCACCTCAGCTGCCCCACACATTCTCCCCACCCTCACCCCAGCTGCCCCACACATTCTCCCAACCTTCACCTCAGCTGCCCCTTATTCTCCCCCCCTCACCCCTGCCCACAGCTGCCCCACACATTCTCCCCCACCTTCACCCAGCTGCTTCTCCCCACCTCAGCTGCCCACACATTCTCCCCACCTTCACCTCAGCTGCCCCACACATTCTCCCCACCTCAGCACACAGCTGCCCCACACATTCTCCCCCACCTTCACCTCAGCTCCCCACACATTCTCCCCAACCTTCACCTCAGCTGCCCCACATTCTCCCCACCTTCACCCCAGCTGCCCTCCCCCACACAGCCCCACACATTCTCCCCAACCAGCACACATTCTCCCCACCTTCACCCAGCTGCCCCACATTCTCCCCACCTTCACCTCAGCTGCCCCACACATTCTCCCCAACCCCAGCTGCCCCACATTCTCCCCAACCTTCACCTCAGCTGCCCCACATTCTCCCCCCACCTTCACCCAGCTGCCCACACATTCTCCCCAACCTTCACCTCAGCTGCCCCACACATTCTCCCCACCCCTTCACCCCAGCTGCCCCACCTTTCCTCAGCCCAACCTCACCTCAGCTGCCCCACACATTCTCCCCACCACCCAGCTGCCCCACACATTCTCCCCACCTTCACCTCAGCTGCCCACATTCTCCCCCCTCCCCAGCTGCCCACACATTCTCCCCCACCTTCACTCAGCTCCCCCACACATTCTCCCCAACCTTCACCTCAGCTGCCCCACACATTCTCCCCACCTTCACCCCAGCTGCCCCACACATCTCCCCCACCTTCACCTCAGCTGCCCCACATTCTCCCCAACCTTCACCTCAGCTGCCCACACATTCTCCCCACCTCACCCCAGCTGCCCCACACATTCTCCCCCCACCTTCACCTCAGCTGCCCCCTCTTCACCTCAGCTGCTTCTCCCAACCTTCACCTCAGCTGCCCCACAACCTCCCAAAACCTTCACCTCAGCTGCCCCACATTCTCCCCACCTTCACCTCAGCTGCCCCACACATTCTCCCAACCTTCACCTCAGCTGCCCCACACATTCTCCCCACCTCACCTCAGCTGCCCCACACATTCTCCCCACCTTCACCCTCAGCTGCCCCATTCTCCCCAACCTTCACCTCAGCTGCCCCACACATTCTCCCCACCTTCGCTTTATCTCCCCAGTTAACAATAAATGAGGCTTTGAACCCATATATTAAGGTTGAAAACAAGTCATTTCCTGTACTTGAAGTAGCGGCTTCTCCCACGCCCGCACGCCTACCTCCACACACGCACCACACACCCACCATCATAACATCACACCCATACACCATTACGCCCACATACCATACACATGCAGGGGTTTTGTCGGAGGCAATTTATTACTTAGTGAGACAATGAAGGCACCTGATACAATAAACGCACATTGAGAAAGAGAGAGAGAGAAGAGAGAGAGATAATAGGAATAAACACCAATAAAAAAGATACACATAAAGTTGAGATATTTTACTTTTATACAAAGTTAAAAAAACATGAACAAATAATAATAATAATAATAAAAATACTACTACTACTACTACTACTACTACTACTAATAATAATAATAATAATAATAATAATAATAATCTACCTAACACCATGTGACATCATCTATCCAGCCACGTTACAACACACAAATAAATCTTCTTTTTTATTCCTTACGTCCGATGATTCAGTTTCCTCTCCCAGCGCTGTAATTTCCGCATTTTTTTCTGTATTTTTAACTTCCTGTAACCTCTAGCTGTATTATGACACGGTCTGGGGCGTCAGAAAACCGTGGTGCATTTCCTGAGAGAGAGAGAGAGAGAGAGAGAGAGAGAGAGAGAGAGAGGGGATTGCTAACTAACGTAATGCCATTTTAAACGATCTCTCAACTTACATTCGAATATAACGATCATTAAGTGACAAAAAAAACCCTGATATAAGTTATCAGTAATGTTACCTTCGTCGTTGAGCTCTGAGGTGACTCGAGAGGCTGAGAAATAATGATTGATATTTAGTCAATTTACCCAAGGACAGCTGACAGAGGCGTGAGAGGTTTGTTTCCAGTAGAGGCCTAAGACTAAAAGGAAACACCATAAGAAATTGTCTAGTTTGTTTTGATGTTCTGTGATGTTTCTGAATGCATAAAGATGACCTTACTGGCTGTGTTTGCCCTGTCAGGTGAGTTTTAGGCAGACTATGTTTAGAGCACCCTTTTCTAGCTCCCTTCCTATGTGGGGTGAGCAGAGTGGTTCCTAGGAAGGGCTGCTCAGAGCCTCAGTCGCACAGACAGGACCGGATTGTACTGCAGGGGTTATCAGATGATGTTTTTGTCCATTATTTGCCTCACGTAGCTAAATCAGGTTTCTGTCTGTCTAACCTGGTTTAATTCAGGGTGAAGGAGGGTGAAGGGGAAGGGTAGATACTGGTTGAGACTAATGAGCGCGGCAGGAGGGACATGGTTTGTCTCAGGCCAAGTCTCTTGCTGCTAATAGTCAGTGTGTATGTAATAATAATAATAATAATAATAATAATAATTAACGGTTTATTGAAAGAGCTTGGCAGCCAAAAGGCTGAAAATATACAGTTACATATTTGGGGAATGGGTTTCGAATTACAAATAATATACAAGTAACATAAGTGACACAAATAAGACATATAATAACTAGATGGGGAAAAGCTCAAACTACAGTTCATTTCAACATAGTGACAGTGCAAGGAGTAGTGTTTACTGGGAGTGAATACACTGGTTTATTAGAAGTTATTGATAATTTTTACAATGGTTGGGACTGGGCTGTTCTTATAGCGATCAGTTCGTGCACGTATGGGCTGGATGCAGTTGTGGTGTCGAACAGCAATTCTCGGACTAGGTAGGAGCCGGTGTCGAGGACGGTGTAGAAGCTTCTTACCAAATTTGCAGATGAGGTCGTGGTGTTGGTCAGTGAGAGTCGAAAGGGTCAGTGTGTTGAGCCCTTCTTGATATGTGGAGTAGGAAGGGGAGAGAATAATCTTGCATGCCCTCTTTTGCACTTTTTCTAGGTGTTTACGTTGTGTGGCATTTAGGGAGGAAGACCAGGTGGGGGAGGCATAGGTGAGCTTGGGGAGTATGAATGTTGTGTAAACACTGAGGAGCTCGTGTGCAGGAACTCCGAGGGACTTGAGTCGGCGGAGGAGGTGGAGACGGAAACTGGAGGATTTGACAACTTCACTGACGTGTGGTTTCCAATTTAGTTTGTTGTCTATGGTGACGCCGAGGAGCTTCGTGGAATCTACAACCTGGAGTGTGTTCGGACCTAGAGTAATGGAAGGAGGTGGGACAATGTCGGAGGAGAGGTTGATGTGCATAACCATGTCTTGGTATGGTTGATGGTGACATGGTTGTTGGTGGCCCAGTTTGGAGACTGTTCAATAAATCCTTGAAGGGCGGTATAGTTGGGAGCAGAATTGTTGACGCTGATCCCAATGGTGGAGTCGTCGACATATTTCCAGCGAGCAGGGGTTTCTCTTAGGGCATCATTGAAGAGCATAAGGAAGCAGAGTGGTCCCATCTTGGTGCCTTGGGGGACGCCACAGGTGAGTGACTGAAAGGTGGAGACAGCCCCTCGGAAGCGTACAGCTTGGCGTCGGTCACTGAGGAAGTCTGTAAGCCATGGTATAAGACTTCTCCGAAGCCCGAAGTCAATAGCTTTGCTGATGATTATATTGTGGTCGACTACGTCGAATGCTTTAGTGATCATGCAGTAGCAGACTAGTTTCCACGTGGTGTTCATGACTTTGTATAAATACTCTTCTAAGCTGCTGGCACCAACCCCAGGCTCGCACCCAACACACACATACACACAGAGAGAGAGAGGCGCCCCGCAGGTGTGTGTGTGTGTGTGTGTGTATGTGTGTGTTGTAACTCACACGTTTACACAGCTGTACTCTATGCTAGGCGCCACCCACCAGCCTCTATCAACTCCCTATACTTAACCACTGTGCCTTGGGATATGTTAATTAAGCCTCTTTGACCTAAGCGGCGCCACTCCTGCCTTTACACATCACAGCTGCTACAGAAAATAGCACATATATCATAACATTCCACAACTAATGGTTATAATCTACATCATAACTACTAAAGTGACTAAATGACAACATTCCCCAACTGTTCACAACTACTAACCAACCACTACGTTAACCCAACAAACTTCTCACTCGATATCCTCAAATACCGTTCAGTAATTGGCTACAAACATTACTACCAACACACATACTATCACAACAAAACATTCTAATTTCTACACTAGTAGGTAGTAGGCAGCCACCACACAGGGAGGTCCTACCGCCTGGGGAGCATAATGTGTTGTGGACCCTGCTGCCATATGTGACCAAGTCCCAGGTTGATGAGCTGACTTTCTACCTCATTTACACACAATTGCAGGGTCTCAATTGTTTCTCTTACACAACACAACACAACACAACACAACACAACAGTATATCGCTTCTCACTCTTGATTTATTTTTTTTAATTTTTGTATTTATTTATGGATTATTATTATTATTATTATTATTATTATTATTATTATTATTATTATTATTATTATTATTATTATTATTTTATCATATTTTTTCCCCCAGGCCCTGATGTGGTTCATTAAAAATGGCTAATGGTCGTAAAAAAAAAATAAAGGCGAGGTTTGGATGGGACTACAGGATTAGTAATATATTGAACAAGGTCTTTTGAGGAAAGTGCCGGTGGCGAACTAACTAACTGCATCAGAAACAACATTACTCTAATTCTTAAACGTGAGGAGTATAACTTGATGCCGAAGATTATGGTGGAGAATGGTGGTGTTGACAGGGTGGAGGAGTGGTGGTGGTGGTGGTGGGAGGGTGGAGAAGGAGGGGACGACACACACACACACACACACACACATTCTCACTACTTAATGGATGTTTTTTTATACTACATCCTTAACTCTACCAATTAAATAATTCTAAGGATATTAACTCTAACCACAGGCTCAAAACTTTATTTCCAATTAACTGTAATAAAATCTCTGTTTTGGTTATAAATTTGACTTTTGTGGCAATGCATGAACAAATAGACGAACACTATATATAACAAAAAAGTAAACAAATTCTTGACACTTAATAAAATAATTAGAAAAATGATCCTACTTTTGTTTTTGGTTTATGTAACAGAATATATAGACTGTACACAACACCTCCAAAATATGTATATTTATGATTTTGTGTAAGACAATATGACACAACGGACGAAGGCTTATGACAACCCCACAGAGACAACAGGAGTCACAGTGTTCATTATGAAATTTATCGACCCTCTCCGTGGTTTTTTTTTATTTGTTTTAAGTTATTCAATTTATTCCGTTTTTTTCTGTTTTGTGTTATCTTATTTTCATCTAATTTTATTCTTTACTAAGTATCCTAATTTTCTTAAATCTTTGTTATAATTTTTTCTTAAATTTTTTTTCATCTTTCTTCTTTAATTTATTTTTATATCTTATTTTTTAATATTTTTTTCCAAACTTAAAATGAAAAAAAAAAATCAAAGGAGGGGACAAGTTCTCATAAGGTTTATTAGTTTTGTAATTTTTTTTGTCATGTGGTGTATTTTTTTGGGGGGGGAGGGGGGAGTTGATTCCTTATTCCATATTCTTTATAATTTCACTGTATCAATTTCTTTGTTCATAAGTTCAGTGTAATGGTCTATTTTTCATTCATAAGTTCAGTTTTTATTCATAAGTTCAGTTTTCTTCAGATGTTCAATTTTTCTTCATAAGTATATTTTTTTCTCAGTTCAAATTTTCTTCGTGAGTTCAGTGCAGCTTTCTTTTCTTCCTTCCCTTAATACATCATTCTGTTGTGTTTATAAGTGCAGTAACAATCAGTTTTGCTTTGTGAGGTCAATGCGACGATAGACTTTGTGCATAAACTAGATCCTTTCTGCTGTTCAACTCAGAAGGGTAAATACAGTACAGTACTCCTAACATTATCCTGTCCTAAAGCTGCCATTGGACTCATTAACTTACTTTAGATTTCCTCTTTTAACTGGTGATGTGCGAATGTACAGTCCCCTCCACTAGTGCGTTTACAGGGGCTCGTCATATAAACATTCCACAAATCATTATTTTTGAGATATTTGTTTGAATACTGTTTTACTTTAATTCCATAGTGTGTTTACTATTGTGAGTTTCCTTCTGTTGAATGTAAACAAACACAGCGCTGCCACACTGCACAAAACTCGATGAGCACCTGTAAACGCACTATTATTATTATTATTATTATTAGTGAAGGGAACTGTACCTAAAAGCCCCAGTTCAAGAAAGCTACAACGACAAGGCTATTGTAGTGAGATATACGATCACTTATCCCTATTTCGTGACGTGGAGGAACATATCTATAGTCACGGGGGTCTTGCGTATAGGTTCTCTAAGGTGGGGTGGAGACGATGAGGCAACAGTTCATGGAGAAGATTTGCCATCCGCTGGCCGTCTGTTTCCTCTGGATTTGGTTGGCTAGATAGTTGTCCGGGCAAGTTAGGTAGTTGTCCCATACAGTTGTGTCCACTTTATCTTTGTCTTTCCCGTCTGTCCACGTCACTAGCTCATGAGAGGCGTACACAGTCAGGCAGCGAGATTCATCCACATAGCAGACACTCAGTGCATGACAATTACCCTGCAGTACATCCGGCTTGATGAAGGATTCGCCACCATTATTATTTATACCCTCTAACCCCATCAACATAGATTGGGTCGGGCAGGTTACGGCACCAGGTTGATTGATGTCGCCCGTAGTGACAGACTCTACAAAATCATCGATACTGCAGCTAATTCCACTCTTGAACTTGCTACACACAAACGCGATGATGTCAGTCATGTTAGGATATCCTGGTTTTGTCACTATGGTGGTGATGATGCGTCCAGGTGAGCAGGACTTTGAGCTGATTGGAAAGTATTTTAATTCGATGATGTACGTCGGTAGTGTTGTGGTAGTTGTTGGGTCAGCTGTTGATAAAATTAGAATCATGTTAAATATAAGAATTATTAAAAAAAATCACTAAATAAATGTTATTTTTCAATGATTAACAAAGTATTTATTCTCTTTTTATAACCACGACCTCACACAGACACCAAACACGCTTCATCAGGTTGCTTTAATCTTATTATATTACAAGAAACACTCGTAGCCTTAAAAACATGTTCCAACTGGGAAATGTTAGAGGACAAGAAAAGAAAATGAAAAGAAATTAAAGCAAGAATTGTGAATGGGGAAACAAGAAGCTGACCAGGTTAATTAAAAGGTAAAGAAGAGAAAGATAAAATTAACAACAGAAGGATACAAGAGATAAATGGATGAAATACGAATAGGAGGATGAAGAAGACGAGAACAAAATATCTAAAACTTGACAACTAAGAATGAAAGTGGAAAAGAAGTAGGGGGAGAAAATATTATGAGCATTATCAGGTGTCTCGGAATTAATGCTCAGTCATACGAGAAAAACGATGCGATGACGTTGTAATATACCTGTTGTTGTTGTCAAAGGTGGAGGGATGCGGTAATAGTGGTAAGTCGAGTCGTAGGCACACTCTATATCATCGCTGGAGATTTGACACTCCCTTTGCCGACCTCTATTGATACCGATGTTAAACCCAGTGCATTCTGACTCTGAAAAAAATCACCCCACTGTATGATATACCTAAGAAATGTTTAGCAGAAGGGATAACAATGTAAAATACTGACGTTGGATTTGTTATGGTGAGGTTAATGTCAGCGCCATCTATGAGACAAACAACACGCTACCCTTCTGCTGATTCACTTATGGGTAAACTGTTATGTGTTACCGTTCTGGCTAAAACTGTTATGTGTTACCGTTCTGGCTAAAAAAAAATTACCTCTGTCACTTGAGAAACAATATTAACTTTTAATTTTATCTACTTATGTGGAGATGAAGCCAACACATAGAAACAGATAATGGCCTTTTGTGATTTGTTATCTGTGGGTTCGAATCTTATCTTGTTCTTCATTCATTTCTTCACATCATTAAGGGGTTTTTTCTGTGTTCCACTTATCGATTTTGGTGTTATTTTATTATTTATATTGATCTAAAATTGGTATTCTTGTTACTTTGTTGGGTATGTGACTTGCTTATATCTGTCTGATCAAGTGTATTCCTCTCCACTGGTTTCAGAACACCACAACAACAAACCTTCGGCTCAGGAAACCCAGTTATTTTTTCTCCTATCGTCCCTATCTGACTTACTTGACCTATACCTATCGCTCACCACACCCAATAGCGGCCACTAGTCAATGTACCTTTACCGAGTAGTTGTTAAATGAGATATAAATTGAGTTCATTGGGGGTTCTGAAAGTACCTTGAGTACAGAAGGCGGCGCAGGCAGTAAGAGAAGGCACTGAAGCAGTCTTGAAGATGTGACCACAGCGGTAGTAGTCGCGGCGCTCGTAACCGACATCAGTGGTTCCTGACGAAGATCCGGCCAACACCACCATCAACAGCAACCACACCAGCAGGGTAGCCGGACGGGGACCTCCAGTACTGATGGTTGCTGCTAGTCTCCCCATCCTACCACATCACGTTAACATAACACATGAGAGACACAGACGAACAACCAGACAGATGATATGTGGTTGACCTTGCAGACAAGTTGTACGTCACAAATGTGGAAAGACTTAAATAAACTCACAGTGTAGTTAGCGAACGCCCGGCAGGAGGGTTATTTTAAAGAGGGCACAGAACTTCAAGTGAGTAACAGAGTCTACAATCACCCTCAACCTGGCATTCACCAACAAAACAGCGGCAAAGACCTCAAGGAGAAACTGAAAGAGGTACGCAGCGACACATAATATGGAAATTCTCAACTACAGATCAGAAAAAGGGCAAAAAGTTAAGGTATTCGATGGTGGAGAAATCGAAGTAAAGTTACACACACACATACACACATACCTTTACAGTAAAAGTGGTGTGACTAATAAAAAACCATAAGAGCCTGCTGTGATAACTGTTCCCTAAATCACGACAATAGTGTGAAAGTAAACACCTACCCACAGCTCAGAACTCTTGTTGACTAATGCACAAGTGAGTAGGGTGGAGTAGGGAAGGGTAGGGTGAGGGAGGGGGGAAGGGGGGTAGACACGTGTATACAGGTGAGAAAGATCAAACCTCACCTGGTGTAATTAACTGTAAGGGTCGATACCAAAACAACTCATGCAGCACACAATTTCACTCTCTCATATTTACTGTACGGACTATATTTCATTCTCAAACCACGAATCATGCTCGCTCCCTCTCTCCCACCTTTCTCACGTTCGTAAATGGCTCTTCGTTAATGCCATAAGTGACGGGAGTGCTACAATACCTCCTCCCTTTGATCATGTGGGTCGACTAAGTGTTTTTTGTTTTTTAACTTCCACGAGCTCCAGTGTACGTAAATTTATAGTGTGTATGTGTGTGTGTGTGTGTGTGTGTGTGTGTGACTTACAAATTATAAAGTAACATTAATACATTGTAGCAACGTTTATATTCACTGATTTATATAACGTAGTGAAGTAGAATGTTGACATTAAATATTTTTTTCGACTGGATATTGTTACGAACCCCTCCACCCAGCACCACGAGCAACGCCATCTAGGGACGAGACACGAGTATGACTCGTCTTAGTTACCACTCCGGGGTTTCTCTTCTCCATATCCTGGTTGTTGCGTCACCTCCTCAAAGTCTTCTTTGTCAGCTCCAATTCGAGGAGAAAGCACTTGGCTCTGGGAAGTGACCACAGGATCATCTATCCTCTAAACCTACGTGCAGTGACTACCTACCGTCTTCTACAATACTCAGCCTTACTCGTCAGCCATCTCAGCTCCTCACTTAAGTACTTGTATTAACTCCCCCACGTCCACTTGCTTCAAGATTGTTTATGTTGTATTAATATGTATATACTGTTAATGTTTAGGTTAAGTTTGGTTAAGGGTAATTTATAAGCTGAATATTTTGTTAAGGGATTTATGGTACTTTATTATATACAACGAAAACTCTCATCCTTTGTCTACCCTTTTATAGTCCGATTGTCTTTGTTTTTTTTTATTGTTGTTACCTGTTGGGATCTGGGTAGACGTATAACTATATTCTAAATCCCCAACTCGTAACAATATATATACAATAGTTTAGTAAACCCTGATTTTGAGATGATTTTATTACTCCCAAAAGGAACTCTGAAAACGATTTTATTGGTGTAAAGTAAAGGCAAATTCTCAAAGGTTTCTACATGTCACTTTTCACCTGAGACAGCATCAAACTGGCTCACTTAAACTAAAAAAAAAAGTATGGTGTACCGTCAACAAAATAACCTTTAATTTATAGCCAAACTGTAGAACGTGAGAACACATTGAACTAACGCACCCTCACTAACACTACCACACCCTCACTAACACCACACCTACCACACCCTCACTAACACCACACCTACCACACCATCACTAACACTACCACACCCTCACTAACTATCACTAACACCACACCTACCACACCCTCACTAACACTACCACACCATCACTACCACCATACCTACCACACCCTCACTAACACTTCACTACACTACTACACACTAACATCGCTACACCATACCACCACCCTCACCAACACCACACCTACCACACCCTCACTAACACTACCACACCATCACTACCACATACTCACCACACCCTCACTGTATCGCTATCACCATACCTACCACACCCTCACCAACACCACACCTACCACACCCCACTAACACACCATCACTACCACATACCTACCACACACTAACACCACACCTACACACCATCCCACTAACACTACCATACACTCACTAACTACATCACCATACCTACCACACCCTCACAACACACCCTCACTAACACTACCACACTAACACTACACACTCACTCACCTATCACCATCACCATACCTACCACACACCCTCACTAACACACACTACCACCACACCCTCACTAACACTACCACACCCTCACTAACACTACCACACACACTCACTAACACTACCACACTCACTACACTACCACACACTCACTAACTATCGCTATCACCATACCTACCACACCCTCACTCTAACACTACCACACCCTCACTAACACTACCACACCCTCACTAACTCACTAACACTACCACGCCCTCACTAACACTACCACACACTCACTAACTATCGCTATCACCATACCTACCTACACCCTCACTAACACTACCACACCCTCACTAACACCATACCTACCACACCCTCACTAACACTACCACACCCCACTAACACCACACACTAACACTACCACACCCTCACTACACCACACCTACCACACCCCACTAACACTACCACACCATCTCCCCACCATACCTACCACACCCACTAACACCACACCTACCACACCATCACTAACACTACCACACACTAACTATCGCTATCACCATACCTACCACACCCTTACTAACACTACCACACCCTCACTAACACTACCACACCCTCACTAACACTACCACACCATCACTAACACCACACCTACCACACCATCACTACCACACCCTCACTAACACTACCACACCCTCACTAACACTACCACACCATCACTACCACCATACCTGCCACAGCAGAACTGACCTGTTTCAACCACGGGATACAGCCACCATCTATGACTCTTATTGATACAGGCTGGTCAGAGGTAACGTATCGATCAGCAACCATGGGCGGTCCCTTCACCCAAGCAACCACACAACCACCAATAACCACAAACCATTAATAACCACACCTTTACAACCACACACCACCAATAACCACAAACCATTAATAACCACACCTTAACAACCACACACCACCAATAACCATAACAGCAACCTTTCGTTCCTAATTGCAATCCTTGAAGACATCACCTAATATCACGAGACATCACTTGACATCATTCTATCGGTTACCATAGCTAGTAGATGTTAATAGGCTATTATACCTATTGTTATTGACTAGTAGAGGTCATATTATGACTGTAAACTAGGTTATGTGGTATCATGGGGAGGTCTTGGTCACAGAGAGCGAAGGTCTGTGGTTGGTGAGAGAGAAGAGATCTTGTTATGGTTCTTGCCTCGCAAGCAAGATGTCACGGGTTCGATTCCCAGGCCGGCGGAAGTTGTTTGGACACTCTTCCTAGCCCCCTTGGTCCCTGTTCCCCAAGCAGTAAAGTAGGTACCTGCTGTAAGTCGAAAGTTGCGAATTCGTATTCAGGGACAAGTTGTTGGAGCTTCCAATAACTTGATGACATAATTGAATTCTGACTACGACTACATCACAGTGTTCTTGTCTTGGCATTACTGGTTACGTCTTGGCATCGAATTTGTCATATTTACTAATGATACAACTGTCAGGCCTCTGGTACTTTCTCAGTTAGTCTAGATCAGAGTTTTATGAATTTAATTTGTATGGTTTAATAGGTTAGGTTAGGTTCGGTTCGGTCAGGTCAAGTCAGGTCAGGTCAGGTTAGGTTCGGTTAGGTCAGGTCAGGGTAGGTTAGGTTAAAAGTGCAGCATTGGACAGGTAAGGTTCATGCTCTATGTTTTCTTTGTCATATGTTTCATTGGCCAGTCTACCAACCTAACCTAACCGAACCTAACCGAACCGAACCTGACCTGACCTGACCTAACCTGACCTGACCTAACCTAACCTAACCTAACCTAACCTGGCCAAAAAATATCACAAAACTAATTCGACTATTATTCCTACTTAACGTAAATTATACATAAATACTCCCATTAAATAGTAATTTAAATGGATTTCCTGAAACACATAAATAGCTGTTCAATTTATGGGGCGTGGCAGTGAGTGACCCTGAAAACTTAGCGTGTAGGATGGAGCAGCTAAGTAAGTGCTCTTAAATGAACCTCTTAAGTGGAGACCATGACTTAGCCTTAAAAACTTCTTAAAAAAAAAAATTCCAAAGATTTTTTTTCATAACTAAATATACGAATGATTATAATCTGTACACCACAACACTACTCTTATGACCATTTGTGAATCACAGTATACCGAGAGTTTACTGAACGAGTCTCAGAGTAAACAGAATATCAAAATACACAGAATATTATTATTTACAGTGTACCCGACAGTAAGTAGAATGGGTAAACAATTTTGTTATTAGAATTAAGCTAATTTTATCATAGGTTTAATTTCGTATCTAACATTTCTTTTGCCATGACGTATGAATGTTTATTGGGGGGGGAGGGGGAGGTTGTTGCTATGGAGATTTAACATGTAAACAAACACAAACACAACAACAAAACAAGAATTAATACTTAATATGCACATTATTAACCCCTTTGAGTACGATGACTTATTCCCCTGTTTATTTTTTTCTATATCACGATTGAGATGTGACTTTGACACAGAGAGAGAGAGAGAGAGAGAGAGAGAGAGAGAGAGAGAGAGAGAGAGACCGCTACCTTTACACTAAGGCTGTCAGCTGCTCTCGATTAAACAGGCAGGAAACTGACACTAAAACTGCCCACATCCTCATAAGATCGTGTTAGTGACTGTCAGCCCCCTGTGTGTGTGTGTCAGCCCCCTGTGTGTGTGTGTCAGCCTATGTGTGTGTGTTAGTGTGTATATGTTATGTCAGGTAATGGACAGGTAATGGAGTTACTTTACCGTACCTGTACTTCAAGGTCAATCAATAACACACAAACACACACACACACACACACACACACACACACACACACACACACACACACACACACACACACACACACACACACACACACACACACACACACACACACACACACACACACACACACACACACACAGACACACACCACACACACACACACACACACACACACACACACACGCATTACACACACACACACACCTAAGAATCAAATAAGATTCCTCTATAAACTATCTGATTTAATTATAATTCTGATAATGTTATTTTTTCTCTATCCCTTCGTCAGGTAGTTCCTCCGTCGGCAGGATGATCACTAGTAAGCTTGACGACCTCCTTACCCAGCTGGGGACGGGTAAATGGAACGTCTTATTCTTCATAGTGATAGGTTACTGTAAGTCTTCTGCGTGTCTGTGTGTGAGGGGGAAGGGGGTGTGTTTGTTAAAGTGAATGTATGGTAAGCTATCATGTGGATATGATAATGATAATAATGATAATAAGAATAATAATAATAATAATTATCTATGTCCTAGAGAGGGATACAACACACACACACATTCCTGAAGTTTATGTTTACTCCGCAGGGAATATGCACTTGGCGCCACACACTCTGGGTATATCGTTCCTAGCGCCCATGATGGACTATAGCTGTGTGCCTCCCGATCACGCCTTCACCATCACCTCCATCACCTACGACGCCGACGGTACCAACCACACAACCATGTGAGTCTCTCGTAGAACAGTGAGTCAGTCACCTGTGTACAACCATGAGTCATCTCTGGTCAGTCACCCACAAAAGTCCTGTCGCCTTTCCTTCTGAACTACGAAGCCTGAGATTCAGACTCGTGAACCCGAAGCAGTAAATATTGATGCATTATTCTTTCCATAAAGGCTTCGGATTTACGAGTCTGACTCAAGGTTCGTGTTTCAGTAGGAGAGGCGATAGGACTTTTGAGGATGACTGTACAACCAAGTGTTCTGTTTACACTCTCCCCAAAAAGTATCCACCCCCCTCCCCGGCTTGATGTATTTGGAAATTAACACATTAACATAGCACAGTAGTCTAATTGTGAGTTGCACCTTCCGTTCTATCGTCTTACACCTGATAATCACCATGATATCTGCAGTATACTAACTATTCTCTACACAATGTAATGAAATAGGATGAATTGTGATACCATGTGCTAAACCAATAACGTCATGATCCGATATTACATTCATTTGCAAATATAGAAATTACAGGTGTATTATGATGCCATATCCAATTACAATGACATTACGATTCATTATGATTTACTGCAATTCGATATTATTTCTACCTCAATTGAAGAGGTAACAATTATGAATATAAAATATGATCTTATGATTCGTGCTGGCATCGGAACATTATCTGATACACAACGAGACGATGGCGTCAAGTCCTTCCATGGGATTGACAGTCACTGCAACCCATTGCAAGCTGTGTTGTCCAATGAGTCTCGGGTAGTAGTGTTGGTCATGGATTTCCAGCAGAAAACACTCACTATTTGACTGCAGTTAATATATTTTCGCTACATTAATATCATTATATTATTCTACTAAAGATGGAGCCCAGTGATTCACCATTACAATAAATGCCAGAAATAATAACTGGCAGCCTCACAGATACTAGGAAGGCAAACCTACCAACATAATGCAGGAATCACAGTTAGTGATCGGAAATATTCGTCCACTGTGACACATTATATCGATGAGGAAAAGGGCCAATACTTTCTGGGGGCGAGTGTACATGAGTTCTCTGGCGCCTACTTCATGTTCTTAGTCCAGCGGGTCTTCCGGCGGTAAACAATCCGGATTCCAAAACACGACACAAACCAAACAATCACAAACCATTGCAAAATAAAATTATCAAGTTCTCTTTTCAAATAAATTACAACTAGGCTCTTCAGGTAAGGACAAAGGTCATAATCACGAGTTATTTATGTATTAAAGTGTAAAAATATCCAGGTGTCTCCAGGTAAACTATTTCTAGATATCCGAGTTTCAATTACACCTGAGAGTCATTAATTTAACCAATTCAGGTGTTTATTAAGATACAGCTCTGTTAATTACGACGATAACACTGAAAAAAACTACTTATTTTATTGGCCACTTATAACCTTCGATATAACGGACTTTATTCTCTATATAATCCGTTAAATAGTTTTTTTTTTTACTGTACTGTGGAATTTCATCACCACACCTCTGCCTTCCTCCCACAGCGATAATTGTCACTACTACATCAACATCACTGAGGGCGGTGGAGGGTTTACCAAGAAGCCGTGTGATAAATGGGCCTACGACAATCATACCTTCGTCTCTACTCTCACCTCAGAGGTATGGATCTTTTAGAGTATGTACAGTACAGTCCCCTTCACTAGTGCGTTTACAGGGAGGAGGGGTCGTCAGATTTTGTGCAGTGTAGCAATGTTGTGTTTGCTTACATTCGATAAAAGGAAACTCGAAATAGTAAGCATAGTATAGAATCAAAGTAAAACAATATTAAACAAAAATATATATCTCAATGTAATGATCTGTGGAATGTTTATATAACGAGCCCCTGGTTAACAATTGTAGTCCCACTCCCACCCCATTAAATTCTTCTCATTTCTTTATTAATCGATTTATTTATGTTGTTGATGTGATTTTTATGTGTTTTTTGTTATAATAAAACCTTAAGGATATATTATTTTTGTGGGTCGTCTTTGAGTGCTGGAATGTGAGGTACGTGAATGACAGAGCAAGTATGTATGTATGTATGTATGTATGTATGTATGTATGTATGTATGTATGTATGTATGTATGTATGTATAGGACCATTCTCTCTCTCTCTCTCTCTCTTACTTTTCTCTCTCACCTTCCTCCAACAGTTTAACCTAGTATGCTCGTCGGAGTACCTAAGGCCCATTTACTCAAGCTTGTACATGTTTGGTACCCTTGTTGGAGCACCTATGAATGGAATACTCTCTGACAGGTACAGTAAGATGTTGTTTATATCACCTTCGTCATTAGTTCCTTCTTCATCACCACCTGCTTCTTCTTCGTCTCCTTCTTCGCCTTCTGTATTTTCTTTATTTCGTATTTTTCCTCCTCTTCCTCTCCCTCTATTCTTCTTTGTTTTCCTACGCTTCTTGTTCTTATTATTCTTTTTTCTTCTTCGTTTTCCTATGCCGCCTCTTCCTTTTTCTTCCTACCCCTCATTACTCGTCCCCCTTCTTTCTTCTACTCCGCCTTCTTCTTCCTTCTCCTCCTTCCTCTTATTTCTACTCTTTCTTCCCTTTCCCCCTCCTCTCCTCTTTTCTATAATCCCTGTTTAAAATAATATTGGAACATTTATAGAGAGTAAAATATCACCCTCTAGTTTAAGGGTTGCTGTTCATTCTCCTATTGTTTACATAGTTTAAAATAATATTGGAACATTTATAGAGAGTAAAATATCACCCTCTAGTTTAAGGATTGCTGTTCATTCTCCTATTGTTTACACAGGTATGGGAGGAAGACCATGTTATCTATCGGTCTCTTTGCTTACTTCTCAATAGCCACAGCATCAACCTGGATTCCCGTCTTCTCCGGTATCCTGGTTGTTCGGTTTATCCTCGGTCTTTTCCACCCAGTCGTCTTGCAGTCTGGATATATATTAGGTATGTTGTCTGTCTGTTTGTCTCTTCCTTCTGTTCTCTGTCTTTCTGTCTGTTTGTTCCTTCTGTCTCTCTGTCTCTCTCTCTTTCTTTCTCTTTTTTGTCAATCAATTTCTCTTTTATCTCTAGTTTTCATCTCCTCTCCCCTATGGTCATGCTATCCATGCTCACTCTTCCATGCTCACTCCCTATGCTCAACCCACATGCTCACCCCCCTACAAAAGAGTAAATTCACTTATTAATTCTTTCTTTTTTTATCAATTAGTTTATTTTAAGTTTAATTTATAGTAAGTAAGCTTAACAAAACTTTATGTCATACTGTGGAACAATTTGTCTTCTGTTTTGAAAGTCGATGTTTTAATTTTTTTTTCAAGACAAAATTTCTTCCATTTACCAAGACAGTTTTGTGTACACCCTTTTAATATTGTGTGTGTGTGTGTTGCAGTAATGGAAGTCACGGAGCCTCGGTATAGATCTGTGGTGGGGATCCTCATATCCTTACCCTGGGCAATAGGAACAGTAGCCTGGGGCGCCATCGCCTACTTTCTCAGGGACTGGAAGTGGCTCCAACTGGCAGTGACCCTCCCTGTCTTCCTCCTCCTCCCTCTCCTCTGGTAAGTACACCGTGAGACACAAACACACTTTCACCCTCAATGATCTCACTATGTTTTAAGTGTATGTGTCAAGTCTGTGAAGTTATGAGGGTATTAAGACCTACAGGGTACTAATGTATGTTCCTCCTTCGTCAGTAGTGTGTTAAGGATAATCATTATTGGCCAACATACTGATACAAGGTCCCGGTCTCTCTCTCTCTCTCTCTCGTTGTCATAATGCTGTAACAAGATAAACGCCACTTTTGATTTTAAGGAGCTATTTTCTGGGGGTATTTCAGAGGAGGGGGGAGGGGAGTTCAGGGGGAGAGAGGATGTTTCATGGGAGAGGGGTGTTTCAGGGGGGATGTTTCAGGGGGGAGGGGTGTGTTTCAGGGGGTGAGAGTGTTTTAGGGGAAGGACGTGAGATTAAATTGAAATTCTTTTCAGAGATTCCATTTCGAAGTTGATATATATACAGTAGCTCCATATTTTCCAACGACGATATTTTTCAAATTTCTGTCTAATAGCTATAACTGGATATCTTTAGATGGTTGATAACATATTACTACACGTTATAATTAGCCTGATTATATTGCTATCGTCGACTGTCACATGATACATAAGCTATCCAATATATTTCACCTTCTCTACCCCTCTGGCTGCCTCGTAGGTTCATCGACGAGTCTCCCCGTTGGCTTATAGTGAATGGACACATCGACAGAGCCCACAAGGTACTGAAGAAGGCTGCCCGCTGGAACCATTCCTCACTGCCACCCGCCGAGGAACTCACCATTCTCATGAGGGCAATACAGAAGGAGGTGAGAATGTACCGTGTCTCAGTACCGTGTCTCAATAGCGTGTCTAGCGTGTCTCAGTAGCGTGTTTTTTATATTCAAATCTTCTCTTTCTCATTTTCGCTTCTGATAGTATTGATTCGTTTATTTCCAGTCAGCCACAGCGAAGGATGCAGCGAGGGAGGAACACGGCGAGCTCACTTGTAAACAAAGAGTGTGCAACAGTATACGGAGACTCTTCATTCTCTTCAGGTCAGACAACAAACGAGTGAGCAATAACAGACGGATGAAAAACTACACACACTACCTCATGACGATACTGAATACTGTTTAATATAACTAATAATAATCATACCATCAACTTTTTTTTTTAACCTCTACAACTATATAAACTATCAAGATACAAATTCAAACATTGGATATATATTTTTTTTCTTCTATCTTTCAGGACCCCGAAACTACTGCTGATAACGGTGATGCTGTGTTTCAATTTCTTCTCTGTTGGTAGCATCTATTATGGGATGAGTCTCAATGCCGTCAACTACAGTGCTGATCCTCACGTGTATATGATGTTGGGCGGTGTAGTGGAAATCCCAGCATACACCGTCACGGCTCCTATCATCGCTCGTTTTGGCAGAAAATGGCCAAATATTGTCTTTTATCTCATCTGTGGTTCCGTCATCATGGCTCTGGCTTTCATACCCTCAAGTATTTAAATAGTTGGGTTATTATTATTATTGTTATTATTTACGTGGTGGAGAGAGAGAGAGAGAGAGAGAGAGAGAGAGAGAGAGAGAGAGAGAGAGGACCTGTGATATAAAAATAGAGATTTTAACTTTATGGTATAGGTCAGGTCAGGTCAGGTCAGGTCAGGTCAGGTCAGGCTAGAAAAAAAAAACCCGCTATATTTTCGGACCTCTTATAGGATGAAGGATGTACAGTAAATTACGTAGAAACTTCCACCAGGATAGGAGGGAGGTAGGAAGGATATAATTCAGAGGGGTGGATAACGTACAGTATATAAGACATCCTACCACGCCATAACACAAGTATCCAACACATCCTATCACGCCATAACACAAGTATCCAACACATCCTATCACGCCATAACACAAGTATCCAACACATCCTATCACGCCATAACACAAGTATACAACACATCCTATCACGCCATAACACAAGCATCCAACACATCCTATCACGCCATAACACAAGTATCCAACACATCCTATCACGCCATAACACAAGAACCCCTTCACTAATGCCCTACCTTCTCTCTCTCTCCCCCAGATATCATGTGGCTAGTGATGACTCTGGCCATGATAGGTAAAATGTGTATCAGTGCTGTATACCAAATCCTGTACCTCTACAGTATGGAGCTCTTCCCTACAGAAGTCCGTCTACAGGGACTTGGAATAAGTACCATAGCCTCGCGGATTGGTACCATAGTATCACCCTTTGTTACAGACTACCTGGTAAGATCTGTTATAGCATATTACTACATCATCTACAGTAGTAGTCCCCCTGCTGCTGTAGTAAAAATACATCTAATATATCTTATTTAATTATACATCACTGTGGTTTTATATTGTACCTAATCTAACCTAACCTGTATATATGGATAAATATGTGATTATATAAATTGACTGATATAGATTATTATTATTAGACAGACAGACAGACAGATAGATAGATAAATAGATAGGAGCATATAGACAGGACAACAAAAAGTGGATTTAAAAATGAAGCTCTCTCTCTCTCTCTCTCTCTCTCTCTCTCTAGGGGCCACTGTACTCGTGGGTGCCATCTCTGGTATTCGGGGTGGTGGCACTACTCTCTGGGGTATCCATGCTGCCCCTGAAAGAGACCCTTGGCACTAAGATACCTGATACTATTACGGACCTGGAGAACCCTGGTCATCAACTAATCCTCAGGTAGGTACTCGCACTCACTCACTTACTCACTCACGCACTCACTTACTCACATTTTTTGTTTGTTAAGGAAATTTTGCCTATCTGGTAACACTTTATTTATCTCCATTTAAACGGGATTTTTTTTACACCTAACGGGCCCTCGATATAACGGACTTTCATTGCCATATACAGTAATTCGGATTTTATAGATTCAGATTTCAATTGTAAACAAATTCTTATAGTTGTCTTCATGTAAACAGATCATATGTTGAATGTAAGCATACTGTTATCCTCATATGAGCGGTTCTGGTGTCGAGTGTAAACAATAAACAGACAAACTTATTGATATCCGTAGTTCAGGTGTCGAATGTAAACAACAGCTTAAAATTGTCTTTTATAATTCACAGAACAGCAGAAGAAGAGGAGGAAACGGAGATGGCTAAACTCCGAGCCTAGAACACCTTTGGACACCTCTGAATATATTTGGACACCTCCGGACACATTTGGACACCTCTGGACACCATTGAATACCTTTTGGCACATCTGGACACCCTGGACACGTCCTAGTGGTAGGGAGGGTATTGAAAATGGGCTATCCAGTATATTAGGACATTTATTACTCTCTGAAGTGTCCTATTCCTGAACTACGCTGTGTCTAAGGACATCTCTTGCCTCTGGAGTGTCCAAGTGGTAATGAACTTTAAACAAGAGGACATTACCGATGAAGAAATTTATACAGTAGTGTCCCAAACCTGAACAAACGTTGTGTATAAAGTTAGGTTAGGTTAGGACACTGAACTGATGTTGATGTGATAATGATTCTCTGATGAACAAAATACAGATTCTTAAAGTTCAGTCTAAAAGTATGGGACCTGTAGCTGATCATGTGATGTAACCTGCTGCTAAACAACCTTCATGGTACTGTAACCTGCAGCAACAACCCAGAATACACTAACTACTAAACTACGACTGAATCATCCATTGAATACAGCTGGTAACATCAAGAGATATACTGTATACCCTTCCAGTAGCTAGACACTGGAGGTGACTTTTAATTCTCGAACAGAAACAAAACAAAAACAATAATAAAAACAATAATAAACAAAAGAATTAATAAGACTATAGGCCAGTACACTTTTATTATTAATTTCTTTGTTAGTTAATCGATGGATTATATATTTGTATGTTGAGATGTTTATTAGTCAGATTTTATTAGTAAATGTTGTGTTTATGTTGAAGTAATAGAGAAAGTATGTTTTGAATGTTATTTTGGTGTGTGTGTGTGTGTGTGTGTGTGTGTGTGTGTTTGTGTGTGTGTTAGTTCTATGGTGACACTGAACACACACACACACACACAAAATAACTGACATGGCTGACAATAAAGCCTACATGATACAATGATTAATAGTTCGAGAGAGAGAGAGAGAGAGAGAGAGAGAGAGAGAGAGAGAGAGAGAGTTTAAGTAGTTTCTAACGTACGAATATATCACTTCATGTTTACTGTGATGTCATAGCCTATTAAGACATATATAAAAACTAACAATACCAACTTATTGTATTATTATTATTATTATACACTATATTACAATACGTATCATCCATTGAATGTCAACAGTCATCGAACGTCCTAGATAGGAAGACAGTGACTCATCCAACCCAACTACAATTCACTCAGAAAGAATCTCAAGGTAAAGTGAGGGGTGGAATTTGTCAAACAGAATCTATTGTATATAATTATGAATAACTTAGAGAAAGTTTCAGTCTTACGTTGAAAATCTGTTCAGCGTGACGTAACTTTTGATCGTATTATATAATTTATTTTTAGTTTCGATGTGAGTATTTTATAGCAAAAAAACATTAATCCCTTCAATATTATTTGTTTAAAATTTCCTTCTCATTTCTGAATAATGATATGGTCACCCCTTAAAAATTTTAATTTGTGACCTAATTAATATTCGTTTTCTATGAATATAATTACAGAGAATGGTGCGATTGGCGGTAATACTAAAGATACGGGCTCTCTGTTATTTTATAGCAGCTATACTGAAGACTTTATTGAGTAAGTATTATAAAATTCTTTGATACAATAAAGTTTTAGTTTTGAATTTATACATGGAATAAAAAGAGACCACTCTACAGTTGACAGTAAGCCAAATAGTGTTTTCGGTCATTTCTCTAACAAAGAATGATTTTTTTTGGGGGGGTGGGCAAGGAGGTACTATACAAGCTACATTATTTATTTATTATTTATACTATTTATCAGTTTACTAAGCGTTTGGGCGGTCAATCAGTGATTTGGTTATTTCTTACGACTCTCATTGTCCAGTGTTAGCGCAGGAGGAAATTACTGTATCAAGAAAAAACCTGTCATGTTTGGTGGAGTCACACTGGGAGCTACTTCTCTCTCCATCACTTGATAAGATATGCTTTACAAGATGTACCTCCTCAGGGTTACTACTAGTCTAACAATAAATGCACCTGACCATTCTCTACTTCAATAAATCTCATTGTTTATACCAAATAAGTGTGATGGTGTGATGCTAATGAAGACACTATGCTATAAAATTTTAGTTTAACTGGAAAAGAGTTAGATGTTATACTCTATCATTATTTCTCAGTCCTCCTTAAGAGCAACAACGCTGAAATTCTCTGTTCCGGTCATATCTATGCTCGTCTTCTCCTCAGATTATAATATCAATTTGTTTCGGACACCTGGAGGACAATATAAATTAATCTATATAACTAGACTCCCCATTTAACGCCTGCCTTTGACCTTCATGCAAATGCTGAGAGAGTTATCGTCCCAGTGAAGGCTAACGAGCTGACAGGCAGAGACAAAAGACAAAATAATTGTCTCATCAACCCCAATAACTGTCTCCCATTTATCGTTTAAGGTAAATCTCTTCCCCTTGAGATAAAACAAAACCAAAAGGGGAGGGGGGGGGGTGTTTATGTTTCAGCCCAGAGGTGAAGACAACGGTGACTAGATCTTAGTGGCCATTGAGGAAGCATTGTGGCGGGGTTATATCTACTGTACTCTATTGCTAATGGAGTTTGGTGTGTTGTCCTTATGTCAACAACGTGGTGAGAGAGAGAGAGAGAGAGAGAGAGAGAGATAGAGAGAGAGAGAGAGAGAGAGAGAGAGAGAGAGGTGACGCAGCTATCGGTTTTACATTACTACAACTACTACTACTACTACTACTGTTACTACTACGGTACTACTATTACACCAACTTCTACTCCTACACAAATTTCTCCTGGGATCGAAATGTCTACAGCTAGAGGGTTGTATTACGTCGAGTGTGTGTGTGTATACAAAATCAAGTAAATGATCCAAACAGCTCCAGTCTCCTGTCCATTTGTACACACTAATGCCAACACATACAATAAGGGCAAACCTCATCGCGGTGCTTGATGTAAACAATGTTGATAGTATTCAATATTTAATCACGTTTTGTATTACGTATCTAAGATTTCTCTCTCTCTCTATCTCTCTCTCTCTCTCTCTCTATCTCTCTCTCTCTCTCTATCTCTCTCTCTCTCTCTCTCTCTCTCTCTCCAAAATCAGGGGCGGAACTTAACGTAGTGTCCGGTCCGTGGCGTTGGCTAATTTTTTTTTCAACACACCCGAGACAAGATGAAGGTCGGGTTACAAGTTGCAAAGTGTAGTGCAACATTGTGCATCTTTTCAAGCAAGTGAAGTAGCTAGTTTATGAGAGCTAATGGGGGGTTATTGTTTAACCTTGACAAACTTGTAAATAGGTCCAGTTCTAAGTCATGCAGTATTTGTTTAATATATTTAAATTTGGAGTAATTTTAATGTCGAATATTTTTGTTTTAATTCATTTGCTGAATAAGTGACGTCATAACTGCAGTTAGATTATTAGGAAAGTTATGAAGTGTTCGTCCTTCTGCGAGGCAATGCTGATCACGTGAGACGAATAATTTTTTTCGCTTTGAGAAATTAAGATATTTGATAAAGTTGTAAGAAGGACAAAAAATCAATAACTAACACGAAATCACGTAGAAATAAATTACCTTTTATAAATAGTTCCTTTTTCGTCTCCTTTCCTGTTTCACGAACAAGGAAATTAGGGTAAGAGTTAAGTCTTTTAAACAACATATTGTCAGTGTTGGAACATTGTCAGGGAGGTCAACACTAGTGTCTCATGAGGGGCATTGGGGCTCGCGCAACTCCTCCGTCCAGTTAGGAGAAATTCGATCGATCAAAGGTGAGTGAAATTGTTTTCAGATAGAATTTATGGGAAAAACAATAATTTAAGAATCAAATTCGTCAATGTTTGTAAAAATAAAAAAAAAGAATACTGGAGAAAAGAAAAAAACCAGATTGTAAATACGGGTATGTCTCACACCAGCCTCACACTGTCTTCATTCGTTTATCATCGAGACATTGACAACAGATAAACTAAATACGCTATGATTGACTGATTAGATTATACTTAGTGATGGAAACAATCATCTTTTTATTATTGATGTAAACATTAACACTTGAAACAAATAAATGAGAACGTGGTCTTAAATTCAATTCACAGTTATTATAAAGAACAAATTCCCGTCACACAATTTTTTTCCAGCCAATCAGACGCTTTAGTTACATTATATCTGGTACTATAGCTGCTCAAGCGACTGTAACCAGTTTAAACCGACCTTGAGCCGTGATGGGATGAAGGATGGGTGTCAAAGCCGAGCCCAACTGAGGCTACGGTACACCATCTGTAGCTGACAATGTTCAATATATATCGTAGGTTAAAAACAAAACAAAACTCAGTGATTAATATTAAGTATTATTGATACTATACAGTAGGTCTTTCTGTTACAACATTTGTTACTTATTTAAACAGATTTCATCGTTTATACTTCTGAATTGGCATCTGATCTATGATTGGTGGAGCCTTGAACGAGCAAAAAACAAAGCTCTTAATACGGATAATATACAGTTTTCTGGCAATTTTGTATCAGTATATACCGTCTGCAGGACCAAGAACTGAGTTACCCAATTATTTGTGTGTGTGCATCAATACAAGGTTCTAATTATCAACACCAGCTGGGGTTGGGTGGTTTATTTTCGAACACTGAGGGTACGACTTGTGTGTTTACAAAGTTTGTGTTTACAATTTGCGTGTTTACACTGAACATTCCTCGCGGGTCATCACGGATTACTGTGACACCAAACTCCTTCCAAACTCTCCACACTCACCCCAGTGCCAACTCTCCACACTCACCCCAGTGCCAACTCTCCAAACTGCAACCCCAGTGCCAACTCTCCAAACTCACCCCAGTGCCAACTCTCCACACTCACCCCAGTGCCAGTGCCAACTCTCCACACTCACCCCAGTGCCAACTCTCCACACTCACCCCAGTGCCAACTCTCCAAACTCACCCCAGTGCCAACTCTCCAAACTCACCCCAGTGCCAGGAGTGCCAGTGCCAACTAAACTCACCCCAGTGCCAACTCTCCACACTCACCCCAGTGCCAACTCTCCAAACTCACCCCAGTGCCAACTCTCCACACTCACCCCCAGTGCCAGTGCCAACTCTCCACACTCACCCCAGTGCCAACTCTCCAAACTCACCCCAGTGCCAACTCTCCACACTCACCCCCAGTGCCAACTCTCCATAAGAGGTACTGGAGCAGAGGCCGCACAAAAGGTCACAAAAGCCGGGAGGGAGGGAAGTATTGGAGGCCAGTAGGAGGTAACAAGAGGCCAGCCGGGAGATAAACTGAGTCAGAAAAAAACACCTCATGAAGTGATGCAGTTAGCGGGGAATTTTATCTGACGTAGAGAAACACAGAAGTGCTTATAACTACTGCTGGTGTGTGTGTGTGTGTGTGTGTGTGTGTGTGTGTGTGTGTGTGTGTGTGTGTGTGGGTGGTGTGGGTGGGTGTGTGTGTGTGTTAGTTTTTAAGAAGACTCCCCATATTAAGACATGTCTACTTGCTGCCACACTTTCTGCCTCCTATATCCAGCACCACCAGGTAAAACCTACTGGCAGGTTAAATGTCACTACTACTACTACTTTGCTGAAACTCGAAATCGCGTATGACGATCATCCAGCTATGATACAATGATACCAGTTATTAAAGATGTCACCTTCGTTGGTGATCTCTGAGGTGACTCTAGAAGCGGAAGGAGCGGCGACAGGTTACGGCATTGGCGCTTGTCTGCCTCGGTATGCAGTCGGGTTAACTCGAAAGTATTGACACCTTATCGTGTGGTGCTCCTCCAAGCGTTACGGTGTGGAGTGATCGACTCCCAGGTGAGGGGGTCGATTTGTCACTTTTTCAGGTTTGTCTTAAGACTGTCCTTATACCTTTTCAGTTGCCTGCCGGCGTTGCGTTTACTATTCGTTAGGTGACTGCAAATTAGTTACTTTGGCAGCCTCGATGCTCCTACAATTGGTGTCAGCGAGAATACTGGCATTTGTTCTCTTGTCTTCCCAAGCGTCTTGAGGTGCCTCCTATATGTGACCCATGTCTCGCTGCCATATAGCAGGGTGGGGAGAACCACTGATCGATATATGTGCAGCTTTGTTGATAATAACAGCTCCCTACAGCTGAAGACACGGGTACGGAGTCTGCCAAAGGCTTGAGACACACATTTGATCCGCAGTGGTGGACAGGCAGGAGCTAAGGTACTGGAAATGATTAACATTGAAGAGGATAGTGCCGTTAACTTGAATGGATGGTGGAGGCGTTGTTGAACCAGGGAAAAACTGGAACAGAATCTATGTCTTGTGTACGTTTACTTCAAGGTCGAAGTGAGTATACGCATTTGCGTAGGTGTTCAAGATCTCCTGTAGGTCGCGTTCATTGTGAGCAACAAAGGTGAGGTTGTCTGCATACCGAAGTTCAGTGATGGAAACTGCCGACATTGCCTGGAGTCGTCTTATGTTGAAAAGACCCTTCATCCGGTACTGGATGTCCACTCAGCTGGCTAAATTGACACTGGCACGAGTAAGGAAGGCAGCCAAGAAAATGGAAAAGAGATTTGATGTCAGTACACATCCTTGTTTTACCCCCGTTTGGATGAGGAAGAACTCAGACCTACACCAACACTCACGTACACCAACACTCACGTACACCAACACTCACGTACACCAACACTCACGTACACCAACACTCACGTACACCAACACCAGATAATACCCACACGTACATAAGCCCTTCATACCCTTAAACAGTTAATGGTTTCTCTATCCTGGCCTGTCCAATGAACTAAACCTATACTTATTTTCTATCCATCCACTAGCCTTAACTATCTTCTAAACACTTTTAACTAAACTAACTTCAAATTCTCACATCAAGTTCCTCAGAGTAACTAGACCATTATTCCGGGTCATGATAAGTTGAAAAAAAAATCAGGGTCACATAAACAAAAAAAATACAATAAAAAAGCTACATTAAGAAGTAAACGCTAATGGTATTAAGAGACCAAACTCATCACTTTTTTTCCCCTTACAATTAATCTAAACTCAACGTTCTTATCTAACACACAAGACTGGATTAGTGTTCCATATCATGTTGTTATCATCGTCGTGGTTCTTGAGTCGTTGTTATCATCCTATCATACTGTGTTAAGTAACGTTGTTTTGGGTCAGAATGAGGCTGGTGTTTGTGCCCGAGTAACAGCAGGTGATTTATGTTCCGTACAGGCCACAAGTGTTCCATGAAGATCATAGGTGTTCCGTATAGGCCATAAGTGTTCCGTACTGGCCATAAGTGTTCCGTACAGACCACAAGTGTTCCATGAAGATAATAGGTGTTCCGTATAGGCCATAAGTGTTCCGTACTGGCCATAAGTGTTCATAAGTGTTCCGTACAGACCACAAGTGTTCCATGAAGATAATAGGTGTTCCGTATAGGCCATAAGTGTTCCGTACTGGCCATAAGTGTTCATAAGTGTTCCGTACAATCCACAAGTGTTCCATACAGGCCATAAGTGTTCAGTACAGTCCACAAGTGTTCCATGAGGGACCATAAGTGTTCCGTACAGTCCACAAGTGTTCCATGATGGACCATATGTGTTCCGTACATACCATAAGTGTTCCATACAATTCTTAAGTGTTCCATACAGATCATAAGTGTTCCATGAAGACCGTAAGTGTTCTGTACAGGCCACCATTCCCATATAGAGATTCATCAACATCTCCATCAGGTTAGGTTAGGTTAGGTTAGGTTAGGTTAGGTTAGGTTAAAACTCGAAAGTATTAGAAATGAAAGTTATCTATCAGTCCATATAGGAGTAATTACAAACAGTTACCAATAAGTCGTATAGTACAGTGTGGTAACCTAACCTAACCTAACCTAACCTAACCTAACCTGACCTAACTTTTCTAAGTATCAAGTTATAAATACAATAAGAACGCGACATTCTTTTGTTATTGTACGGGGAAAAAAAGTGAAGATCGATTTCCTGCATATCTTTGTTGGTGAAGCAAAATGATGGATAATTTTTATGAGTGTTTATCTGTTAAAGTGCCTACGTTTTGAACTAGGCAATCTAGGGGTTAAAGGTGTGGCACTGTAAGGGTCAATAGTGTGGCACATTATCACCAAAGTCAAGAGAATAGTTGAAACTAAATGACGGGAAGATAAGGTGTACAGACAGACCCTACTAACCTAACCTAACACGGCATTGACCTCATTGTATACACGTTTAATACATCTCTTAACTTAATCTTTGTATAATTATGGTAAATTTGCTTTTTTATAGATGATTAAAACTCACGATTAACTAGTGTATTTTACCCCCTGAATGTATAATGTATTTTGTGTATAGTTGTGTATATAATTTTTCATTCATGGATAGATTTATTGTGAATATATTTTTTCTTTGTAGGTTGTGAGTAGTAAAGTCCTCTTGTTTCTTCTACTCACTGTATTCCCTCTGGTGTTGCGGCTCCTTCAGAATGGTTTCCTCTACCAGCACTTTTGACGATCTCCTGACAGAGTTGGGTACCGGCAAATGGAACTATATTTACTTCTACGCCGCCTCCCTCTGTGAGTCAGTGTCCTCTTGTTGTAGCCACCTACTAGTTCTCTCACCACTTAAGACACATCACACGAGTCATCTCACCCACTTACAGTATCGTGTTTATATTAAACTCCTCAAGACCTGTTCACCTTATATACAGTTCCTCCAATTATACGACGCTTTTGTCTACCTGTGTGTGTGTGTGTGTTTGTTTGTTTGTTTCGTTCTCTCTTTGTTTACCTTTCTAGGATATGTTTTGTTTACCTGTTTATTGTTTACCTACTCACCTATATGTCTACGTTTGTTTGTTTGTCTACCACATTAAGTCTTATGTCTCTCTGTTTGTCTATCTGTTTACCTGTTCTTTCCTATTTATCTACCAACCTATAATTATCTCTTATACTAGTTAACCTCTACCTATTTCATTAAGTATATATACCTGTACTTCCATATACACCTGCTTGCTCGTAGACACACACACACACACACACACACACACACACACACACACACACACACACACCTGTTGGAGTCCTAATTAACTCATTTACATAATCACCTGTGTTATATAACTGTGGGAATGCATAAGTAACACACAGATTATCACAACCTAACCTAACCTAACCTAACCTAACCTAAACCTAACCTAAATCTAACCTTAACCTAACCTAAATCTAACGTAACACCGTGTCTTATTATAGGGTTCTGCATCATCCCACCCCAGGCGCTAAGTGGTACCTTCCTTGCTCCCGCCATTGGCTACAGCTGTCGCCCTCCTTCGCATTATATCAACGCCACCCTTTCAACGTAAGTCCCACTCCAACTAACATTACCACAAGCACTACTTTCCGCCTCAGGTCCACCACATTCACACCCTGTAAGTCATTCTAACAGTGTCGGGTTCTGTAGGTTAAGAAATATGATGTGATTATATATATCTATATATTAAAAAATCCTTAATATTATCTTGTGTTTTTTCTGTGTTTTATCTTTTTATCAGTATTTAGATTAATGTAAACAATGATAAGAGAATGAAATTGTTTCAGTGTGTACGTTTGTGTTCCTCTCCTTCTACAGTGACTCCTGCAGTTATCTGGTCAACACGACGGCGACCAGTTGGGAGGCGGTGAAGGAGAGATTGCAGAAGGAGGAGGAGGAGGAGGAGTGGGTTCCTTGTACTATGTGGGACTTCGATACTTTAGTCTTTTCCTCCACCCTGACCTCTGAGGTACATAACATACATACATACATACATACATACATACATACATACATAGAAAATAGTACACACAATAAAACACACATAAGATTAAAAACCTAACTTAAGATTTCCTGAGTTATCCATCAGATGTAGTTTAGAAGTCGATGTCATTTTTAAAGAGTGATATAGCTAAGCAGTAAGCACATTAAGCAGTAAGCACATTAAGCAGTAAGCACATTAAGCAGTAAGCACATTAAGCAGTAAGCACATTAAGCAGTGACATTAAGCAGTAAGCACATTAAGCAGTAAGCACATTAAGCAGTAAGCACATTAAGCAGTAAGCACATTAAGCAGTAAGCACATTAAGCAGTAAGCACATTAAGCAGTAAGCACATTAAGCAGTAAGCACATTAAACAGTAAGCACATTAAGCAGTAAGCACATTAAGCAGTAAGCACATTAAGCAGTAAGCACATTAAGCAGTAAGCACATTAAGCAGTAAGCACATTAAGCAGAAACTCATCTCACCTGCTGTTCTCCTTCACAGTTCGGTCTGGTGTGCGAGAGACAACACCTGAGAGCCTTCTATCAAAGCATATTCATGATAGGTAACTTCATCAGTCCTATACTGGGTGGATACCTTGCCGACAGGTAGGTCATTGAGTACTTCTATTTACCCTTTTTCGTCTCTCCCTTTCCCTCTATTTTCTTTATGTCTGTGTTTCTCTGTCTGTCTGTCTCTGTCTTTCTGTCTCTTTTCATCTCCCCTCCCTTCTCTTTTCTATCCTTCTTTCCCTGTCTGTGTTTACCTGTCTGTCTCTCTGTCTACTCTATCTCTTCCCGTCTCTCTAAAATAATTAAATGTACTATAATGAAGAGAAAACAAATGTGTATGTTGTTATAATCATTTAATTTCCTCAAGAAAAGAGAGATTCAAATGGTAGTTTACTTGGAGGCGAAAGGAGGCAGTTACGACAGGGTTGGGTTAGGTTGGGTTTGGTTGGGTTAGGTTGGGTTAGGTTGGGTTAGGTTGGGTTTGGTTGGGTTAGGTTGGGTTAGGTTGGGTTCGGTTGGGTTCGGTTGGGTTAGGTTGGGTTCGGTTGGGTTAGGTTGATGATCTATAACACAGGTGGACGTTGGTGTTCTAGGTTCGGCCGTAAGATTGTGTCCGGATCCTTACTTCTGGTGCTGACTACCGTTGGCATAGCGATCTGTTGTTTGAATAACTTCGCTGCTATCCTCGCTTGCCGTTTTATCCTGGGCTGTGTTAACCTTTCCACCTTCTACGTCCTTGGTAAATCATCTTAACTACATCCTCTACAGAACGGATAATATATAAAACAAACCACTAACGCATAAATTATAGTCTTAAATATAATCTTTCCCTAAACAATATAATTTTCCCGACATATTTCTTATACGCATTATTCCTGGGACAATATAATATAAATTTCCTCTAAATAAACATCGATATTTTAGTTATTTTGTCCATTCTTGTGTCGACAGCGATGGAGGTATGCGAAACTAAACACAGATCGATTGTAGGCATTATGTCGGCTCTGCCCTGGGCATTCGGTACCATGGGTTGGGGAGGTGCCGGGTATCTGATCCGTGACTGGCGCTGGTTACAACTAGCCATTACTTTACCTTCCATACTGCTGTACCCTGCCTTATGGTGAGTACCCAATCACTCATTAATGTTAAAGATAACGACAAAATTACAATAAATTATCTTTTTTTTTCATCTCATATGGAAGAAAATAATGAAAAGCGACGAAAATGACAATAAATTCATCTTTTTTCATATCTAAGACCAAATGAACTTAGACAATATAGATATATTTACTATTCCTCAACAAAACACAACTCTAAAACCAACTCACAAACTGGAGAATTTAATATCTTGAGAATAACAAGTTCAATTTAAACATACAAGACAACTTAACAACTCCTATTAGTGAAAGATTTTAAGTCTCATTAAGTTCAAAGACATGTAAGATACTTAACTGATTGTCTGTTTATTTTTTTATCTCCTCGTGTGTGTGTGTGTGTGTGTGTGTGTGTGTGTGTGTGTGCGCAGGTTCATGGACGAGTCGCCGCGGTGGCTGATCGTGAGGGGGCAACATAACCGGGCCATGAAGGTGCTGGAAAAGGCCGCCCGCTGGAACAAGGCCACATTACCTCCCCGGGACCAACTGCTTGCCATGATGAAGGAGATCCAACAGGTAAATTTAGGGTATTGTTTCTCTCTATCTGCCTTATCTCTCTCTCTCTGCCTTATCTCTCTCTCTATCTGCCTTATCTCTCTCTCTCTCTATCTGCCTTATCTCTCTCTCTCTCTCTCTCTGTTTGTCTTTGTCTTCGAGAATATGAAGTTAATAATTACATATAATAACCAAGTGTTGTTGTGGGTGCAGAGTGCTGATTATGGGGAAGGGTTACGACACAGCCACCACCACCTGGGGGTCGAAGAGGAGGGCGGAGAGGTGGGGAAGAAGGAGGGGCAGAAGGGCAGGGAAGTGACGAAGAGAAGGTGTGGTCGACATCTACTGCCACGCCTCTGTAGGTAAGGCCTTTCTCACTCACCTCACACACCCTTATGTACTGACCTCTCACACCATAATGACCTCACATATCCTAATGACCTCACACACCCTACTGACCTCACACACCCTACTGACCTCACACATTCTACTGACCTCACACACCCTACTGACCTCACACACCCTACTGACATTTAAGATGGATTAAAAACACCAATTTGTTACCCTGACAAAATTATTATGTGTTTATAAAATGACATTGGGATGATTCTTTGTTATACAGTGATTCCTCTGTTTAACGGACTATATAGAGATGAAAGTCCGTTATTTAAAGGGGCCGTTTTATACCTTTCATCAACAGTAATCGGCCTATTCGTGTTATCGTCATCATCATGTGTGTGGATTTCTTAGTCGCATCTATGGTGTTCTACGGCTTGAGTCTCAACGGCGCCTCCCTAAGTGCCGATCCATTTCTATACTTGGTGCTGACTGGTCTAATGGAGGTCCCTGCCTATACCCTGACGGTGCCGATCATTGCTCGTTTCGGCAGAAGGATTCCCACCGCTTTAGGTTATTTCGTCAGTGCTATATCGATCCTCACTCTGGCCTTTATTCCTTTAGGTAAGTGGTATTGTTGTTTGACTGTCTCTCTGTCTCTTTATTTTTCTCTCTCTCTCTTTCGTTCCTTTCTCTTTTTTGTCTCTATTAAGTCGTATTGTTTTGTTGTCTCTCTCTCTCTCTCTCTCTCTCTCTCTCTCTCTCTCTCTCTCTCTCCTTTCCTTTGTCAATTTTTTTATCTCCCTAACCTAACCTATACCTGCATTGTTTATATAAAAGATAAACTGTGTGTCTGGATCGACTATATACATACATTAGCTATATACATGCAGTACTTAATGCCTGCGGTATCTCTCTGTCTCTCCATTTATCTATCTATGTATCGTCTCCCCCTTAGAAATATCCTGGTTGGTGATGACACTGGCTATGTTAAGTAAGATGTGTATCACTGCCGCCTACCAGACACTTTATGTTTACGTGACGGAGCTACTGCCTACAGAGGTCCGTATCCAAGGCAGTGGGGCAGTCAAAGTTTCAGCCAGGATAGGGTCTACTGTCTCTCCTTTCATCACTGACTACCTGGTAATGTATATCGACTGTGTGTACCTGTGTTTATCGTATGTTTACTCGATGTGTGTATGTTTATGTATTGTGTATATGTTGTATATCGCGTGTTAATACCTCGTAGTCTCAAAGTTATAACACAGAATTAAGTTGGGGAAGACTGTAGATGTTGGGTCATCAAGGAACTTCTTTGTAGTTGCTTCACTGATTCAACCTCTAATGTGTATACTCGAGTCTTTGTATCGCGTACACCTATAAAACAATACACAATACACTAGTACATGTATCACTAGGTATACACTATTTCCACAGAGTTCGGTAGTTGCTTGGGGACCGGCGCTGGTATTCGGTGGGGCGTCAATGGTAGCTGGCTTGGTGACTTTAACTGTCTCAGAGACCTTAGGCACTCCGCTACCCGACACCTTGGCGGATCTTCTTCCCAAACCCCAAAAAACTAGTGCCCGGTGAGTGCTATTTGTTATGACTGCCAGGAAGGTAATGTTGATGATATTATTATTATTATTATCGTTGTTGTTATTATTATTATTATTATTATTATTATTATTATTATTAACAAATTCTCTCGTCTCCTTCTCAGCGAGTCTGATCTTGAGGGGGACACTAAGGAGATGGTGAGCCTTATGACTTAGCATGTCGCCCTCCAGGTCTTAGTTGAGGACGACCTGTAATAAATGGGAGTTTTAAGTCGAGGTTCAACATGTGGTTTAAGTTCTGTGATAGGGTTTTTTCCGAGAAGGTTCTTTTGTGGGTTTTGAGTGTTGAGTTTTGCATTACGTGTCAATAAATGAATTGGGGTTTAATTTTTTTTTATCTTGCAGGGGTTCAAAGTGTTTTTTTTTAAGTATTTTGTCAGAGATTTAACCCCTATCTCCCCTCTCGCAATTTCAAATCATCAAAAGGTTCAATTGGTCAGTTTGTTAGATGTTCAATGCGCATTTAAAAGGTGCAACACACACATCTGAAGTTCAATTACTCATTCGTGTTCACTCTTCATCAACTATCCAACATTAAGCACTGGTTCAACTTACACCAAAGGTTCAATTTTCATTAATACTTAACATTCAACACTTATGAGAGGTTCAACACACACAGGAAGAGGTTCAACATACACATATGAGTCATTGAACACATCAACAAAGGTACAACGTCTACGGCAAATCTTAATAATTAATTCAGTCAGGTAATAATCTTCCCCCTCCCTTCTCCTCTCTTCCCTTCCCCCCCCCTCTCCTTTAACTCACCTCCCTCCCCGTCTCTCCCATTCCCCTTCCTCTCTCCCCGCCCTTCATCTCCCCCCCACCCTCTCACATATTTTGATCCAACACTACATAGAACTTAACCTCAATAAAGACTTGAATACTCTACAGACACTATTTAAAGGATCGAGTTCGCTTCTCTAATTTTAAGTACAAGTTTAAATTCTCTATATATTGTAAACAATTGTATCTCATGACGTTTTTTATTCCTTCTATGTAATTCTAATCATAAATAAATGTTTCTCGATATATCAAATATTTTATTGTATCTGTAACCGATTTTATTCTCAATGAGTTTACTGGGTAGTATTGCATTCGTTGAGGGATAAGTCTCCTTCTTGATGTAAACATTGGAAGATCAACAGTGAGGGATCCTGATGATAAACTATAAACGACCTAGAGAAACATCATAAGAATGAGAAAAAATAACAAGATGAATGGCTTCAGACTCATTCTACCTGTACAGCTGAACCCTCTAAAAGTTTTGACGAATAAATCATTTTGTTGGTGATCAAGTTAGGAAATAGCGTTCAACTTCCAGTACCGCTCTTCTCCCCTGGTCGGTTAGTGAAAGTTGCGTGGCCTTAAGAACATGAGAACATAAGAAAATAAGGAGTCTGCAATAGGCCGGTTGGCCTGTACATGGCAGCTCCTGTCGAGAGTTACTACCACTCTCTATCATCCATGAATCTATCCAGTCTCCTTTTGAAACTTTCCAGCGTTCCAGCACTTACTACATAGTTGCTAAGCTTGTTCCACCCGTCCACCACCCTATTTGTGAACCAGTTCCTTCCTATCTCCCTCCTGAACCTAAACTTATCCAACTTAAATCCGTTGCTCCGAGTCCTATCCTGCTCGGATATTATAAGAACTTTATCTATATCCCCTTTATTGATTCCTTTCACCCACTTAAATACTTCTATCATATCTCTCCGCACTCTTCGTCTTTCTAGGGAATGCAAGTTTAGTTTCTTTAACCTATCCTGATATGGAAGGTTTCTAAGCCTTGGGCGAGCGTTTGCTGCTTGAGTGAGACAGGCCTAGTACAGTTTGTAATCGAGTCTTGAAGGGTTGGTACTGCTAGCATAGATTTATTTTCTCTCAACTAATATAAGAAAAAAGACAAACATTAATAATTACTTCACTTACGCTACAACAAAAGGTAGAAGAGGAATGTTATATAAATTGAAGTTGGTTTGGTTACTGTGTGTGTGTGTATGAATGACGCGTCGAATTGATGTTGGTAATGGTGAGTTGCTGCCCCTCCGGACCTCCCCCCACACACGCACGCTAAACACTTGACTTTTACACGTGAGGTAGATTTATTTCTTTTACAAATTCTTGATGATAAAAAACAACAATATTCTTCTCATATAAACAATAAAATTATACAATATAGATTAAAGACGTAACACTACATAAAATGACTTATTTAAAAAATGGATAAAGATCGATAATAATATATAGCAAATGGAGCTATTATATGACGGGTGGAGGGTGACGGGGGGAACTGGCCAGCGTCCAACCCCGTCATATGAACACAAGAACATAAGAAAATAAGGAGTCTGCAATAGGCCGGTTGGCCTGTGCAGTGTGCATGGCAGCACCTGTCGAGAGTTACTACCACTCTCTATCATCCATAAATCTATTCAGCCTCCCTTTGAAACTTTCCAGCGTTCCAGCACTTCCTACAAAGTTGCTAAGCTTGTTCCACTCGTCCACCACCCTATTTGTGAACCAGTTTCTTCCTATCTCCCTCCTAAACCTAAACTTATCCAACTTAAATCCGTTGTTCCGAGTCCTATTCTGCTCGGATATTATAAGAACTTTATCTATATCACCTTTATTGATTCCTTTCACCCACTTGAATACTTCAATCATATCTCCCCGCACTCTTCGTCTTCGTCATGTCTGATGAGGTATTACTGGTTAATGACGATGTAACTTGTGTGGGTAAGATATATGTGTGATTTGTGTTCACCTTCACCTCGAGTTTTATGAATAGAAAACAAAAGAAAGGGTTCTCAGTGGGGTACCATAAGGCTCTATCCTGGGGCCCACGTTGTTTGCGCTCTATATAAACGACACGTGAAAATATATCGACACGAAGATATTTGGAAAAGCAGCAAGTCAAGACAATGTAGCAACTATTTAGGCCAGGAAGTGTTGCAACATCTGTTCAAATGGGCTCGAGGTTGACAACTGCTCTTTAACATTACGAAATACAGGACCCTGCACGTGCGATTCAACAACCATAATCACAACTATCTGTTAATAACACTTTCGTGGATACTGTCGATAAGGAGAATGATCTTGGCGATGTGATAAAGCATTCACTGAAGGCAGTGCAAAAAATGGTGGCAGCAGTGTGGAGAACAAAGATTTGGCAATGATAAAGCGCGTGACTATGAATACAAAGATAGGAAAAAGTTCCTTCAACTGCTCATATCTCACGTACACTCAGAGGCTTCTGAGAAAAATTAAGGCTCATGGTATCGAGGGGAAGTTTTAAATTGGATAAAATCATGGCTCACCGATAGAACGCAGAGGGTCAGCGTAGATGGTGTTAAATCGGAGTGGGGCCGTGTAACCAGTGGGGTTCCCCAGGGGCCAGTACTAGGCCCACTCTTGTTCATAATCTACATAAACGATTTAGATACTGGGATCAGCAGTGACATAAGCAAGTTTGCGGATGACACCAAAATAGGGCGGCAAATTAATTCAGGGCAGGATGCAAATGCATTACAGGAGGATCTAAATAAACTGCAGGGGTGGTCTGAAAAATGGCAAATGAAATTCAACACCAGCAAGTGCAGCGTACTTAATATTGGAAGAACAAATACTTATAATGTATACAGCCTTAACAACATCAACCTAGAGAAGTCGACTTGTGAAAGAGACCTAGGGGTACTTGTAAGCCCGGACCTACGGCCTAGAAAGCAGTGCGTTAATGTTCGAAATAGGGCAAACAGAGTATTGGGTTTTATATCTAGAAGTGTAAGTAACAAGAGTGCAGAGGTCTTATTGCAACTATATCTTGCGCTAGTCAGGCCACACCTCGATTATGCGGTTCAGTTCTGGTGCCCCTATTATAGAATGGATATAAATTCACTAGAGTCGGTGCAGCGGAGAATGACAAAAATGATTCCGGGACTTAGAAACCTTCCATATCAGGATAGGTTAAAGAAACTTAACTTGCATTCCCTAGAAAGACGAAGAGTGCGGGGAAATATGATAGAAGTACTTAAGTGGGTGAAAGGAATCAATAAAGGGGATATAGATAAAGTTCTTGTAATATCCGAGCAGGATAGGACTCGGAGCAACGGATTCAAGTTGGATAAGTTTAGGTTTAGGAGGGAGATAGGAAGAAACTGGTTCACAAATAGGGTGGTGGACGGGTGGAACAAGCTTAGCAACTTTGTAGTAAGTGCGGGAACTCTGGAAAGTTTCAAAAGGAGGTTAGATAGATTCATGGATGATAGAGAGTGATAGTAACTCTCGACAGGAGCTGCCATGCACAGGCCAACCGGCCTATTGCAGACTCCTTATTTTCTTATGTTCTTATGTAAAAGGTGCGACACAGAACGACTAAGATGATTGCTGAACTATGTCATCTCGATTACCCAAGTAGATGGCCTTAGGACTAACAGCCCTTCAGACAAGGCACTATACGGAAGATCTCACTGAAATATTGAAAATCCTGAAAGTGATGGAAAACGTGAACCCGGGACATTTCTTTTTAATGTCACGCACCACCAACACGAGAGGACACAACTCCAAGCTCACCAAGTAAACATGGAGAACGAACATAAGTAAATACTTCTTCACACAGAGACTGGTGGACCTATAGAACGGACTTCCAGTTGTGGAATCATGAACAGTACTGGGCTTTAAAAATATCACTTGACAAAATTACCAAGGACAATGGAGGGATCCTACAAAGGCCATTGGCCTCTTTCCCTCGGTATGGTCACCTCTAGTCATTAGGTAAATAAGGTAAATATACTAAACGTGGCGTCCCGTAGTTAACAAAAGCGAGCCACTATTAACAGGTAGTTCATCAGTCAGAATGATACCTGAAATAAAGTTGGAAAAAGAAACCACGAGTAATATACAAAAGTTAAAATTGTGATATAAGAACATAAGAATGTTTGTTATGTGTCCCTCAGAGAGCAAGACTGGGCACAACCAAGGCTTCTCTCCAACTTACACGTCATTTAATCTCCTTAACACGTTAATTTATTCCATTATGGTAACTTTTCATTCGATACCTTTCATAGAACTTTTAAATAATATTAGCGTCTGTGAGTTAGTTCCAAATGGCACGATATCCGATATTAATTTGGGGTTTTTCCATTACTGTAAAATATAAACCCGGCATGACGGTATCTGATAAGCGGTCTGGGAGCTCCTATAGTCTGCCCCTCTCCTCGCTAATAATTACCATGTGTGGTGCCTTTTACACTGTTATATACGCGGTCTAATCCTTTCCCTGGTATGTAAGGTTAGGTTAGGTATAATAATACTTGTATAATTCGCATTTATTTATATAAATTTTTTTGTGATGCCTAGTCTAAACTAACCAATGGGTGATGCCAAGTTATTTAGGGAAATTAAGAACCAAGCAGACTGTGAAGAGCTGCAGAAAGCTCTCTGTGAGCTTCAAGAATGGTCGAAGAAATGGCTGCTGAAATTCAAAGTCACGAAGTGTAAGAGAATGCACCTGGGGCGCACCAACGGTAAGGAGGAGTATCATATGTCCCAACGGGATGAAGAAACTCCACTATTTGAGACTGAGTGTGAGAAGGACCTAGGTGTGTATGTTGACAATGAGCTGAAGTTCTCGGGCCATTGTGAGAAGAAGGTAAATCAGGCAAATATATTACTAGGTCTTATAAGAAGGTCGTTCAGATATCTAGACGGGCGTCCCTCGTAACTATCTTCAAGGGTGAGGTGCTTCCCCATCTGGAGTACTGTCACCCCGTCTGGTCCCCGAGATATACAAGGGACTGTCAGTTGGTTGAAAATTTTCAAAGGAGGGCCACCAGACTGGTGCCAGAACTTCGGCACCGCAGCTATCCTGAGAGATTAGAACATCGGCAATTGCCTAGCTTATACTACAGACGGGCAGGGGGCGACGTAATTGAGGTGTATAAACATCACAAAGGGCACGACTCAGTTGATTGCCCTTACCTGGAGCTGACGGACGCTCGCTCCACAAGGGGTCACAGTTTAAGGTTGAAGAAGCCACAAGCCCAGAAGACTTTGAGGGGTAACTTTTTCGGAGTGAGAGTTGTGAACTCTTGGAACAATTTGCCAGAGAGTGTTGTGACGACACCGAGTGTGAGCTCTTTCAAGACCAGACTTGACCAACACTAGAGCAGGTTCAGGTACATTCAGGAGCCAGTACACCCCCAGTACTTGCCAACAGTGTGTAACAGAGACGTGACCGATCGCCCAAGCGGCTAACGAGCCGATCAGTGGTGAATAGGATAAAAGTAAAGGTAAAAAGTAAAGACAAACTACGTACTGCATGTACAGCGGCCTGAGAGACACCTCGCATGCACATTATTAACAAGGCGAGCGGTCAGGCGGGGGGAACTCCCAGACCGTACACGAAGGCAGAATTGTCATGTCCACCCAGGTGTGAGTGGACACCTAACCTTAACCTTATATTGTGGGGAAATGGAGGCGGTGGAGGGCAGTGTGTGTCTGCACCGGCCGTAACGTACAGTACCACTTGGGTTATGGGGTCCACTTTCTCTTACCACAGTGTTTTTGGGGGGTAATGTTGTCACTTTCTGATAAGAGGTAGCAGTTAATAATGAGGATCCAATTTAAGGAAGGGGATTATTATAGTAGGGGAAAACTTTTGTTTTAAATTCCCATAATGAGGTTCTCGTCTAATATACCATCATGGAGCCTTGATCAACTGTTTGGCTTATCATTTACATTACAATTATACACTTTTAAAGCCTATACAGTATATTAATAAAAGTTGCTATTTTGGTTTATTTTGTTAAGTATAGGACGGCAATAATAGTAATCATAAACCAATAGCAAAAATTACCGAAAAAACAAAACAAAAACAAATGAAGCACAGGAAGTTATAAAACATTCCACCCCGTGAGTTACGCTTCAACACCAGGCGAGTAGCCGTTCAGACCGCGGCAGGATACACGTAAGAGTCGGGCAAAATAAGTCTATTTAGACATAATTTCATGTTCTTTTTCAATTTAGTAGTCGCTTAAATAACTAGAAATGCCCTGCTATAGATGGCACAGTCTTGTTTGATAATAATACTAAAACTTGAAAACCTCAGTGAGTGGTTTCATAGATTCCTTTCTTGTTTAAAATCCATGTATGTAAAACACAGAGTCTGGTCATGAGTTACCTGTGGGCTGTTAGCTGTGCGCAACTACAGTATTGACAATAAACAACTGAAATTTGGTATTGTATGGATAAGCGCATGAACACCAGAAATTTCATGAAGGAGGAATTTAAAGGTCACATGGCGTAGGATTGTATGCGTTTGTTAAATCTAGTTATGTAATGCATAAAGCAAGACTACTGATAAGAGTCGCGATAGGTGTATTCATATCATTCTGATGAGTTATCTACCGTAAGCCTTATTTATATGGGGACTGTTGATAATAAGAGTGTCGTGAAAAACATAGATTTCCTTAATATAACAAGAATTAATGTTTACGTCAACTCTTATAATAATAATAATAATAATAATAATAATAATAATAATAATAATAATAATAATAATAATAATAATAATAATAACATGACAAAATCATTTTACACAATATATATATTTATGGCAGAGTATTTAAAGAAGTTCCATTCTTGGCAACAGGCCCGTCCTTTAGGTGGGGCGAACATGGGCGACCGCCCGGGGCCCTGCGCGAGTGGGGGCCCCGCGGGGCCCAGCACTAGATCCAGTGACGTCGGACACATTACCTGTTGACTGGTTAATCTGACCTGACGGCTTACGCCACCATCGCAACCGTGACCTTACCATCCATAGCGACAGTCCCATGGGGGTTGGTGGGGCCCCGCAGTGGCTGAGTTGCCCCGGCCCCCGCACCCCCCTAGGGACGGCCCTGCTTGGCAATGAAGAAAAAACACATTCCTAAGAATCTGTCAACTTTAAAGCCCATACTCCTGACTGAACTAGATAGCAGAGTACATTTACCCCTAGTCCCCATATCTGCCCACTATAATAAGAGTATTTGTGTTTTAGTACTTAAATTTCGTCAGTAATAACTATTTCTTAGAGTCAATATCCAAATTCTAATGATTGGCTCCCTAGAATATCACTACATCTTTGTTACTTAATTGATTGTGTGGTAGTCTATGTTAAAGAGGTCGTAGGGTCGTAGGGAATAGGGTAGATACCAACATGTAATTTTATGCAATTTTATATCCGTCTTGCCATACAATGAGGAACTAGTAACTAAAATATTGACGACTATACACAACTATATCCCATTTTTAATGTCAAGTTAGATTAATTAAGTGTATATATATAATAGTGGATTGGTAAATAGGTAGAATAATGGCAACATCGTCCAGCTGAGTGCCTGTGGGGAGGGAAGGGGAGGGTTTGGTGGCCACTTCCTACCGCAGGGGTGACGGCCACGATAACTATATATTACAACACAGATTATTATTATTCAACCTTCAATCAGATAACAATAATATAATAATCTAATTTAGTGAATACCTGATGTCAACTTGGCTACAGTCAATACATTTCGTTGTGAATTGTGCTGGTAAACAGGTTGCCAGAATTCTATCACCAGCAAGTAATACTCTATTTACAAAACCGATTACAGTAAATATTTATAAGTAAATACATCATTTGAGTTTCTTCTCTTTCATTATTATTACAAAATATAAGCAAAACTTACATACGACACACGTTACAAAGTACGTTAGTCTTTGATATTGATAAGAAACACACTTCCAGACAACCGTTCCCGTACGCCCGTGTTGTTGTCACTTGGTCGTCTGGGAGAGAAGTGTTGGGACGCGTTGGTCAAAACTTCATCAAAATGGGTAAAATTGAATGTAAGTACCACAATTATATTCATATTTTATTAGTTATATTATGTATGATATTGGATAGTTTCATTTGGGTGATTTATAATAACATTGAAGTTATTTCCATCGTGAAAATTGGTAAAATATGACCGGCATTTTTTGTGTTGGAGATGTGTTTGTTGTCAAGGTAACAGCATCAGGTAATCTTAATTAAATAACCCTAAAACCATTCGACTATTAAGTGAAAGACGAAATGGAAGGGTAATATCAGAATCTCGGGGACTTATTCTATGCTTTGTCTGGCTATATAATATTACGTACGTGTTTGTATAAGACTTTAGGAAATATCTGAGCCTGAGGTGTGACATCATTATTCCCCCCTTGTTAATGGAGGACACACCTTGTTAATATTCACCCTTCCTTCTCCCTGCTGTGATTGGGTGTTTCTTTAGGTGTTATGTAATATTTTATTTGTGATGGTGGACTGGTAAAATATGGTTGTGTTCAGTTTGATTGGGAATAAATCTCATGTACGAGTAAAGAGTTTAAAAAGACAATGGTTAAAAACATATTTGATGTTTTTAATCATAGTCAGTTATGAGATGTCCACGAAAACTATTTATTTTTTAATAATTGTGGATTTGGACAACAAGAATCATGGTTTAATTGGTTCGTCTTGGATAACAGATCAAGTGAAAAAATTGATGTTGGACCAATGTGATGAATGGCCAGATAAGTTTTAGAAAGGGAAAAAAAAGGAAAAATCCCCCCCCCCCCCAAAAAATGCATTTCCTACACCTGATTTGCTGCATATTTGAGGTAAAAAATTTGTTGGTTTCCTTTCAAAATAGGTGGTTTACGTGCACCTGTGTCATTAAGTCCTACCAAAACATCTTGTCTACCACTTCCTATTAATTGTACGCTTTCCCAGACTTTGAAGTATCTTTGGTACTATATATATATCAGCCTTGTATGTCTGTTCACAGGTGAGTCACCTTAAGTAATGGCCTCCACCCAAGTGTTTGCATCATATTTATGCTGCTTGTCACCACATCCTTCAACCAGTGGATCAGGGAGTGATGGCAACATTTGTAATGTATTATTTATGATGGACGTTATCTCAATAAGCTCTACAGATTATGGTTTGATCACACCACAGTGACTGAGCAAAGTCTGGGGACAAACTCTGTGGACCTTGTGTAAGGTTTATAGTGTACTGTACAGTATATGATTAGATGGGGATGACGACAACTTCACCACCATTGTCTGATAAGATATATTGTAGGGTGCCAAGAGTCATTTGAACTCATTTCACGTATTGGTTTCAAACCTTGGATTAAAAAAAAAGTAATTGAGATGCTAGTAAATCATTTGTGAATTTCATTAGTCAAGATAAAACAAGCTTGCCGCAGGTTGTAGTCCATAGCTAACTCTTGTGTTTAATTTCACATCTTGCTGAAGACCAAGATTGTCTTATTGGTCTTTGTGTTTGTTAAGATCTAATTTTTGAGGAGAGGAAAAAATGTATGGGTAAGTGTGACTAAATAGGTCATGCAATAAACATATACTGCTACACGTACTGTACAGTATTCCTATAATGTTACACAGCGTCCTTGACGATTTAAAGGAAGAACTTTGCCTTGTCTGCCAGCACGGTGAACGTACGACTGACAGCCTTTTTCCAGGAATGGGATTTTTGACCCTACAAGTTATTGTTTCATGCTCCCTCGGCCTTGGAATTGAGAGGCAATAGGTATGGGAAGATGATGGTTTTAGCCGGGGTGGCTCTTACGAAGTTACAGTCCGCTAGCCTCATATATTAACAAAAAGATATACTGCACATCACAATAAAACACAGGTTATGTACAGTATTCTTGAGATTGACAACTCTTAACACATTTTGAACTATCTTTAACTTATAACAGGAATATATAGTACCCTGGTAACACAAAACATCTGGTGTATATGTGCAACTTTGTGATGTATTAACTAAAATAATCACATTTCAGCCAGCGTCTACTTTCATCAACATTCCTCTCTTCACCAAGATGATGAAACTTCTTGATTGCCTTAGCACAGATATAATAGGACCTGTAACTAACTGTACATAATTTAGGTTTCACTTAAATAGCTAACTGCTTTGTTTACATATGGTACTTGATAATACTCATAGAAACATCATGTTTCTCTGGCTGACTCCCCTTTATCAAACTTAAATGATTATTGCAAACTTTATTTTATTATACCAGATGATGTACCCTTCTTCTTTTGTGGGTAGCACGTGTTAGGTCATATGTGAAATGGATGTGATGTTTACTAGTGTGTGTCTAGTTTTATCTATAGAAGACTCCTTTTGCATTAAGTCATCCTTATATTTCGATGACTTGCAGGCGGCCCAGTGGTGGAGGTGCTTGGGGATGAGATGACCCGCATCATCTGGGACATCATCAAGCAGAAACTCATCTTGCCCTTCCTTAATGTGGAGCTCCACACGTATGATTTAGGAATCGAGAACCGTGATGCCACAAGCGACCAAGTCACCATCGACTGTGCTAAGGCCATCAAGAAACACAGCGTAGGCATCAAGTGTGCTACAATCACACCCGATGAGAAGAGGGTAGAAGGTAAGACTTTTTCCCTAATTGTTGAAGAGATTTACACTGCTGATAATGTTCTGGGAAGAATTATTTAGTTTTAATGACAGCTGTTCATGCATGTACTTGCCCTGTAATTGCTTCACATTAAATAGAAGAATGAGGACATAACCTATTCTAACCTTAGAATTTTAGATGATGAAACTAATCTACAAATAAGTACTGTTATTCTATGCGAGTATATTACCTTTACGCAGCTCATTTTGACATTTTCTTCCAGAATTCAATTTAAAGAAGATGTGGAAGTCCCCTAATGGCACCATACGTAACATTCTGGGTGGCACTGTGTTCAGGGAAGCTATTATTTGTCAGAATATTCCTCGTCTTGTTCCCGGATGGCAAAAACCAATTGTGATTGGTCGTCATGCACATGCTGACCAGGTAAATAAATTAGATTCCAATATTTTGTGTATAATACAGCTCGACCTGAAGAACAAAGTCACGTAGTTCAGTTTTGTATGTTCTGTTTTTGTATTTATTCGTCCAATGGGTAACCTTCTACTTTATATTTTATTTCTCCTGAACTAGGGAGACAGGCATGCAACAAAAGAGTCTGGCACACCAAACAAGTTTTCCAAATCAACCTGCTTTGAATATCATGTGTTTGGATGGTTCATGTTTAGCATCATTTTGGCAGTTTATAATTATTCTTTTGTCTTAGAGGGGGATACAGTATGTTGGCTTTCTTCTGTCTATGCTAGCTAACACAGTACCTTAAGATTGTGTGATTGTTTAGGGACTAAATTTGTGCCACCATTACTTTATACAAAAATCTGTGCTATATTAAGAAATACTAACACGATATATATCTGAAAGTTGAGTGAATATGTATTGACTTTATACCTGCTGTTAAGATGACAGGGAATATCAATTGTTTAAAGCTAAATTTACACTTCCACAGTACAAAGCAGTTGACTTTGTGGTCCCAGGGCCTGGTAAGCTAGAGATCAGTTGGACACCCTCCAATGGTGGTAATGCCATTCGGGAAGTCATCCAAGACTTCCAAGGTGCTGGGGTTGCTCTGGGAATGTTCAATACTGATGAGTCTATCAGGTATGTGGATTGGGCTGCCAGATGAACATATAGTAAGGTCTAACTTCTGATCTGTGGCATCAATGGTCTGTAAGATAACCATCAATCCAAATTTAAATCTAGATTGTATTGATTAGATGTAACCCTGCTGCCAAGTGTTTCAGTATACAGTACAATACAGTGTTCTAAGATGGGGACATGCTTTTATTTAGGGTTTTTTAGTGATGGTGTCTTGGAGATCAATCATTTCATCACTTCAGCCATAAATAGGGACTCCATGTTTGATTCCTTCATTTTCTTATGAGTTTTCTGGCTGTTTTTTTAATATCGTCATATTTTATACTGTACTGTACTATGTGAGGTTGCATAGTAAACATTAATTGAAAGTGATTTAATTTAGGCAAGATATATTTTTAAGAAAGATTTCACAATACTATTTATGGAGAGGAAGGACTTGTCTGTAATCTTTGACAAAACTTATGACTGTGATTATTAATTGCAGAGCATTTGCTCATGCGTCTATGGTTTATGCTCTGGACCGCAAGTTGCCACTCTACATGTCGACTAAGAACACAATCCTTAAGAAATACGATGGACGCTTCAAGGATATTTTCCAGGAGATCTATGACAGGTAACTATCCTTGATCAGTAATATGAGGAGTTGACAAAGAATGAACTAAGATATAAAAATTTAATATAAGATGTTTTTATGAACTTTGTACATGAGTAAGACAGATGCTTGACAAAATGTAAAGCAATTGGGATGTACTAGTATGAATATTGGCTCACTAATAAGTACTCTACACTTGTCATAGTGCCTTATCATCTTTATATTCATATTTGCCATTAATGATATATCGTTATACTTCAGTGAATACAAGTCAAAGTATGAAGGTGCAGGAATCTGGTACGAACACAGACTCATTGATGATATGGTTGCACAAGCCATGAAGAGTGAAGGTGGCTTTGTGTGGGCCTGCAAGAATTATGACGGTGATGTTCAGTCTGACTCCGTGGCTCAAGGCTTTGGTAAGGTTTCATCGATGTCTGTCTTTTTTGTATCCTCGGCCATGACCCAGAATGGCGACTGTTAATTTGGAAAACCTTTAATATGAAGTTGATGTATAAATGAGATGATGATTTCTGAAAGTGTGTGACATAGGTGAGGAATTACAGTATAACACAGTGGAAATACAACCCCACAAAGCAGTATTAATGAACTGAGGATGGCATCTTGTTGGTTAGGCAGTTTGCATTATGGAAAATGGGGATAAATGCCAACAGATGTCAAAAGGTAATTTTTCAGTAACATGAAACACATAAATATACATTGATATTGATTAATATCTGTACAGGAGATCCCCGACTTACGAATGCTCACTGATATGAACGGGGTTAAACTTGAAATTTACAGTACTGTATTTTATTTACCTGATAACTTATTTTTTTACTTTCATTTACTATATTTTGTCATTCTATTTCTTCTTTTGTCTTAGATAAATTGATTTTTAGATGTATATGTGGACTTAGGCTATGATACAGTGGGATTTTAAACATTGTTTTGTAATTACAGTATGCATCTGGCATATGTTCTGACTTATTTTTAGATTCGACTTAAGAACATCCTCAGGAATGGAACCCTTTCATAACCCGGGGACCCTGTGTATTAGCATACAGGTGTGGGTGCATTAATCAGGTGATATATTTCATAATTCCATTTTTATTGCCTCTCTTAGGTTATTCGTAAAATGTTTGACAAGAGGTCCTTAGATATGACTTGATGTGTAAAAACTTCAACACATGTGAAGAGGGCTAGAAGAGTATTGAAGGTGCACCAGGTTTATGAAAGAGCCAGAGTTAACCCCTTGTGCACAGGTTCTCCTCTGAGTTGAATAAAATCGACTGGTGTTGGCCAAAGAAAATGTTAAGAGCAATTTTCTTGTAGTGAAGGGGTTAAAGACACTGATTGTATAGAAGTAGTAAACTTAATTGAAATGAATTATAAACATGCTTCTATTATCCTGTAGGTTCTTTGGGCATGATGACTTCTGTCCTGATTTGTCCTGATGGTAAGACAATAGAGTCCGAGGCAGCTCACGGCACAGTCACTCGTCACTACCGTCAGCACCAGCAGGGCAATGAGACGTCCACTAATCCAATCGGTAAGTTAATGGGAATTATAAGAATGTCATCACCCTGATTGCTATAGTATTACTTCTAATGCAAGTCCCAATATGTAAGGGGATGTTAGTAGTGGTAATGAAGTCCAATTTTATGTACAAATGTGTGTGTGAAAGCCTGGCGCACATTCAACCAATTTTGCTGAACTGGTGAAGCTTGGAATTCCTTGTTTGAATAGTGACAAAGTAAGCTTTTCCTTGGTAGTAGATGTTCAGAGTATATTATCTATGTATCTGAAGATTATATGGTACTCTAGTTGATTCAAGAGATATCATATGGCATATTATTGACGTTAATAGTGCAATGAGAGGACACCTTAAAAGTACAGTGTATGTATAGTACTGTACTACTGTTTAACTACCCTTAATTGTATGATTCATTATATACAGTGTTTTAAAAATAGAATCCTTAATGTTTTGCATGACTCTGTACTCCTGAAAAATAAATTATTCTAATCCTGTACACTTTTTGTTGATTTAATATCTCTTCCTTAACAGCTTCTATCTTTGCCTGGACTCGTGGCTTGGCCCATCGTGCTAAGCTGGACAACAACGAAGCCTTAGCCAAGTTTGCCGTTTCGCTCGAGGAAATATGTGTGGAGACTATTGAATCAGGTTCCATGACGAAAGATTTGGCTATCTGCATCAAGGGCTTGGCAAAGTAAGTTGCTACTCTATTATTATTTTTGCTCGTAATCCATTTCATATGTGTACTTAGACTGTAAAACTTGTAATTGTTTCCCTCTCAACAAAGTTAGGCATATACAGTATAGAAATTAGTTTCTATTTAGTGCATAACTTTAAGAAAAAAAAAATCAAGTGCTGTATCTCAGTAAAAGTTTGTATATTGTACATAATGGTAGAGAGGTACAGTTGTGGTTAAAAGGAATTTTTCAGGCAGGGAGGAAGGGCAGAGGGTAGGGGGACACTTGGTAATGTTACATAGAGGTGGCGACGTTTGGGATCTTCTTTTCACGCAAGATATCGAGAATAACAAAACGTGTGATGCCTATGATCGAGTGATATCATACAGTTCCACAGTAATTGCAGGACGTCTATTATTTCACCTTCAAGTGGAGTAACTAAGAATTACAACTGAATGTTATGTTTCGTAGGGAGTGACTTGTGTGTTCTTTCTCTCATTACAGTGTAACTCGCAGTGACTATCTCAGCACCTTCGAGTTTATGGACAAGCTTGCCGAGAATTTGCAAAAAAAGTTGTCTGCATGACTTGGCTCTCCAGATAAACAGTTTTCCCAGTCAACATCTAAACTATAGCACAACATTCCCATAGGTTACCTTGTCTTAGAGATAGTTTTATTTTGATTGTTTTAATAATGAATTTGGGTAATTTAATATTAAGTCTTCATATATATTATTTTAAATCACTTCTGAATTGTATGAATTTATTCATTAAGTTTTTAATTATCCATGAAATATTTTTAATTTAATGTAAAGTAATCAAGTTTTATGGTGCTTCCGAAATAAGGGTATTACTAAATGTGAACTTCCAGATTTTTGTATATCTTAACTGTTTTTTTTATTTATTATACGTACTAGACTTTTTTTTTAACATTGTAGCTGCATATGTTATGCACAAGTTTGGTGAAGCATTTAAGTTTTTACATTATTGATGAAGTAGTGTGTGAACCTCGGCACAATCGGGTTTTTGTAGTGCTACCAGATCCAGGAAGTTTTGTAATACTTGAACAGCATTTCTTGGGACCAGACAATACAAAAGGAAGAAAATATTTTTCTCTTATTTATTATCCTGTGTTTATGTATCATTCCATAAGATTTTCACTTTTTTCATGATTTTGAATTAAAAGAATAGATGTCATACCACAAATAGATTTTTTATTTACTTCACAAAAAAACTCCCATTTACTTAGTGTTTAAAATGGTCAGTAGTTTTAGTTGGTTATCTTGACAACTGTAGTATAATAAAACAAAAGCAGGGCAAATACTTCATCATCATCACCAACAATGTTTTATTGCCATGTTCCACTATTGTGTGGGTCAGCCGTATTTACCAGATGCTGCGTGGTCTCTTGTAGTCTTGTGTCAGGTTTTTAACTTTAATTTAATTTTTTACAACATCTCCCTTATGTTACTCTTGGCCTGCTGTTGGCTCTCCTCCTCTCCAAGTTTAAGCTCATGCACCTCTTGACCCAATTGGGCTCACTTATTCTACCCATATGCCCAAACTATCTCTGCCTGCCTTTATTCAGAACTTTGCCAATGCTCTCAATATCTAAACTGCCCTCTTAGATTTCAATAGGCCCTCTGACTTTCAGTATCACATTGCACATCCCCCTAACCATTCCCAATTCAGCTAGTTCAAGCCTGTTGATCTGATCTTTAACTGCTCATGATTCACTGACACATCACACACACTTCTCATGTCAGCTGCTTACATCCTTCCTTGGCCAAGTCAAACCCTAAGACTTTCAATCATTAACTCAAAATCGAAATTAGACACATGTGTGTATCAGATGGAGGCTTTAAATAATTAGTTTTCCAAGTGATCATAATAGAGAACACGAACAACCTCCCTGTGTTTGAGGGAAAAAATGGTTTGACACCACTAATGCACATGGAGTTATCAGTGAAGTAATTAGAACCCTGGCCCTGATAATGTGCATACCAGAGTATTTAGAGAGCTGTGCTACGAGCTTACTGAGCCCCTTAAAATCCTGTTCTGCAGATGTATGGATGAGCAAGAGGTCCTCAGTGACTGGAAAATGGTGTATGTAAGTCCCATATTAAAACAGGATAACTGCTACTGCATGAACAATGATATGTTGTGATGGAAACTCTACAAAAAATAATCTTGCAAAGGAACTGCAACATAGTTTTAAGGCTGGACACTTCTACTTGATGCAATCCTGGAGTGGTGAAAATATTGACACTATACCTAGACGTTGCCAAGTCTTTTGTTTACCTCATGAAAGGCTGAATATTAAAATAGAAGGGTACGAAATTCATCCTAACATGGATAAGAGAATTTGTTTATGGTCACAAGCAGTGTATAGTGATTAATGGAACAAAATTGTCACGTGCACCTTTGACAGGCAGGGACTGTTGTTGCTTGTGTGTGTTTCAGAATGATATGCCAGATTCTATACACTTCTCCATACAAGTGTTTGCAGATGAGGCTAAGTTACTCAGGGAAATTAAGAACCAAACGGATCGTGAAGCATTACTGGAATATCTCTGCTGGCTTTTGGAGTGATCAAAAGAATGGCTGTTAAGATTCAATGTCATGAAATGCAAAAGGATGCACCTAGGTCGTACCAACAGTAATGAAGTGTATCACGTGTTCTAATCTGATGAAGAAACAGCATTAACTGAAGCTCTTGGACCAACATGTAAAAGAGGGTAAATCAAGTAAATAAGCAAATGGGTTTTATTAGAAGGACATTCACTTACTGCACCTAGACAATCTGTCCCTTGTAATGCTCTTCAAAGTGAGGTGTTTCCCTGTTTGGAGTAATATCACCCTGTTTAATCCTTAATATATGCTACAGACTTTTGATTAAGACTTTTTTTTTTTTTACGGGGATAAGCCCACCCGGGCACAGGTTACTGACCCACATGAGGGCCTGGGGGGCGAAAATATTATTATTATTATTATAATTATAATAATAATAATAATAATAACTATTATTATTATAATAATAATTAATAAATATTAATAACAAAATACTAAAAAAAAATATTAAACATAATCATAAACATAAATAAATACAAAATCGAAAAAAATAAATCAAGAATGAGAAATGATAAACATTATGCATGTTGTATTGTCAAAGTAAGAGCAACAATTGAGACCCTGCAATTGTGTGTAAATGAAGCAGAAAGTCAGATGAGCAACCTGGGACTTGGTCGTCACAATTTTCGTGATGCCATATGGCAGCAGGGTCTACCATTAGACAACACATTATGCTTCCAATATCTTTCCGGGCGGAAGTACCTCCCTGTTTGATAGCTGCCTACTATCTACCACCTGCCCAAAGGAGGGTCACAGCCCGCCAGACTGGTTCCTACACTCTGGCACCTCAAGTACCCATAATTTGTAGCTAAAGACACTGCACGGTACAGTACTTGTCTACACGTAATTTCAACCGTTTGTCCTTAGTTTAAATTTTGCTTTAGATAATGTAAGTCCTGTTATACCATAAAGAAATAACATTCAGGCAAACTAGAGTATTATAGAGAGACTGGGAGTGACAGTAAAAATACAACAGAGGATGCAAACATTTATTGATGCAGGACATTGTACGGGTGTACTATAACAAGACTTGTAAAGAGTGCAACAGGCCCAGCCCGCTGCCTCTATAATGCCTGGCACAGGTTAGCAAGTGCTCAGCAATCTATACACTTGCTCATTGTGCAGGCTCGCTCCCTGCACAGCAGAGAAGCGGTGCTTAAATACTCAGGCAAAATATATATATCTCACCAGTAAACCCTTGTGGTGTGTTGTTTTGCATAAACAAGCTTTGAGCACTAGACGTGTAGAGAGTGTAATGCTGGAAGGTTACAAGAACTATAATTGTAAAGCAGCACGTGGGGAAGCAGTCAGGAAGCAGAAATGATGTGCAAGAGAAAACTACAAGATAACGCACAAAAAATACATTTAGATCATAAAAATAATGAATGCATGGATAACACTTTAGAACCTCTGGTGACAAACAACAGTAACACAGGAAACAGAAGCTACACTATTGGAAGTTTCCGGTCGGCTCGGGGATCTTGCCGAAATCGGCGTTGGAGATGTCGTAGAGGGACTCAGCCTGGTCACAGGGGAAGGCTTCCTCGGGGTGGGCGCAGGTGAGGGACTCCTGGCTGAAGATGGTCTGGTTACCGCAGTAGAAGGAGAAATGATCTTGTCGAAGAACCTGAAGTTATTAAAGGTCTCAGTTTCCTTTCTCTTTAGGCATGACTGCTCATTAGGGACAGTTTAAATACAATGCAATGTATACGAAGCTTTCGGTACACAAGGAGGCAGCGTGGCCGGTACTGCACTCAATCCCTTCTCCCCAGCTGTAAAATTATACTTACAGCTGGGGTTGCTCAGGGATTTAGCCAGCGACCTTTGTGACAGGCTGTACGCACTTTTAACCGTACGTATATACAGTAAATACAAATACTGTATAGCGAATACTGGTTAGTTAGATTAAGAGATTTCGTGTCAGAGAAGAGAGTAAAGATGTCATAAATTATTAGATATCAGAGTATATTTACCCATTGTATTACGGCAAGTAAACGCACGATATCTTGAGTCTTATCAGTTACTTCCCTCATAAAACACCCAGACCTTGTCAAGACTCACCTCTCCAGTAAATTCGTCAACTTCAGGGTGACAGATATGGAAGATCCTGCAATCGTTGGCCACGTCGGCATAGTAGCCATAGGGGCGGTTGTCGCACGAGAACGCTGTGTTGGGGTTACCGCCCAGGATCTTAAGGAAGCCGTCAGATAATTGGTAGGCCATGCGGGCAGCAGCGACGGAGACAAGAGCGAGGAGGATGACAACCTTCATACTGGCGGCAGGAAACAGGGAGGTAGGGGTCGTGAGGGTCCTGAGGAAGAGTGTGAATGACTGAACACCAAACATAATGGAATCAGTGAGGAAACTCGGGGAAGCCTTGAGGGGTTACGGTTGGTATGTGAAGTAAGTAAGGCTTCAGTGTTCAGGCGGCGAATGTAAATGACAGAAAGCTTTATGAACATGAAGAAAAACGTGAGCATTGTAAAAAAAACAAACATATATATTTGCTATGCATATTATGAAATGAAAACTTTGCCTTTAATTAATAAATATGTAATGAATGTGTCGGAAATATTAAAATTAACAAAAAGGAATATATGATGATATGATGAGGAAGGTGGAGAGAAAAAGGATAAGTTGTTGCACCAGTACAACGGGAACACTCTTGGGCTGCCCAGGTCATCAGGTCAAGTCTTCGTCTCATAGGTCTTGTGGCCTTTGACTTGGTTATGGACAGTGACACTTTCCTTTGGTGGGAGGCAGCCCGGGGTCTGGGTTGTCCCTCGCAGTTACTGTCGTCATTTCGGGATTCCTGCATGTGAATGAAGTCGGTTTTTGTGGATTTGCATTACTGGTGTTAGAAATTTATGCATAGAGTTACAGTAAATATTTCCAAATCTTTTTATACTCCGAAAATTTATTGTTTTATAGTTATGCAGTCTTGTAAAAATCAGTCACTTGATGTCAACAACGTCGTATGACTATATAACAAACTAGTTTTCTAAGCTTGACAGAAGTCGAAGTCAAGTCATGATGCACTGGATGGAGACTTGGTTGACTGTCCGTAAGTGTACAGCAGGTAAACAAAGTCGGTGCCTCAGGTCTTGAACAGTCTCCAAGTAGGTACTGAGCCTCATCCTGAGCGTGCCCCCTGCTCAGGGAACCACCAGCTTACTTGATCACTTGTGGACGAGCTGCTTGATAACGGCAAAGTTGTGACGGTGAGCAGCCACGCCAGCCATTATATACCGGAACATCCGACATGCCACGCCCCGACTTCTGACGTCACACACAGACAGGGCATCCAGTGGAGGGCCAAGTGCCGTCCTCTCTCTCTCTCTCCCCCCCCACCCTAGCTTCACATTGGGGTCCCTCGCCGCTCTTCTCATCCTGGAGGAGGAGATCCCTGCAGGCCAGATCCCACCAATCCATCATAAACCCACTAATTTGCATCACAACCAGCATGACTTCACCTCATTAGTATACACAGACGGAAGAGCGAGTGCTATACCTCCCTGCCCTCCGTCTTTCTTTCCCTTCTCCCTCCCCCACGATCCCTTGCCCATTCTCCTCCCGCCCTTCCCCTTTTCACCCCCCTAACTCCCCCTTAGGGAAAGTACCGAGGGAGGGGGCGGGGGGATGGGATTACAGGGAGGAACAAGTGGTGACCGTCTGGCCTCGGGTCACGTTGGGTCACGCGGGTACCTTACGGCTACACCCTCAACATCTACCACTCTCCTAACTCGTCCTGGAGGAAGGGAAAGGATGGCTAGAGAAGAGAGAGGAGGGTAGAACAAGGTGGTGGAGAGTAAAAAAGAAAGGAAAGAAGGAGAAAGTTTTGTCCTACCATTAAAACCCATTGATGTAAATCGACGAATATCTTTCATGCACATATATCGTCTACCAAACCTAGCTCTCTCTATAACTCACTACGAGGGATTAACACTAAAATAAATAAAACAAATTAAATATAACTCTTTTCCACAGATGGGAGACTGAAACGAAACACAATCTTAGCGACTGTTATTGTCGTCTGATATGGAGGAAGTCTTTAAATCAGTGTTTGACTTTTAAGACTTCTGAAACAATGTAAATAATCCTGGTTCTTTGTTGATCAGCCTAGCAGGAGAATAAGAATGTGGATTAGACAGCAGACAACAAACAAGTAGGTGGGTAGGTAGGTAGGTTACGGAATGAGTCTCCGAACTTACTTACTCCCACAATCCTCACGCCACCACGTTCTCACACCCCGATACCCCAACCTCCCACACCCCCACACCCAAACCTCCCACGCCCACACTCCCTCTAGTTACACAATCCACCGACTTCATCCTCTTAACTTGGTAATTCTAATCTCAAAGGGTCATTCATCTTAGGACAGAAAGGTGATCAATTTTACATGAAGCACCGAGGCCTTGTGTTCTCCCTTCCCTGCTTCTGACAGCAGGGAGGCAGGGAGAGAGGGAGGCAGGGAGGAAGGGTGGAAAGAAGGCGGGGAGGCAAGGAAGCAGGGAGATAGGTAAGTAGGGATTCAGGAAGGGAGAAAGACAGGGAGGGAGGGAGGGAGAAGTGAGACAGAGGGGCAGGGAGAGAGGAAGGCAGGGAGACATGGGGACAAATGGAGGCAGAGAGGAAAGAAAGGTAGGGAGGCAAACAGGGAGATAGGGAGGGAGGCAAGCAGGAAAACAGGGAGGTACAGAGGCAGGGAGAGATGAAAGTAGGGAAGCAAACAGGGAGATAAAAAAACAGGCAAGCACAGAGAGAGAGAAGGGTTGTAGGGAGAAAGACAAGGCGACAGGGAGAAAGGGAGGACGTCAAACAGGGAGAAGCGTGGTTAGTGTCCTTAGGTGAAAGTAAACACGAAGACATTTACGTTTAAAATGGCAATCTTTAAGAGGGTGCTTGTTGTATGAGTGTGGTGCTTGTTGTATGAGTATGGTGCTTGTTGTATGAGTATGGTGCTTGTTGTATGAGTATGGTGCTTGTTGTATGACTGTAGTGCTTGTAGTAAAGCATCTCAGAAAAGAAGTGGCAGACGGCAGCATCGAACGTATTGTGATTCTCTTGGTGGCAGAGTGGAGGAACCCTGATGACCACCATGTTGTCATCTCCACCAACTCCCTGCTTGACCCATTCACTGTTGTCCCACACACACACAGAGGTCAAGTCAGGTCACGGGAACTTAAACTTAGGCAACTCTTCATCGTGGGAATTAACCACCCAAGACAAAACATAATCTAATTATATTCTCGTTTCTTCAGTTTTGTATTTTCGGATATTGATTGTGGACCTAACCTGTGAGAGAGAGAGAGAGAGAGAGAGAGAGAGAGAGAGAAAAAATAAATGAAGAAAATGCCACAAAGAAAAGTGCAGAAAGTGAAAGGAAAACCCAAAAGACATCAGATACAAACATTCACAATTAATTTATTCATATTTCCAATTTACATACTCGTACTCAGGGAGAATACCAATTACGTACTATTATATAACGTTTCATAATAATACAACTAAGGATATTAAATCAAGTCGACAAAAAAAAAATACCCTCCATTTATCGCAGTCACGTACAACACGCCTCATTATTTCATTTCTTGACCAATTTATCACGAGCAGTCTCAGGTTAAGTCATTATTTCACCTGTATAGTTAATGTGTATTTTGGTATTATAATTGATTCGGTAATTTAGTGAATTATTGGAGTTTAGGTTACTGCTGTCTGGGTTGGGTTGGGTTGGGTTAGGCTGGGCTGGGTTGGGTTGTGGAGTTGGGTTGGGCTGGGTTGGGTTGGGTTGGGTTTGGGTTGGGTTGGAGTTGTTGTTGGAGTTGGTTAGGTTGGGTTGGGCTGTCGTTAAGTTTTCGTTTCTTACTCAGTTTAGTCGTTGAATTCTAGTAATATTTCTTAATAAATTCTTTTCTGTGTTCTAAAACGACTGGTGATGTTAAGGTAAGTATGTAAGTAGAGAACCAGATCCATAAGGTATACATTTACACATACATACATACATACATACATACATACATACATACATACATACATACATACATACATACATACACTCACATACATAAAACAAACACACACATACCTAGCAAGCAAGTCTCACTAAACCCTAGCTGAAGAGAGAGGTGAAGTAAGAGGGAGAGGTGAAGTGAGAGGGAAAGGTGAAGTGAGAGAGAGAGGTGAAGTAAGAGAGAGGTGAAGTAAGAGGGAGAGGTGAAGTGAGAGGGAAAGGTGAAGTGAGAGAGAGAGGTGAAGTAAGAGAGAGGTGAAGTGAAAGGGAGAGGTGAAGTGAGAGGGAGAGGTGAAGTGAGAGAGAGGTGAAGTAAGAAGAGAGAGGTGAAGTAAGAGAAGTGAGAAGAAGTGAGAAGTGAGAGGTGAAGGAGAGTGGAAGAAGAGAGAGAGGTGAAGTAAGAGAGAGAGGTGAAGTAAGAGAGAGGTGAAGTGAGAGAGAGGTGAAGTGAGAGGGAGGTGGTGAGAGTGAGAGGTGAAGTGAGAGTGAAGTAGATGAAGTGAGGAGAGAGGTGAAGTAAGAGGTGAATAAGAGATGAAGTGAAAGGGAGAGGCAAAGAGGGAAGAGGATAATAATATGTAAGAGGGCAAACAGAAAGAGAGGTCAGGATAAGGCCAAAGAGGAGGAAGAGGGGGGAGGAGGAGGAAAGGGGGCGGGAGGAGGAGGAAAGGAGGGGGAGGGGAGTTAATAGGAAGCGAGGAGAAGCTTGGTGAAGCCTAATGGAAGCCAGAATAAAGTTAAAATGAAGCCAAAAGTAAAGTCTACTGGAAGCCAAATGAAGCCAGGAGTAACCAGGAGAAAGCCAAGAAAACACAGGATGAGAGAGAGAGAGAGAGAGAGAGAGAGGAAGAAGAAGAAGAAGAAAAAGAAGAAGACGTCGATGTGGGTGAGTGAATGAGGACACGAAGTAGGCGTGATAAGGATGGGTGTGTGGGCGTGGTCATAAAGGTGTAAGAAAAGATGGACTTTATCTTTCTCTCTCTCTCCAGTGTGAGGATCTTTTGTTGTCGACCTCCTGGCTGCAGCAGAAGGTATAGTGAAAGGTACCACCAGGTAGACAAGACACGTTTAAATGAATTCACATGTGTCGTAATAACAGATGTGGGCTTTTGTTTACAAGATTCTACTATTGTTGCTTTTTTTAACAATCTATTGCCACAAAGGGATATTTTTGGCTTTAATATTAAGTATTGTGCGTAGGAAATGATTAGTATTTGGATGGTTCTGTTTATATATGACTGCCTCTATAATCATCTTGTATATATTGTATTACTAACGTTCTTATTATTTTCTATTATTGCTGCTGCCTATGAGCTGGTGAGTGACATTCTTCCTAGGCGGCCTGTGACCCTTAACTTACCCCTGGGGCCACCACCTGGGATATTATGAAAGCATCTCCAACATCCAAACAAGCCGCCGGCACAAACACTCACAAACAGACCCCACACAAACATTCACAAGCAGCTTAGCCACCGCAAACACTCACAAGCAGCCCCAATACCTACACCAGCCCCCACAAACACTCACAAGCAGCTCCAATACCTACACCAACCCCCACAAACACTCACAATCAGCTCCAATACCTACACCAACCCCCACAAACACAAGCTGAGGTACACCATCATGGACATCCTCCCCAGAACAAAATGATTTAGGGACAGCCATCAAAACAAGAGGTTGGCCAGTGATCAGTTACCTTTCACGACGAAGGAGGGGGGGGGTCATTCTGTGTGTGTGTGTGTGTGTGTGTGTGTGTGTGTGTGTGTGTGTGTGTGTGGGGCCTTTGCTCTTTACCTCGCCTCTCCCTCAATCCACAATGAAACGTGTACTGTATATGGTGGGTGGGTAAGAGTCGACTGGTATAGACTAAAAACAGAAACCTCACAATTAGTCTTATGTCCAGCAGAAGAAGAAGAAGAAGAAGAATCCCATCTCTTCTGTTCCTTCCACAGCTCCTAAAAGCACTACGACTTGGTAACCTCTAAACACCGGGTAAAATAATAGATAGCTGGCATAACTAATGGTCCTACCTTGGCCGACACTGACAGAGCAAGGTAGTGCAGCTGATCACAGAACAACCAATATGAACGTCGTGTATAGAGGATTGGAAACTCTCTATCTCTGTGTAGGAGGATTGGAAACTCTATACCGCTGTGTAGGAGGATTGGAAACTCTATACCACTGTGATAGGGGATTGGAATT